ATCAGCTGTCTGTCTGCATGGTTTGTTTGTTGTTTTCTTCCTAAATGGCTGTAATACTATATTCCACCACTATATATTTTTTATCTTAGATATGGGTCTCATATGCTGAGCCTCAGTAAACTTGTCCCTCATCTCTGCTCTTTGACTGGAGACCAAAACCCGCAGGTAAGTCTCTGCATACCACAAGTGATCCGTTATCATTTTCTATTTGCTGCTTCTATGCAATATTTGTTATATTTCATCTCCAGTACCAACCAATATTAGCACAATATATATTTTGGCTGCAAAGTGTGAAATTGAGCACATTTGCACATATATTACATGTACATTAATAATACATGCATGTTCATTTTAACTCATCTTTTTTTTCTTAATCAGCTACATCTGTTTTTTACTTTCCTAGGCAAACAAGTAATCTGCATAAAAGTTATAAGTGTAAATCAATTAAAAAGCCAACATTTTCACTCCAGTGCTCAGTATAATTTTCAACTGTAAGCCTAAAATGCCTCCAGTGATACATGATAAATCATTGCAGGATTGTAACAGTTTTATGCCCCTTTTTTCTGAAGGCAATGTTGTTTCATCTGTTTTAGGCTGAGTTCAATTTTACAGACATTTTTCTTGTAGCAGTTATCTCATTATTACTGTCATTAGCAGGAGATGGGCTCCATAAACCTCCTTGCTGAGCTTTATTGCTGAATCATAAGCATTGCATGCACCCACCTATTAACCCACACAGCCCAAGCTTCAAATCTGAGAGAGAGAGAGGTTTGATTTAACCTCCTGTGGAGTCTCATCCCAAAAACAAAATCTGCCCCTGCCTTCTACCCAATCATTATCTGCCCACACAGCATCTCAGCCAATCGCCACGTATTAATCCCGCCTACTCTCAGCTGCACAGATCCCCTGAACACAGGCTCACTGTCCAATCACTGCACTGTTCTTCAAGTCACATCTCTCCCTTTAAAGCTTCATAAGGACATTAACATTTTCATTACAAGCAGTTTTTCCTCTTCCATTTTCAGACAAATAACCGCAGTTGTTATGAGGTAGTTTATTTTACCTGTGCATCTGAATTTGTGTTTTTTCTGCACTCCTCCCTTTCACTGGCTTTTTATTTATTTTAAGCATATGTTTTTTAATAGTGTTTATTATTTTTTTATTGAGTTTTTCTGCATATAAACTCTGTTTTAATCAAAATCCTTGTCTAGGTTGTGTTAATCTAAAGTGAAAATTGAATCTTATTATAAGTAATAATTTGATGTTTTGTCTTAAGGTTCGTGAGGCCTCCATAACAACATTGGTGGACGTCTATCGCCACATTGGTGAGAAGGTCAGAGCCGACCTGGCAAAGAGAGGACTGCCTGCTGCGCGGTGAGTTGATGTCATTTCTAAGTTTGTGCAGTGTTTGATATTCCTCTTTCTGTCTGTGTCCTCATCCATATCTGGGAGGGGTGATGTGTTAAGGCTTGCAGCATTGGCGCTCAGTCTGTCCCAGGCCACACCATGCACCACTGTGCCCTTGACACACACAGAGGAACTTTATCCAGAACACAATGCTGGAGAGAGAGAAAGAGAGAGAGACTGGTGGGGTACAATGGCATTTGGTCTAATTCTCCCCACCCCTCCCCAAAAAATGAAGACAGTGCTGTTTGTTTTTTATTTAACAAATATATTGCTACAGAAAATATCACACACACACACATATATACACACACAATGAACCCTAATGTAAATGTATAATATGGCTACAATTAGGCCTGTAACGATAATGAATTAATTCGTACGATAACTTTTAACGAGCTCAATAACTTTTTTGGCCGCAATAAATTCTATTTGTATGCTTGTTTGTTTTCCTCATAAAGAGGGTGAATGTTAGAAGGCTTCTATCGCTCTCTGACTCATCTCATTTAAGCGTAATGACGCTTGAACCAATGTGCGCTGTGTTTATCCACACAGCGGATGCGCGCGTAGCCTGAGTGCAGAAAGCGCCGCTATCTGTGCGGCTTACCATGAAGCCGCAACACAAGCTAGCGCCGCTGTCAGAGTGACAAAACAGTTCATTGCCGAGTGCCAACACAAGTCACAATGCCAAATCAACACAAATGAGGGGGACACGTCTCAACAGCCACATGCGTCAAATGCAGCGAGTGCACAAACAACGAGAAGAAATGGCTCAAACTCCAACAGCCGATAAACCCATACTCGAGTGACCAACTAGTCTAGCCCCTGGGAGAGCCCGAAATCCACTGAAATCCCACAAGACACTGACACAATACTGGACAGGACAGTGCCTCTCATAGCAAAATAGCATCCTGTGTCGCGGATTAATACGTACATTTAAATGACCAAAATGACAAGGCTCACAGCAGCAGCCACAGAGAGAGTGACTACTATGTACCAATGTAAGTCAATTACATTAGGCTAGTCCTATGTTAACAAGTCTGTTTTATTTAGGCCTATTTTTGGTTGTCTTACAGTTCCTGTGTTAAATGTTATTTAGAAAGTAAGGTTTATTGATCTTTGAAAGAGTGTATTTGCATTTTTATTCCATGGTCATTATAATAGATGAAATTGGTCTCAAAATGTCAATATTATCGTTTATCGCAATAAATTCTTCGTCAATTAATTGTCCAGCAAAATCTGTTATCGTTACAGGCCTAGCCACAATATATACAACAAGCAAAGCAGAATGAAACTAGTTAGTCTATATAAATCATAGAAGTTACTAATTCAATCACTCTACAGAACAAAAAGTAACAAAATGCCCTAATGGTGCAAGACAATGTGCACACATTAAATATTAAGCACACAAAAATATTCAATTTGTCATTTATTGAACACTTATTGAGACAGGCCTGTTTTTAATCATTTAAAAAGATCCTTTGGTGTGGTTAATCCCTGATCGTCATGGTTACAGGCTTTGGTTAGGAGTTATTTTGAGCACACATGTCTGCTGTGAGATTGCAGCAGTGATGTATGCTGACTGGTCAGAGTCTATGTGTGTTGCTCAGGCTGTGTCATGCTTTGCTCATATTAAGTATGTCAATCTCCAATGTAAACATTCTGACTGCGTAGGAGAGAAGAGGGGGGGTATCTGCAGTAAGTGATTATAATGATACTCAATATGAGACCGAGTCAAACTAACTATATATTTCAGTGGGGTTCCTTATTGAAATATGCCGCATTTACAAGGCGAGATTGTGTGGCTAATTTTAGGCCATAAAAATTAGATTATTGAGTATAGCTTTTAAAAAATTGGCTATCAACCATGTAAAACAATCAACTTTATAAATCTTTCAGCAAGGGTATACAGTGATATTTCTGCACTTTTGTGGGCTCTTGTACAGTATTCCAGATTATATTGTTCACACTTGTCTGTTACTAAAACCTCAGTTTATCATCTAAAAATTTTGGCTCATCTTTGTTGGATTGCCCAGTATATTTTTCATCTAGATAATTCTGTCAATATCGTGTATAATGTAATGTATGTGGCTTTCAGTGGTTGTGGTACAATGTACAGTGAAACAAGTGCTCAGTGGAAAGCACAGCAGTGTGGGTTGATATTCGATCTGTTGCACTGGATCCCAGCCGGATAATATATCACTTCTGTTACCAACGTCACAAGTCTTTTTGCAGAAAAATTACACTAGTGCATCTTTATCATATTTTTCTAAAAAAAAAAAAAAAAAAAGTAGTTCATTGCATTATATTTTTTTATTCTTATTATTTTAGTTATTGTCTTTTTAAGCTCCAAAACATCCTGTGGCCCATTTGACACTAAAAGGATGTGGCTTTAAATCTCTTGGCACTTTCCAAGAGGTCAGAGGAATCACAGTTACATACTTATGTTTAGGAACTGGCAATGGATTAAACTTGCACACCAGACATTTACTCAGTTAGTGGCTCAGTGAGGCTTAACCCTTCCTCCAAACCCTCTTGCACCTGCACAGTTTCTGAATGAAACTGAAAAAACATTTAACATTTAAACATTTAAATCTCTCTATTGCAAGGGTCTTTGTTTAAAGTTGTAACAGCTAATGTATTGAGTTTCCAGAGAGACTGGTTAGGACTGAGCAAATGTATTTGAATAAAAAAATGTAATCAAGAGTAAATCATTTCATCACCAAGGATCAGCTTGGGTGATTTTAATCAAGATCTTCCCTCAGTAAAGGCATGCGTTTTGGATTGGAGTAGAGTTCAGATGTGCAGACAAAATCATTTTGAGCATGTATTGTTTATGTTCAGGAAATTAATATTGATATATTAATTCGTTTTTTAATAAGACAAAACAAAATTGAATCAAAATTTGAGACTAGTCAATAAGAGGGAAAAATTATCATGGTTTTTATTTATTTATTTATTTTTTGCATATCACCCAGCCCTCAGACAGTGGTGATAGGTGGGAGAAAAATGAGAAAATGAGCAGAGGAGTCCATGCTGTCAGTTTGCTGCTTAGCCCCTCCCCCTCAGTAGTGTCTGTGTATAGAGCAGGGGTTATGTAAAGGGTAACTCAATCTCCCTTAACATCATACTAACTGCCCTACTTGACAGCCTCTCACACAGGGACAAAAAGAGGCGTCCTGAGATTTACCTTGTGGTATAACCCTGTAGCATTACTCTCAGGGCTGTGTGCGCTCTGCAAACGCCTCATGTGTGACAGGAGGTGGTGGATGTCGCATGCTCGTAGCCTGCTTGGGTCTCTTCTGTTTGGCTGCCTCTCCCCCCTCCCGCGGTGCTCCCTCCCCTTCAGAGCCACTGCACCATGTTTGATACAAAGAGCCCAGAAGAGCCGTGGACCAAGCACTGTCACTGGCATGCAAGCTAATGCTACACTGCACAGCAACGCACCAGCCTATTAATAAGCCCACTGGGAAATACAGAGGCGAATGAGACCGACCTATTTCTGGATTTACTTATAAAGAAGAAAATTGACATGTTAAAGATAAACTGGGAACCATGTGAAAACCTGCACAGCTAAGGAGTCCGCTACAGCGCTAAACGCCACTTATCTGGAGCTCCTAAGCGGTCTGTCGCTTGGATTGGCACCGTGACACTTGAGACAGGCTCAGACTCAGCGGTGTGTATTACTCCTCATGTTTGCATACAAGGAGCCATACAGTATGTTTGGGTGCTGTAGCTCGGGTTGAGGGGGTTTTGTTGTTGTTTTCATGTCACCTGTTCATAGGGTGGATCCTGATATTGAAGAAAAGTACATGTGGATATTTTTCTTGGGATTCTCCCTGAAGCAATCATTTTATGTTTTTACAATCCATCAGAAAAGTGCTTGAACGTGTCTAGAAATGTCATCAAGTCTTGAACATTCCTCTTTTGGCTTTTTATTTTCTTTTTATAATTAAATTATGCCTTCTATGTCTTAAAATATGTAATGTAAACAAAATGAGACATTTCTTCCTGTGCACAGCCCAGACTTAAAATACTATTATTAATGTTGCTATAATTCTGTAATAGATCCATGATACTCAACACCAGTGCCTCTGTTCATTTTCCCAGGGCATCTGAACCACTTGAATGCTCCGTGGGGGTTTTATAGTCTGAGTGTGTGTTGCTAAGCAGAGGTGATGTGGGATAGTGTTGTTGTTGCATTACTGAACAGGATGCCAAGAGACCTGCTGCCACCAAAGCCTCATGACTTTGACTGGCACGGTGGACACACCCACTGCCTGAAGGCTTACACACTCAGACAGCTGATAGTCACCACTTTCACTTCGAAGTTTCTGCTGCTCCTTCAATGGATGTTCTTTCTATACACTTATGATCATGTATAGTTTGTCATGTATTAACTTGCCATTCATGGTCCTGCTGTACAAGTCTAATATGCATTTATATTTGTGTCCTTTGCAGGTTGCAGACAATATTTGCCCGGTTTGATGAAGCCCTGAATTCAGGCAACATGGCTCTCAGCCCCAGTCACGGTCAGTACAAACTTAGTTTATTTAGACATTGTTTCTCCTACTTTTGTGACCGTTATTTTTTTATTGCTATAGTTTTTGAGAGATCATTTATGTTAAATAAACTGGATTTATCCTACTTCATTACATTGAACTTAAAGGTTGTGCATGAATGGTGCAATGAAGTTGTCTGTCAGTCAGCAGTGATATAAAAGCAAAGATGATATAAAAGCAGCCTCTCTGAACTCATATCCCCCCAGGGTTGTGGTGAGTCTCACACACTAGTGTTTATCATCACAATCCAAAAATGTTTATTCATTTTATGCATTCACTTGCTATTACTGCTTTACTTTGAACTTTCTGCACTGCTAAGAGAGAAAGTTAAATCGCCTTTTAACCTCTATCAGGTTATTTATTTACCTGGAGAATAATTTGGCCACAAACCTTCTCTGACTTGTACCTGAAATGAGGGGGCAACAGATGCTCAGTGAACCTTGGCACAATGAGTGTTGGCATCTGCTGCCTGTAATGTACTTACTTCCAAGCCCCTCATTTAAATAAGTATACATAACATTTGAGGGATTAATTGCCTTTGTGAATTGGTTTTGTAACTTTCTCATTTGCTCACTGTCACTTGTAACTTATGTTTTGTGCCAAGCCACTCTTTCGGATTCAGACCTAGTGTGTCCTCGAGCTGTTTCGATTTGGGCAGTTCTTAGTGATAGAAGTGAGGCAGATGTGGAGTGGAGATGCAGAGAGGGGTTGAGGAAGACTGAGGCTTGTTGGAGGAAGCAGAGTCACTGAGCTGTGCCTGTCACTGCCCTCCCCTGATTCACCATGACAAAGACAGAGAGAACAAACAACAACAGAAGGACAAAGGAGCGGTCACTGACAATATGACGGACAGGAAGAGTGTCTACTAATAATTCAGCATAGCTATGGCACTAGGAGAGGATGCCCTCTCTGAGTGTGGTTAATCTAGCTGTGGATGTTGGCATTCAGACAAAGGCTTGTAAACATATGGCTCAAAATCAGCTTAAACTTTCACCCCACATGCTCTGGGCCAGACTCCAACTGTGTGGCACATGTAACTAGGGCAAAATGAACTGCCCCAAATATATCCAGTGCTGTACAGTAAGGTGTAGCCACTGTGACTCACTGTTTTGATTTTTCATGTGCCTTTAGAAACAATACCAGCATAGTTTGTTTTTATTCAGTTTAAATCACATGATACCTGATGGCCCTGCCTTGTACATATTTCTGTTCAATGGCACTGCACAAAGTTCAGCTCTTGCTTTTCTCTGCATGTTTTTTGAATATAATCTGACTAAAGTAATGTGAAGAAGCTGAGACTTTGTTTTGTTGCAAACTGGCCATCGGGGGCAGCGTTCCTCATATCTCCACATCGAAACACAAATGCACACTCATTGGTGTTCTGCCTCAGATGTGCTCGTTCTGCCTCAGTGCATCTTCAGCTCTGCCAAGGAAACAGTGACCTCATTTACAGACCAGGCTTGTGGCCATAGCAAAGCAGGAAGTTCAGTGTTATCGGTTATCTGTTCGAATCGGACAATTATGACCCAAACAGCTGCTCTTCTCCTTTAAGAAGCAAAATTTTCTTAAGTTGAGCTGAAATTGGAGCAGGCTCGCTTCAATTCGAGAAACCAGCCCTAAAGCTTGTGCCTACCTCTCCCTGTCCTAGAAATTTTCTATGAAGCTTCTCGAATAGCTGAGAATGTTGTCTTTGTTAGCAAATTAATTGTTGTGGTTGATATGATGTGATATGATCTGATATTTGTGTGGTCATAGGTTGTTCACTTGACCCAGAAAATGCTGCTTGAAACCTCTTTAAGACTTTGTTTATTGACCAATTCTCTTAAACTGCGTTTGGGATCTGTTTATCTGAGAGAGGAAGTGCTGCCATCATGTGGATGCAGCTTAGTCCTTATTGTAGAGGAAAGCAAAATTTTTTCACTAAATAAATGTCATCCACTTAACAGGTTTGAGCAATTATATATCTCAGTCTCTTGCATATTTGTTAGAACTGTTTCACCAACCATGTAGCAGAGACCGATATTCCTTTTTGCTCAAAGACTGGAATCTTCATCTATGTTGCCATGGCAACACTGTCTCCATGTCTGTTTCAGCATCAGTTTTAAATGGTACTTTTTATCAGTCCTAGTTGTGCCTCTCACTCAGTTCCGTCCCTTTTCATCTTCGTTCAGTTGTATTTTGTAAATAACACATTTTGCTCTCCATCTTGCGACTGCTGTGAATCGTTTGTTATTGGTCAGCTTTGGTTGCTATAGAAACGGCATGTGTGCTCAGCGTCTCTCTGGGTGAAGGGCAGAGTGAAGACACCAGAGACTTCTCTTCTTGGTCTGATGAGACAAAAGCTCCAGATGCTAATAATGCTAGCACAGTTTATATTTATCTGTGCTTTCACTTAAATATAGAAGTTGGTCATCTTGATACAATTTGGTTTTATTTGAAATTTCATATAAAATATTGGCATAAATAGGAAACTACTACTACTAAGTTTGTGTGTTTATACTACATCGTCAAAGATAGCAAAAATATCTAAGCTAAATCTTTTCTTTTAGTCTGTCTCTAAGTAAACTGAAATCACTTGTTTTTGCTAGTTTCAAAAAATATGATTAACCAAATAATCTTGACATCCCTAGTTGTTTGTTGCAATAAGTTGGGGTTCGCAAGTATGGCTATACAAAGACTCCCTGTTAATATTCTTGGGGTGTCCGTCCATGTTGTGTGTCCCTTTCTCTCCCTCGACACATTCACATTCATGGAGCTGCTGCTGCCTCCGCACTGGCTGCACTCTATGATGTCATCTGTGCTCTGATTGGCTGAGAGCAGGAGCAGAGATGCTGGCCGAGAGAGGGAGAGAGGGAAGAAATGTAGGAGAGAGAGAAGGAAAATGCCGGCACTTGTATAGGTGGAGGGGTATTCAGGCAGTAATGTTCAGGGGTGCATGAATACTGAACCCGGGTGTGAGGATGCAGTGACGTTGGTGTGTGCATCTTTTTTGGGGGTGCAGCACCTCGGAAAAGGGGGGGCCTCGTTGCCACGCCCTCTCAGAAGCATGAGACGCCTTATCTGCCAACGCATCTGTGACTGTAAGTGCAGAGATGAACTGGTTTGTTGTCGATATCTGTTTTTTCAGTGAACATGTGCCATCTCTCTTATTGTTTATTTTTCATCTTGTTATTGCCTGAGTGCATTTTCAGTAATGACAAACCTGCAATGTTTGTGACATTTGTAGGCCTGATGCTGTTTTTGCATTGTGTGTGGAAAAGTAAATTGATGTGATTCAAGGTGTAGGGTGGTGGCTTTGGCGCATTTCATCGCTGGTTGTCAGGGCGACAGCAGTACATATGCATTCCTATGGTTTAACATTGTATTGCTAAACCAAAGCTTTTATGAAAATAGTTTTCTCCCACTCTAAATGTCTCTTTAAAATCACACTACTTCTAGCATCACTTTAATGTGTTTGTTTTGAATGGAGCTTCTTTGCAGAATACAGGGATGACCTGTATAGACTTCTGTCAGTCACCAATTGTCTGAGTACACATGGTAATCATTAAGTTGTAGTTTTTGCTCTTTAAAATGCTACGTGGTGTGTGAGTGTGTAATTAGTATTGATTTATTTGTTCCTGACCAAGCTCTCAGAAGGATCCATCCTCCCTGTTATACTGCCTTTTGCAAACCCTTTTCAAAGGGTGAGATGGAAAGAAAATGAATGCCTACAAGTCCCTCTGAATAATCAAATAATAATTATTATTTTTAGCAAATCAAAAGATTTTAAAATAAATGTGTAACTTTCATATGTCTCTTTCAGATCGTAGCTTTGACGATGATGACAGCGTGGATGGGAGTCGCGCTTCCTCGGCTCAGGCCTTCAAGGTCCCAAAAGTTCCCAAGAAGCCGGCGGAGTCCTCAGCTGCTCGTAGACCCAGTGCAACTGGTGGCAAGCTAGGTATTTGATTTAAATGTTATTTAAACTCAGAACATAGTGTAGAATTTATTGCTTTCAACAATGTGAATTTAAGGGATTTAATGTACAAAATTTAAGTATTGTTTTTGTCAGATGGGAACATTTGTTAAAGGAAAGCACTAATTTCTTTGTTAGTCACCACTGTTCTTTAAGTGGGTGTTTAAAGTGTTTTTAAAGTGTTAAACTTCTCTCTGAGGGTCCTACTACAGTTAAAAGCTTGAGTGTGTTGTTTGCTCATTTTTTGCTCATATTGATTTGCTCGGTTGTGGCGATTTAAAGCCATATGTCTTTCCCAGCGCACTACTACAGTTTCTCATCTGTCTGTGTCAGCAAAAGCATGTACATGCAGCACTCTCCCGTGTTGCATCTTGTTACATGTTCACATACATGCTAGATTCAAGAGCAGGACACAGCCTTCTCAACTGGAAGTAAAAAAGATTGTTACGTCTTATTGATTATGTAGAAGCAGACATCAAGGGCATTGTTACAAATGGATAAATCAAACACAAGACAATGTAGCCCTTTTCATATGACTATATTGAGTTGTTTATAAGACTAGTTTTCTTGACAGCAAAGATTGGAGGCTTTATTGTTAGCATTTGGATCAACATGACAAGACTCCCACACACGTTGGCAACACCAACCAACAGACCGAATATCAGTATTTGAGTTTCTACAGTAACTGTCAGAAAAATCTGCTGTAGCATGTTCCTAATTTATGATATTTGCAGTTTTGTCATTTTTCCCTGGGTATATATTTTGTGTATAAGTACTTTATGTACAGTTTTCTATTTATGAGGAGCTTTATGTCTAAATTCATTCTGAGAGCAGTTTTAATGTTGTAATTTTTAGGGTATTGAGTCCCCAGAGAGATGTGATTGACGTTCTTGTTACTGTCAGGAAATCCATTAGTGACACAGCCTGCTCTGACAGCCGAGGACCCTGTGTTAATTCAATGTTTTGAATTAAATCAGAAGCACAATTCTAACAGGGCAGAAATACCATTAAAGATCACACCACTGTAACTGATTATTTTGATTTGCCAGTATCCAAAGAAACTGCTGGTGCCATTGATGAAGAGGACTTTGTTAGAGCCTTTACAGACGTCCCCACTGTGCAGGTAAACAACATGCAGTTATATTATTACAGCAATAACTATTAGTTTAAAATATATATACTTTTATGTAGATTTATTCAGCAAGGGACCTTGAAGACAACCTTAATAAGATCAGAGAGATCTGTTCTGATGACAAACATGACTGGGACCAAAGAGCAAATGCTGTGAGTGTACATTATATTAATTAACTATTTATGCACAGATTAACCACCCTAACCATGGTTAATCATGTTTGTCTCTAGCTTAAGAAGATACGCTCACTGTTGGTTGCTGGTGCAGCCAACTATGACTGTTTTTACCAGCACTTACGGCTCCTGGATGGAGCCTTCAAATTATCTGCTAAAGATCTGAGATCTCAAGTTGTCAGAGAGGCCTGCATTACTGTGGCGTAAGTTTCAAACCAGCTGTCTGAAAAGAAAAAGATATTTTTCTAACTAAAACTTATTCTTATTCTTGTTTTCTTAGTTACCTTTCATCGGTGCTGGGGAACAAGTTTGATCATGGAGCTGAAGCCATTGTCCCAGTTCTGTTCAACCTCATCCCAAACTGTGCCAAAGTCATGGCCACCTCTGGTGTGTTGGCCATTCGCATCATCATTCGGGTGAGTTCTCCTTGCATACACTTTTACTGCTCAATTAACTGATGTTTCTTTTCCTGATTAATCTTTTTACACCCCCCAGCACACCCACGTCCCACGACTTATTCCTTTGATAACTAGTAATTGCACATCAAAGTCTGTGGCTGTTAGACGGTAAGATAAAGCTTTCTAATAATGTATTGCTTTTTTTTAGTAAATAATAATAATAAACTTAAAAATGTATTATTTTCAGGCGATGTTATGACTTCTTAGATCTTCTTCTACAAGAATGGCAAACACACTCGCTAGAGCGGTAAGTACTTTTTGCATAAATGTATCAAATAAACCAGTAGATTTATCATCCAGTTGTTTAGATACTGCAGTTTTGTGTCTCTCCCATAATATGATCATGTTGCCTTGTTTCTCTCAGACACACTGCAGTTCTGGTTGAAAGCATCAAGAAAGGAATTCGAGATGCTGACTCAGAAGCCAGAGTGGAAGCACGCAAGTAAGTTTCTCAAAATTGCATCATCTAAAATGAAATTGGTGTGTTGGTTTTAATATTTCGATGCTTTTCTGCTTAGGGCCTACTGGGGTCTCAGGAACCATTTTCTAGCAGAGACCGATGCTCTGTACAACTCTCTGGAGCCGTCGTACCAGAGAACGCTCCAGTCCTGTTTGAAGAGCTCCGGCAGTGTGGCCTCTCTGCCTCAGAGTGACCGCTCCTCCTCTTCCTCACAGGAGAGCCTCAAGTAATCACAAATAGATTTAGATTTATTAGCGGCATAGTTTGCGATATTTACAAACCTTGTTAAAATAAAAAAGTGTTGACCTACTTTTCTGTTTTCTCCCCAGTCGGCCTTTATCTTCAAAGTGGTCAGCAGCTCCAGGTCGAGGTGGGTCAGAATGCTCAGACAAGCAGTCCATGATACATATGTTATGTTTTTACTTAATGAATGCACACTCCAAAATATGCACAAACTCCATCCCTCACCCCCTCTGTTTGTGACCAGTCCTCTCCCCATTGTGCTTCGTTTGTCCTACCTGTTTATATATTGTAGTACCTGCATGTCTTGTGCTGTACATTGTATTGTATATCATCACCTCCCAAACCCCCTCCTTTCCCATCAGTCACTGCGGGGTCAAAGGGCAGGTTGTCGTCAGCCGCTCTCCAGCGTTCCCGTAGTGATGTGGATGTTAACGCGGCTGCGGTGGCTAAGCAGCGACACGTGGGACAGTCGGGAGGGGCAAGCCGTCTGACTGCTGGCTCCTACTCCTCTCTGGGTAAGGGCCTGGTCAGCATTAGACATCAGCAGATTGTCAGGGAGAGCTAGTTTCTGAATAAACAAGTGCAGAAAATCAAAGCAGTTCACTTTCAAACACACTGCCTGATCACTGCTCCTCCTTTTCTCACCATCTCACAGTATCCCAGTATTTGTGCATGTTCTGTGATTAGTCGATATTGTGATGCATTATCTCTGTTGCATGAATCTATTTAGAAAATATTCATGTACTAATAACATGCCCCTATCTTTTCTCTTTTTTACCCTTCTCTTTATCTCTATCTTTCTCATTATTTTCTGATTTTACCTTTTTGTTTTTAACCCCTTTTATTGTTTTGTGACACCTTTTCTTTTGTCCTTGGTTTGTTTTATTGCTATTCTTTCATATTCTCTGCTTCTAAAGATGATGCCTCTGATAAAAAGGATGGTAAGATCATCGCTCAACTACACAAAATAACCTTACAGTTTGTGTTTTCCTAATGCTCTCATTTCCTTTTCAATCATGTCTCTATGCAGTATGTGGCCACAGCGCCCCCTTCTGTCAAAAAATACTTCTAGAAGGATGTTTTCTATGCCTTTGCAATGAAATATTTAACACATCTACTACTGCTAGCATGTTACTAAATTGATAACTACCTAATAATGTAATATACAATGTAACTATTAGAATTTTATTCATTTATAGGTAAAACTGAAGTTTACAGTAATGTCAGGTTATAATGAGCTATTAAAGTGTACCCCTTGATTCCTCTTGTGTTTATAGGGACCAAATCAGACAATGGTAAGACTGTAGTCAATTTTTAGTGTTGTGTGAATATAAGGTGTTTTTTTTTTAACATACAGTACACTCATGGATGCATAGTTGTGTAAATTCTAATTTAGTAAACACTCAACTATTTAGCAATACCCTTTATAAGGTTGTAATAAATTGGACACATAAACTAAACTAAATTCTAATCAAACTTCTAGAGATTGCTCATAAAGTGGGCAATCCTTCAGCCCAATGCAATCCATGCGTGCATTCTGTATATTAAGGTGTTTTTGGTCTAAATGAACAAAATTGTAAAGGGAAGCAGCTGCTTTTTAACTGTAATTTCTGGGGCTAACACTAAACTTCAAAACTAGTTTTATCTACTACCTTGGTTAGCTTGACAATCATAAAAATAATTTAAAGGTCCTATATTACTCAGTTGACTCTTATGCGCTTTAAGACATGTTATAATGTTGTTACCTCACCAATGTTTTGTTTCATTCACACTTGTTTGAGTAAAGGTTGGTTTATCAGTATGTCTACATCTACAAAGCTCAAAGTGCTCTGTTCCACCCATAGATTGTATATAAATGGAGAGAGCTATGTGCTAGCTGCAGCATTCCAAATAGGAAGTTCGCATGCAGGCTCTTCCAGCTTCTACTGACCCTAGCTCCCATTGACTTACATTGTTGCCCCTGTCTCTGTGACTGCTGCCTCGTCATTTTGGTCAAAAAATTTTCCCACTCTACATGATCCTGTTTTATTTTTCTCACTTTTTTGTCTGTTAAAATTCATTCATATAGAGCCTGGCTCCAAATTATCCCCTGTAACCTCTACCATCATGAGCTTCATTTGAGTAGCCCTCAATGCTATGGGAGACATCGCACTCGCTGAATCCACTTCTTAATCAGTTTATGATTCTACATTGTGATGTCATGAAGCAGCATTTTTCAAGTTAACGTAAGATAACTCTTGTCTTCAGTAGAAAATGGTAATTCCAGGGCTGAAATCATCCAAATGATTCTGGTGAAGGTGGAGTTTAAAAACACAATGGTGAACTTCCTGTATTACAACATGACATCACAAGGTGGATCAGAGTGGTTTCTGTTTGAGAGAAGCACTCTGCCTAAATATGCAGGATGTGTATGTGTGAATGAAACAAAACACTACTCAGGTATGTTTGTGATGTGGAAACAATGTTATAACATAGATTAGAAAATTGTGTAATATGGGCTCTTTAAAACTTAAACTGTATTGTGTCATTAATATTTTTATCTGGACCTTTTAGGACGTGTTCGCACCAAGCAGCCCCTGACTACAGCAAGCAGTATGTCCAGCCAAGTGGACTCAAGAGGACGGAGTCGCTCTAAGATGGTGTCCCAGTCCCAGCGTAAGTTTTCTTCTGTCCTACCAAATGCATGAGAAATAGGTGTGACAGATACAAGAGGGTGCAGTGGCACGTTTGTTGGAGTTTGATTATTTGTTGCCAGACAGGCGACGATAAGCTCCATGTAAATGTTTTTTTGCCTTTAGGTTCGGACGATTCTGATTGCACACCAGGTATTTTGTCTGTGTGTGTATCTGTGTTCACAGTGGGATTGGGGGCCCACATGCTATTGCTGCCATTTGATTACAGTATTTTTATACAGAGGTGTGGGGGGGTGTGTTGTAACTTTGCATGCTGTGTCACATTACTTAACATGGTACAGTGAATTATTTCCCACAGCTTTAGCCTGGCTCTGATTTTGAAATTAATCTAAACATTGGATCTTCATTTTAGTTTAGATCTTACAAATGTGACTGAGATGGTGAATAGTGTTTTTTAACCTGTAAATGTTAAGAGGACTTAAATTGGAGTATGAGAGGAATTATTTGATTCACTTTTTTATTAACAGCTGTCAGTCACAGACAACAGTTTTTTTCCCCTTTATAGGCACAAGCTTTATTTGACTATGGTAATGTGCTCTTGATAGAAGGAAGTTTATTATTTTATTTTTTAAGCTGGAAAACACTACTTTTTGTGTACTGTTTTGACAGTACAGGTAGACCCTCTCCTTAACACGTTTGCATTATTAAATTAGTTTTCAGTTACCTATTTTCCATACATTCTGTGACAGGTGTCTGTACATGCACTGCTTTTCATCACAGCTGGTGTAGTTTGTTTAATGTCTCATACATAGTTTTTGCAGCTGAAACTAATGAACATTATGCCTTCATTTGTAGTTTAAGATCACATTGTTCTCTGTGCTTCATAGTGCTTTTTTGTGCACATACTGGTTTTAATATATTGGTTTAATCTGCTGTTCCTTCCCTGGGCTCTGCTTCTCTCGTTCATCCCATGGGCTTTATGGCTCAGGATCTCAGTCGGCTAACCCTGTTGGTGGTAAGATTAAAATGCTAAAATTTACCTGCTTTTTATAGTGTAAACTTTCTCTGCCCTGGTCTTCTCTCCTTTCTATATGTGCACAAAAAGGTAACTTACTGTAACACTTTTTATTTTTGGCTGGAGCACAGTGGGATTCACAGAATGTGGCAGATCCTGCTTTTTGAGTTTTTGTTTTATTTTGCTTTTCATTGGAACTCGAAAAATATGTAACATGTATAGATATGACACAATAAAATAAATAAAACAAATCAAGTAGAAATACTGCAAATATATATTTAATTTGTTTGCAATCACTTCATGCTCACCTCGTGCCAAAGCACAATAGATCGATTTATTTTCTCACTTTGTAGTTTGCTACTGACTGTCACCATGGGAATATAAAAAAATAGGATAGGTCTTTAAGACTATAGGACTAGGTCAGTGTTCAGAGCCAGGATTACTCTTCTGACACTGAGGCTAGCCTATTTTATGTACTGCAGCTGAGACAATAAGACAAGTGAGTCAGTCTAAAACAAGGCTTGATGTCCACTAAATAGAGGTATCCTAGACACTGTCATGGAGCACAGCTGCCAGTTTACATCGATGAAAAAGGTTGTTGAATATTCAAAGTTTGTTTTTTCTTTGTTGTATCCTGTCTTTAAACTGTCTTTTGAACTTTTAGTTATAGCATTCATTGCTGTCACAACAGAGATTTCTCTTGTGGTTTCAACTCTCCTCAGTTTTTCCAAATGCATTTAATAAACTGTAACTATATCTTTGTAGTTCTTCTTAACATGTCTTTACTGTCTCTCTAAAGCGGGAAGTCGGACTGGCTCTCCTGGTCGTGTCCTGACCACCACAACCCTCAGCACCATGAGCTCCGGGGCGCACAGGGTTTTGGGGGGAAGCTCTGCAGATGGACACAGACGCAGCAGGATTCCACGCAGTCAGGGCTGCTCCCGGGATTCTTCCCCCACACGTCTTTCTGTTGGTAAGATAATACTCAAAAAACAATAACATTCAAAGATCAGTGATTCTCAAAGTTCTGTTTCATCCCAACTCCATCCTAAGTTAGTTTGCTGATACTACGCAGTCATCACAACCTAAATATGTACTACTTACAAAATAATCTAACATACAGGGTTTAGCATATTTTGAGACCACTGATATTTAACATACTTAAAGTTAGCACAAATGTCTTTATATTGAAGGTAGAAAGATCACCTTTCTCTTCCTTCTCCCTTTGTGTTGTTGTGTGTCCTGTCTCCTGTTTCGCCCCTCTAGCTCCCTCCAGCCTTAGTAGTTCCATCTACAATGGGGCCAGCAGAGGAGGTAAGACTCTGTCCTGAAAATCAGTCCCACCAATCTATCTATAACACTTATCATCTAAATATGCCTTCATAATGTCACTCTAACACCTTCCTGCCATTTCACTGTCTCACCATCAACTCACTGCCTTGTTGAATCAGTCTCTTGTGTGTCCGTGGCTGTTTGGCTGCGGAGATGGGTGCCAATGATCAGTAGCATTGTTCAACCCTTCGCTGTCTCTGTGCTAACTGTACTCCATGGCCTTTGAATGAAACTGTTAGCGGGAACGGCTAAGCTTCATCTGGGCTGTGGCGGGATGAGAGGCTGTGTGATTAACGCTGATTGGCTAGGAAGATGCTGCTGCTGACAAATGGAGCAATGAACGCTTATTGATTGCGATGTCTGTGTTAAAAATGCCAATCCTTAATCCTTGTTCCTCACTGATTCATGATCTGATGATTTCATGAAGATATTTTCTCCTGTTTTGTCTATCTCTTGTGCAAAGTGTTGATTGCATGAGTTTTTATACATATATGTCAGTTCTATGTCATTTATGGCCAGGGCTTGTGTGTCCTTCTGGGTGCAGCTTCATTTTTACAAATCTTATCTTTATAGAGATCACAGAGTGGTATAGTGACAAGTGTGGTCTGTGGCAATTTGTGTGTAAACATCTTGGGTTCTTTTTAAAGACAATACAATAGAAGATGTATTCACCTTGTTGACATGTTTCTTTAAAAAAAACAATAAGTTAAGGTACAAAAGAAAACAAAATGAACATTTATGGATCAGATATTTTTATGACTCTTTATAAAGACCTTATAAAGATCTTGCCACACAGACCCTCTAAATATGCTACTGTATGCACATGTGATTCTTGTTTAGTGAGGTTATAAGCTTGTCATCTTTATATTGAAAATGGCCTTCCTAAATGAGTATTATTCCAATAAAAAGCAAGTTGTTTCTAAATGAATTAAATCATTATACCATTTCCACCCATTTGGACCAGGAGCCTTCATCGTTTTTCTTTGGTTTTTTTTCATCCTTGCTCTCTTGTCTTGTGTTTTATTCATTCGTCTGAGTTTCTGCTGTTGTCCACCGACTTGTCTCGTTTTGTCTGTGTGTGTTTTCTTACTTTCGTTTTCTCCTCCTTTCCTTGCGGCCTCGACTCTGTGTGCCCTCCCCTCTTTTCCTGTGTGGCGTTAGCTCGGGGAAGCCGTATCCCACGCCCCAGTATGAGTCAGGGTTGCAGCAGAGATGCCAGCAGGGAGAGCAGTCGGGACACCAGCCCAGTACGCTCCTTCACACCTCTGGGTGAGTAGTTGGAGTGGACATATGCCAATCAGGAATCCAGATTAAAAATGGGATCAGAAAGAAGCGCTTTTCATCAGGCTGGAAGAATCATTGAAATCACCCAAAAAAGCGCAAACTACCAGCATCTAAATCAGATTTATACAGAACAGAGCAGCAAGTCCTACATTTGTAATGTAAATGTCATACAAAAGCTAAATAGTACATTTTCCACTCATCTTTAGGAATTTCACTTCTCACTTGTTGCCTTGATATTTTATTTCATACTTTTTGTCTTTCCTATCATTATTTATTTCTCATTTCTCTGTGATGCCAGCAGCTTGTAACTGGTTAAGTTTTAGTTTGGTTGAACAAGCCTCTGTTTTTATATTTTAAAATATTCTTTGTTTAGTGTTGCACCATAACACCAAAGCAAGTTCCTAATTTGTGAATTTTATTCAGCAACAATGGCAATAAAACTGATTGTGGAAATTTGTGACAATCCAGATTAGAATTGGTCCCTCAAAGTAGCCTCTGATTTAATCTATAGTTCTTTCTTGTTTTTCTCTTGCGCATGTGTGCGATTGTTAAAACTGTGTGTGTGTGTTTTAATCTTGGTTGCAGCTACGCGGAGCTACTCTCGCTCCACTGGGGCTCTCCACACACCTGACGCTTTCGGGGCAGCAGGTGAAGGCTGAGTACCATCCTTCTCCATACTTTACCCACCAAATTTCTTTTTATTTCTTTTTCGTCTCACGCATCTTTTATCAACATGTCTCTCTTCCCATTTGCTTTATGGTTATTTATTGTTTTGTTTTTTTTGCTCTAGGACGCCCTCCAGTGGAAATGCATGGTTCCACACACTGAGTTGCAGCCATTCTGTCAGTTTTACCATTCTGCTTTATTTATTATTTAATATTTAGCTTTCGTTCCTGTCCATGGAGCACCAGTTTCTTCTTTGTTTTATCCCATTTTTTATCCTCAGTTGCATCTAACAGGTCATCTCATTGACTTGCACCAAAGGCTCATGGGAAATTGTTGAATAAAATTGGATTGGATGTAATACTTGTTTGTTTCTCTTGATGTAGGCTCAGGGTTTGGGATCAGCCAGTCCAGCCGCCTCTCGTCTTCAGTCAGCGCCATGCGGGTCTTGAACACTGGCTCTGATGTGGAAGAGGCTCTCGCAGATGCACTGGTATGGACATGTACAAAGTAACAAAAGATTTAGTTTACTTTAGTGACCAGAGTGAGTGGGGAGTTGTGCGTGTTTGAAAATTAACCCTCACTTCTACCTCTGTTTAACGCTGTCAGCTGTTGGGAGACATGCGATCCAAGGTCAGCCTATTCTCCTGCCTCATACCTACGTGCCTTGTGTCTTCTGTTACTGCATGTCTCTAGCCTTCACCTTTCTATAATAATCTATAGGTTGTGTTCACCACATTGTAGAATTTGATTTTATAATTTCAGATGGAGGGCAGGGGTAAATTAACGAATTTACTGTTTTGAAAGAGATGGCCAATCTGCAGTTGGATGTTATCATTTTTTTGCCAGGAATTGGATTTCCTGTTAAAGTAGTGGTTTCTTTCCACTGATAGTAATTGTTTTTGGTTGAAATATCACCCCAGAAAACAACAGTATTATTTTCATGTGGATAGACTCAGTATTTATAGAGAGATTAACCACAAACCAAGCCCTCCACCTTAATTTTAAACCATAATCATAGTCCGTGACGTGAACCCACCCTGTTATAATGGTCATGAGAAGTCCTTGTTTCTGTTTCCTCCTACAGAAGAAGCCAGCAAGGCGGCGATATGAGAACTATAGCATGTACTCTGATGATGACGCCAACAGTGATGCATCCAGTGCCTGCTCCGAGCGCTCATACAGCTCAAGGAATGGCGGAGCCATCCCCACGTACATGAGGCAGACTGAGGATGTGGCAGAGGTGAGGGATATTCTCTTCTCAATTCAGTTTTATCTGTTATAAATAGAATGTTCTTTAAAAATGTCTTTTAATATTGATTTAATGAACATAAATAATAATTATTCAATGAATTTAACACAGAAGTAGTGCAATTTCTTCCTCCAAAATCTGAACTCTGCTTCAAACCTCATGCTTTTACAAAGGATTTTTTAAAACATCACTGACGATTAGACATAACTGAATCTCAGTTAAAGCCCCGCCCTACCTGGCTTTATCATTACCGTATTTTACGGACGATTAGGCGCTCTGGCTTATAAGGCGCGCAGTCGTTTTTGGAGGCTTAAGACCGCGGCTAATCATCCGGAAAATACGGTATATTTAAAACAAACCAGATCCTTTTGATACCTTTTTCAAAACCAGGATTCTCATGTCTTACTCAGGTGCTGAACCGATGTGCTAGCGCGAACTGGTCTGAGAGAAAGGAGGGTCTTTTAGGTTTACAAGCTCTGCTTAAGAACCAGCGCACCCTCAGGTCAGCCACAGACCGACAGACATTTTCTTAATTTGTTACTAATCTAACTTGTGTTAACTTAATGCCATATTTATCTTGACAGTCGGGTGGAGTTGAAGAGACTATGTGAAATTTTCACAAGGATGTTTGCTGATCCTCACAGCAAGGTAAAGCTGCATGCAACATACAGTCTGATGCACGCAATTACATTTATTATTCCATAATCTCTTCCTTGTGGAGTTCACTTCATATGTTTATTCACTTCTCTTCACTTTACCGGATTCTGCCAAAACAAAAAACACACACAACAAAGATGTACACAAAAGGAACTGCTCAGATATGAATCATAATTCCGGCATGCAGACAGAGTCCTGTTTCTAACGGCATGTCGCACTGAGCAATCTCACCTCTCGCTGATCTCTGGGGCTCACCATCCGCTCTTCTGTTCGCCGACGCTCGCTCCCGTTCAGGCGACACTGGACTCACACACAAAAATACACAAACATACACACGCACGTTTGGGCTGGCTCCTAACTAAAACTAACAAGCTGCGGTTCGTCTTTTCTAACACTGTTTGAGCACCGTTGTCTCACACCCGTCGTAAGGTGCGTGAGCCTCGTTTTCTTTGTTCGTTTTTTCTTTCTTTGACGATTTGATGACTTCCAGCGAGACTCCGGCAGGGCGTACGGCACGGCAGAATCCGGTATAAGCTCGGCGTCCTTCAAGGTATTTCATCTCATGGTGGACCATCAGTGCATTCCTCCCTATGTCCCACAGCATTGTGTTTTTGTCATACATAGACTTTAATCATACTTTAAGGTTACATCTTAAATTACAGCATCAGATTTCAGGACTACAGATTTGACTTTTACCTGGTCAGAAAGCTAACAGTCATGTCTCTCTCTTCTCCATGCAACCCAACTTTGGAACTCTCTCTAGAGAGTAAGTTTGGCCTCAATTTGTTTAAAAAATGTTTAGTAATCAATTAATAACAAATTATCAATCAGCTACTTAACACTCACATACTAACCTGATTTCATGCTTGAATTGATATTATCTTATAAATAATATTACTGTATGACTTCATTAAGTCAGACATTTTGTTAAGCTCTAATATGCTCATTGCAAATAATCAAATTAAGATATGTGTGTGGTGACTGGGTTTGAGGATATTTGTTGCTGCTGAAAATGAGTGAATAACCACTAACCGCTTGTTCACTTGATCAGCTTCAGTGCCTGGTGTGTCCGTGTGTGGTGTGATTGGCCTGTGTTGAACCTGCTACCTCTGATGCCCAGTGTGTTTTACATGTTCAGGTTTTCAGTATGTTCCTGGAGACTCTGGTAGATTTCATCCAGGTGCATAAAGATGACCTGCAGGACTGGCTCTTTGTTCTACTCACTCAACTGCTCAAGAAGATGGGGGCTGACCTTCTTGGCTCTGTACAGGCCAAAGTTCAAAGGGCACTGGATGTCACACGGTTAGTTTGGGATTAAATAATTGGTTTATATGTTGCCAGATGTGTCAAGATTTGTTTTTGTTTTGTTATGTAATTTGCTGTCGTAGATGTAGATGTATATGTATTAGATTTCTGTTAATGTGATTTTTTTTTTTTTTTTTTTTTTTTTTTTTTTTTTTTCTAGAGAGTGTTTTCCCAACGATCTCCAATTTACTATACTCATGCGGTTCACTGTGGACCAGACACAGACTCCAAACCTCAAGGTAAAATCTGTTGTTTTACATTTATAGAAGAAGAGATGGCTGTATTCGATTACTATGGAAATTGCTCATACTAACTTGATGCTGTTGCTGCTGAGCCCCAAAACCCCACTCCCTGACTCCTGGGCTGTGATTGGTTAGACACTGTTATGACCTTGGGCTGTCCACTCTTTGCTTTCTCTTCATGTCGTCCATCTTTGTTCTGGTCACATTTGTTAGAATGATCTGCCTTGTCACCCTCTGCATTTTATTGCTCCATTTAGCTTCCTCCCTGTCCTTATCGAACTTGCGCATTAATTTCCCTGAGCACAATATGTTCATTGCCTTTGGTTATTTAATAATGGGAAACAACACTTTCTGCACATAAATATTTTGTTGTCTTGACAATGTTTTTTAATTATTTTTTATAATTAGTTTACTGATAAATGTAATTAAAATTTTAAGCCTACATCCCATTTAACCCCTTTAATTGCCTCTAACCTGGCTGCACCTACCCCCTGACAGTGACACTTGGCCGTAGGTCTGTCTACCTTGGCGTTGATTGACACAGTGCTTCTCCTCTCTCTCTCTGAAGCCTGGGCAGAGCTCGTGTTGCGGGCGTGGCAGGGGAGGGGCCAGGGTAAAATTGTTTCCCCCCAGAGCGCGGCGCCACGCCTGCTCTCTAGACGAGCAGGCCGCAGCCTGGAGCCAGTCCTCCCAGGTCAGTGCGCTCCGGGGGGAGCAATTTGTGCCCCGGTGGCACAATGCATCTCAATGATTTGGAGAACACTCGGAGGGGTCTTTGTAGTCAAACATTAAAACGTTTGCTGGAGGAAATGTACAGTTCAGGAGTCATCTGTGGAGTTTTGGAGCCTGCTGTGTCCATGTGCTATCATTGGTTATTTTTGCTCTCATTTGTCATCTCTTTTTGCTTCTTATCAATTATTGACTTTTGCTAAGCATGAATACTCTGCAGTCTTTTATTGTTCCATCCATGTGGCAGATGCACATTTGGCTGTGTGAACCAGACTAGGGATGCGCCAATACGATACTGGCATCGGAGAGTGGCACCAACATTGAAATTTTTGATGAATCGGATATTGCTACCAAGATATCGATTCAGCTGATATCCCATTTTAGACCATTTTCGGCCAAAATATCTCATAATATTATTCTTGTATTTTTACAAAGCTGTTTTAGTTACAAAATGCATTGAATATTATTTTTTACCTCAGGCTGTTAGTGTTTAAATTATATTTTCAGTCTCTGCCCTAGTATCAGTTGATATCTGCTATTGGAATGGAAAAGCCTGTATAGGTGCATCCCTAAACATATTTCATGTGTGTTTGTTTCACGGGGCATTATGAGTTAAGAATGTTATAGAGAGCTCACCCTGTTCTATCACATGCTCGGTTACAGGTTAAGGTGGCTATTCTGAAGTACATAGAAACGCTGACATTACAGATGGAAGCTCCCGACTTTGTGAACTCCAGTGAGACGAGGCTGGCTGTGTCCAGGCTCATTACATGGACCACTGACCCCAAGAGCGCAGAAGTCCGAAAGGTAAGTCCAAACCGAGTAGATGTTCTCCTCTTTGATTGAGAACTGAACGCAAGTCTCTTGTGTTCTCAGGCCGCTCAGGCAGTGCTGATTGCCCTGTTCCAGCTCAATACCCCTGAGTTCACCAAGCTGCTGGCCGCTCTGCCCAAAACCTTCCAGGACGGAGCCACAAAACTGCTCCATAATCATTTAAAGAACACCGGCAACACAGCACAGGTAAAAACTATAACATCACACAAAGGCAGTGTATGTCATGCAGTAAAGAGACTCATCATAAATCATTATAAAGTAATGGACTCCAGCCATAGACTCCTAAATAAGGTATCACAATAATGCATTGGTTTAGTTATATATATTTTTTTAAATCTTATTTAATCCTTCAAAGTCATCAATCAACAAATACACAATCAAACAATTCTACTCCATGGTAAACTACACCTATTGTGTTTGTCTGAGAAGAACCATAACAAAGATATGATTCCACCACAGTCACAGAGACAAATGGAGCAGTTGGTAATATTTTGGATTTTCCTTCTAGGCACAAATTGGCAGTCCCCTGACTCGCCATACACCCAGATCTCCGGCCAGTTGGTCTAGCCCAGTCACGTCGCCCACAAACACCTCCCAAAACACCCCTTCACCAAGGTACTTTGTATTATATGTTTACTTAATGAACAGCATGAAAGAAATAACCAAGGATGTGCGCTTTTTTTGTGTTTAGTGCATTTGATTATGACACTGAAAATATGAACTCTGAGGACATCTACAGCTCACTTAGAGGGGTTACTGAAGCAATTCAGAACTTTAGTGTTCGCAGCCAAGAAGACATGAACGATCCAGTCCAACGGGATGAAGTAAGTTTAAAAAGAACATTATCTTGCATATTGTCAGAAAGTAATGTAAATATTTAATTTGCCTCACTAAAGAATTGATTTAGATTACAGATTATCCAATTAGTCAACAGACAATCAACATCTGAATGGTATCTGAAATATTATGTGGTTTACAACTAGTTCCACTCTTCTTTGCTTTAGAGGTCAACAGTCCAAATTTATGGTGTTGGGCCTCATGTCAGGTCCTATTGCAGTACCTCCCATCAGCCCGAGCCCCTTTTAAAGACATGGTGTTCTATAGTACAGAAGTGTAACCTTTTGACATTTTCCCCACGAGAAGCATTTGAAATCTAAGCCACCTACATGTCATCAGCCTGCCCATCGGAGTTCACCTGATGCAGCAAACTAGTACCTCAGTACTGGGTAGTCTCACTGTCGACAAATTAATAAGTTCAGAATTTCTCTACTAACTGTTAGAGACGGACATCAAAATGTATACACTACAAAATCAGGCACGTTGTTGAAACTTGTGGTCAAAAGTATGTTTAATGGAAATGGTGACAGTGCTGCTGCAGCGTTCATAATGTCTGAATACACCTCTATTGTAAACTGCACATGGGTGATTTTAGAGCGGTGGTGACTGCAGAGCATCTGATGCAGTGGAAGGTGGACGTATGGCTTTGGACAACAAAACATCTCTCCTCAACACCCCTCTGCTTTCATCGAGCCCAAGAGGAGGACGGGAGCACTTCTCTGACTCCCCAATCAAGCACAGCCGCAAGCATACCAGCCTGGATGACTCTGAACTTCTCACAGATGGTACACTCCCCGTGCTCCTCAAATACCTCACAGTTGTTTGCATCTTTAGGAAACTACTGATAAAATATATTATATCTAAACTATTATATTATTATTTTTACAGAGAGCAGTTTGGATCAATCTGAACTAGTCGCAGAACTGTTGAAAGAGCTTTCGAACCACAATGAGCGGATAGAGGAGAGGAAGGCGGCATTGTGTGAACTGCTGAAGCTCATTCGTGACAATACACTGCAGGTTTGGGACGAACATTTCAAAACCATTCTGCTGCTCCTGCTTGAGACTATGGGCGACAGAGAGGTAAACAAGCCCCTAACAATGTCTGGACTGTGATGCCATATGAAATTTTGCTATGAAGATTTGCTATTGACTTACCTTTCCGCTGCTTGTGTCCCCTTTCAGCACTTGATACGAACGCTAGCTCTACGAGTTCTGAGTGAGATTCTCAACAAGCAGCCCTGGAGGTTCAAAAACTATGCAGAGCTCACCATTATGAAGGCCCTGGAGGCGCACAAAGATCCACACAAGGAGGTAATGTTTTAAGATAAGGGAACCTTCATTTGTCTCACACTGGACACTGAGGGTTCAGTTGCAAATTAAAAATACAAATTTAAAAATAATCAAACCAGTCTAACTATATTAGAAATACTCTGAATAGAGATTGTAAAGATATTAAAATGCAATATAAGGTTACAAATATGTGCAATAAGCAGTGATGGGAAGCATAATGAATTAAAATGGATTCTGTAATGGAGTCTGATACAGTACTGTATTCTGAATACTTTCACAGAGGTTTGCTTTTAAATTATAGTGTGAAGATGCAACATAGGATTAAAAACACCTTTATATCTGTTTCATCATTTGTTCTGCATTTATTTATCACTGATCAGAGAAGGAAAAATCACACTTGCACACACCACCAGAGCAGCATTTTATATTTTTCTCAGTAGTTACATGCTGTTTGAAGCCTCATTTGATTTTAGGAAAGTAACTGTATTCAGAATACCACCAAATGAAAAAGTAACTATTGAAATACAGTTATTCAAAATTAGTATTCAGAATATTCTCTGTACATACTGTATATTCAGCACTAGCAATAAGTGGCTATTATTTTAATAAATGTTAAGTTGTTAAATGAAGTACTGCTTTATACTGATGTGTTGGAATATTGTTTCTCTGTAGGTGGTAAAGGCTGCGGAAGAGACTGCAGCGATGTTGGCTCAGTCCATTAGTCCAGACCAATGTATCAAGGTGCTGTGTCCCATAATTCAGTCTGCTGACTACCCCATCAATTTAGCTGCCATCAAGATGCAGACCAAGGTAGTCGAAAGGATTCCTCGAGAGGGCCTGATATCCATGCTGCCTGAGATAGTGCCAGGACTCATCCAGGTGATGATGTCTACCTCTTTGCAAATGTTACTGTCATATCGTATCTCTATAAAATAGTTATTTCTTTATTGTTTAACTGGTTACATCTGGTCAAATAGGGTTATGACAACTCTGAGAGCAGCGTGAGGAAAGCCTGTGTGTTCTGCTTGGTGGCAATTTATGCAGTGATCGGTGAGGACCTCAAACCTCACCTCAGTCAACTCTCCAGTAGCAAGGTACAGCCTATTCAACTGAAGTACTGAGATTGTTACAGTCACAAGCTATCTGACCAAGTATTCTGTGACTCTTCAATGATATTTCTGTTCACTGTTTTCAGCTGAAGTTGTTGAATCTCTACATCAAGCGCGCCCAATCTGGCTCCAGCGGCAGTGAACCCACGTCAGAAGGCCTATAGGTGACACAGCACCTCCGCAGGGCAATCACAGAACTGCATCTCTGCCCACCAAACGCGAACATTATTTCCTCTCACAGACTGAGCAAACTGCTTCATTTATCACGCTCTGTAGGTACATCCAGTCCAAACACATTTCCTATCACACTGAGTGGGAGCCGAGGATCTCTACTGATTTCAAAGACTGAAAGTTTTCAAGTAAAAGACGCCTTTGTCTTTCCTTTCCTTGAAGAAATGTATGTCGTCTTTGCCTTTCTTATTTTCAAGAGCATTTTCTTCAAACCGTTACAATGTCAACAGGAAGTGGTGCATGGTTATCTTTCATTTGAAGAATAGTGGGCTGAAGCAACTCGAACAGGGTTGTATTTGTTTCTTTGTTGAACAATGCGTACATGGGGCCAGGTAGACCAAAATGTAAATTTACATTGCGTCATAGTTGGATTATTTTAACACTGAGGTTGCACTGCAGCAGTTTTAGACTCTTGTGTCTTAGCACACACTCAAAACAGTTTTTTTTTTTTTTTTCAAAGGTGCTGAGTCTAAATGGTACGATCAGTTTTTCATAGCACTAACGCAGTGATATTGGTTCATGCCTGCTCATAGCATTTACAGTACATGGATGAATTCAGACATTATGTGCTTGGCTATGCATGAGACAAAATCTTTTTTTTTTTAAATTTGGATACTATTGAAAAATATGGCAGGCGTAAATTATTGTGAACAGTGTCTGCCCTTTTCAGAATAACATGTAGTCCCCCGTTACTCCCAGCTCATCAAGTCTGTCAAATTTTTTTGGCGGGATTTGAAAAAAATGGGTGCGTGCAGCTTATTACATGAAGTTCGTCTGGACATGGCTTATTATTACAAAACAGATATGTACCTATATATGATATCAAAAAGGAATATCAAATAACAGTGTCACTCATTTAGTCTCTTGGGGAGTGTATGCGCACCTATTCCCATTCTTGTTTTTATTTTTCATTCTGACGCGTGTGTTGTTGTCTCTCACGCTTTATTTGTAGAAATGTATCATTTACAGCTCTGAATCTCACTGTCATTGTCATCCTTTCTCTCCTTTCCTTGTAACATTCTAGTTTTTCCTGTTGTGTTTCTTCTGTGCATTTACAAAGCAATGCTTACAATAAACTAAGAACTTGTACAGACAACAAGGCATGTTGGATCATTTTTACAGTATTTTCATGACCATAGGTATCAAGGTATTTTGAAATTCATTCACCCTTATCCTCCAGAAGTCAGTTGGATCCCCAGGAGTCATGGGGGGGGGGCTTGCTTAATATAGCCTGACCTGCTCTATGGTACAGACTGCAGAGCGCTCTTACAAGTAAACCTACGAAATGGTGGGAGGACCTGTTGATAGAAAGGAGGGCAGTTGGATAAAAGATAACATTTTCACCTTATGCAACATAGTTATTTCAGATCCAGGTGCTAAATTTCATGTAAGCATTTGTTAACGGGGCTTTAAATTTAGCTGCAGCTGAAGAGAGCTTCAGATACACTTTGTACAAGAAACAGTCTGAAGAACTACTGCACTTAAGTTCCTCTCAGTATTTGTGTCCTAAAAAGTATCAAATATGCGACATTTGACGGCCAATGTTGGCTCAAATTTTAATAAAGACGACACCACTTATCTGTGCAATCATTTGCCTGTGTATGTATTGAAATGTCAAAAGGGGCATGCGGGGGTAATGAAGTCATGAGGCGGGTCTAGTGGGCCAAAATAGCGTCTGTGCGTAAAGAGCTTGGAAAACACGTAGAGAGAGGGAGCAGTTCAGGGTCCGAGAACTGCAGGATAATCATTGACCAGAGTGCAGCGAACACGACTTGCACAATATACTGCTGTTGTTGATGTCAAATGTCTATAATGGTGTTTTTAGTGGGTCTGGAGCTTCTTGGCACCGGTTTGGGTCGACTCCACTGGACTGCGGCGTGAGGCACAGCTGTTGTGGGACACAAAATGTTGTTCTGGCAACCTTACACGGAAAACTTCCGTCCTTCAGCAGAAAAATATGGAGACAGTAGCTACACAGGGTATGTATCCTTATCAGTAATGTAAAGTAAAGACTTTGCTTGGACTTGGATATTTCATAAAGGGTAATACATGTATTGGCGCATCAACTGCGTATATAATGTCTTATAACAGGGACCACCATCACTGCACTAGCTTAGGTGAACAGAATAGAATGCTTTTAATGTGGAAGTGCTTGTGTTAGGCACTGAGTTTGTTGATAAGATTGTGTGTGTTTTCTGGGAGGTAGACTGTTGAACACAATGACGGAAGCTCGGAGTCCATTGATTGGCTAAAATGTCAAGCTTGGCACAAGGGGCGTGCTGTGATTGGCCGGGCTCCTGGCATCCTTCCTGAGGCTGGTGCTGGTGGCAGCCGCAGGCTTCAGACCGTCCGTGTGAATTACAGGAGGCCATGTTGATGCTGGTTTTGTGCTCTTTGGGCGGATGAAGGATGTCGTCTTTGTAAGCTAAAGGCTTTATGGCGATCGTAGCGTCGCGATGAGAAGAGGAGTGCAGCTGGAGATGGTTCACGGAGCGACAGAAGGAAGCTGTTCCTAAGCGGACACACAGCGAGTCAAAGCAAGTGAAGTTGTGCTAGTTAGCCGCATAGCTACAGCTACAGCGATAGCAACAGCCTTGGACGCTGCGTGGATTCACTGTAGATGACAGCTACACATCTAACTGCATAATTTCTGTCTTTTGTGTTTTGTTGAGCTAATATCGCTCCTCACTGCGCAGTGAGAGAAATGCGGGCGGCTGTGTACTTGCCATAACCTGCATGTTGTCTTTGTATGCTAGCTAGCAGTTAGATAACATTAGCAACAGCTCATCTTCAGTCACGACTAGCAATTGTTGCTGAGTGAATTCTTACTTATGGTTATTTCCAGACTTTCTACCAGTTGGGGAACAGCGTCTTGAATGTCAGAAGTCCAAAAGTTCCCCTTATTGGAGATATGGCGTTAAGCAAAGTGCACAGTTTCCCCTGTCCAGCCTGTGCAGGAGCAGCTAACGGGTTAGCTGCGTAGCTTTCCTCCCACAGCGTCTCCCTGAAAGCTGCAGAGCCACTTCCTTCTTTGGCGACATCTCATACCTGAGGCAAGCTGGCGGCCCTACAAGTAGAAGCCGAGGACAAAGAGCTGGGGCCCATGACCTGGGTGCTGAAGATGGAGGACGCAACCATCGAGTCGGGGCTTGTGCACGACTTTGATGCCAGTCTGTCCGGGATCGGACAGGAGCTGGGAGCTGGAGCCTACAGCATGAGGTTAGAGATGGCCACCCCGACATCGGCCTCTTTTAGTTATCCAGAGAAAAGCACACACATGTCTGGCATTATTACTACAGCATCGTTTGTGTTTCTTCGTGGGGCAGCCCTTGTTTTGCTGTGTGTCCTGGGCAGGGACACAGGTCCTTGAAAAAACATTGATGAAAAATGTGGTTTGAGATGGTATCTCTCTCTAGTACAACATTCCCAGATAACACTGAAGAGTGAACAGAAAAGACCTTTGGGTCTGGTGTCAGAGAACAAAGACTGCATACGGTTCCATGGTTTTTCATTCAACACAATAATGTATGTTCCCGGTTAAATAAGAAACCAACAAGCTAACCCTGCAAGGATGCCTATGTAAACAACACAGAGAGCTTGTTTATCTAACCAGATTAAGTACATGAACAAAAGTGGCTGCCAATTCAATGCACAGTTATTCAGCCTATAAACCAAATGTATAGTCCTTCTGCTAATATGCCATTGATGTTTGTCTTATAAGCAAGAAATGTCCATGTCATTTTGTCAGCTCATACCCTGTTGTCTGCACAGCTAATGTTATACAATTATTTGTGAGTGAATACTATGGCAGTACTAATTAATCTTATAAATTAAACAAAATGATACTAGGAAACAGTGTATGGTTTGTGCTATATGATGTATGTAGATGTGTAACTCATCTTCCACTTGCCTTTAACAAATCTAAGTGTGTGTGATGTAGGACGTATGTAGTTTAATGTGGGTACGGTTTACTAATGCTGGAGTGATCGAGTGTGTGGCTTTAGGGTCACCAGTGTCAGTGCCACACTATCTGGGGCGGGTACATGGTTGGATTCAGCAGCTGGTAGGAACAGAATGTCTCAGTTTGTTTGCAACAGCCTTGTCAGGTTTCAGGAAGCAGATGATTTCTACGTTCAGATAGATGCAAGCACCATACCTAGGATGGCATGATGTGGGTACTCTTAACAGGAAGTCATCAAAAATGTAATTTAAGCATATGTACTATTCGTATGAGATTATGGTCTTGTAACTGTCATGGTGGTGCTAAAGTTTGCTTGTGGTTTGAGGACCTGGCAGAAAGTTTGTGATTAAAAAATTACTTTTAATTTAGATGCCACTTGGTGTAGATGTCATCCAGGCAGGATCACACCTAATGTGTACCCAGTGACACTCCTGCACTTGGCAGGGTGAGCTGAGGACGGCCGGTTTGTCTAGTGTGTCTGCCAAATGTGAGATAATATGTGATCCTGCACTGGTCTCGCACATGTATTATACAGCACCTCATTAGTCAATTGAGATATTCACTTGTACTAAAATAGATCCCCTTCAACAAGCTAATATTAAATATGGCTCACTCACGTTTAAGACATAAATAATTGGAACACGGCAACCTTTTGTTTACATTTTTTGTCAATCACTGCCAAAACCAGACTTTCCAGTCATGATGAAACAAATGCTGTTGTTTTTTAAGCAGTCGTTGCTCACATTTTCTTCCAATTGTTTCTCTCTTTCTCTTCTGTTTTGACTGCTCCTCAGTGATGTGCTGGCGCTGCCCATCTTTAAGCAGGAGGATTCCAGCCTTCCTTCTGAAAGTGAGACCAAAAATCCCCCATTCCAATATGTGCTGTGCGCTGCCACCTCTCCAGCTGTCAAGCTGCATGACGAGACACTCACATACTTGAATCAAGGTGAGTGCTTCTGCAATAGATCTATGCAAAACTGACAGTAAAATACACCTTTGCAAATAAAAGGTGCACTTATTACATAATTATATTTAAAGAAGGACTGTTTGATTTTTGAAAAATAAAACTGATCAGACACTTCTCACAGGTCAGTCTTATGAGGTGCGTATGTTGGACAACAGAAACCCTGGGGAGTTACCTGAGCTGAACAACAAACTCGTGAAGGTGAGTGTGTGTGGTGGTGTTGGCTCCAGATGAGGTGATGGTGTACTAAAGGCTTTTTTTTTTTTTTGTAGAGCACTGTACGAGTGGTGTTTCATGACCGGCGGCTGCAGTACACAGAGCACCAGCAGCTCGAGGGCTGGAAGTGGAATCGTCCTGGCGACCGTCTTCTTGACATCGGTAAGGGTTCCCATTGAAAGATGTTCGCTCAAACTTAATTGATCAAAACATGACATTTGTGTTTTTGTGTGGTGCAGATATCCCCATGTCAGTGGGCATCGTGGAGCCAAAGACTCACCCCTCTCAGCTCAATGCGGCCGAGTTCCTCTGGGACTTGAACAAAAGGACCTCTGTTTTTGTGCAGGTAGGGTCTCATTTTATCTACAGCTTTTGATTGTCAGTCTTAAATTACTGGCTCATGCTGTAACTGTGCACTTTTGACTGTTGCAGGTACACTGTATCAGCACTGAGTTCACTCCCAGGAAACATGGCGGCGAGAAGGGCGTCCCCTTTCGGATCCAGATCGACACGTTCACACAAGGAGACAGTGGGGAGTACACAGAGCACCTCCACTCCGCCTCCTGCCAAATCAAAGTCTTTAAGGTTCACTTTTGAATTGCTAATAGTACTCATATATGTATTTTTTAACCCATTCTTCATGAACTGATATATACATGTTTTCATTGGTTTAGCCAAAGGGTGCAGACCGTAAACAAAAGACTGATAGGGAAAAAATGGAGAAACGAACTGCACAAGAGAAGGAAAAGTACCAGCCTTCTTATGATACCACTATCCTTTCAGAGGTAAGTTTACAGTGCTTATGTGTTTAAAACTAATAACACATGTACCCAGAGATTGTGTTTTGCCCATGCATGTAATTTATTTGCCATCTTCATTTAGTGTTGCTAAGATGTTGCCAGAAAATTGTCTGGACTCAGTGTATTAGTGCTTATGATTTTTTTCTGTGCAGACAAGGCTTGAGCCCATTATAGAGGATGCAGGTGACCATGAGCTGAAAAAGTCCAGTAAACGGACACTTCCTGCTGACTGTGGTGACTCCCTGGCCAAGAGAGGCAGTGTAAGTTCTTCCTCCTTTTTCCTACAGCGATTTAACTCTAAAATGTGTCTTTATATTACCTGGTTTTATCTGAGTACTTCAGGGCCTGTTCACACGAGAGCGCTTGTGGGTAAAAACAACAAAATATTTTACCAGAAGTGCCTTTTGTTCAGATGGTGACGGTGTTTTGGGGGCTTAAAAACGCAAAAATCTGAAACCACCCTCCAGAGTGGAAAAGTTGAATACACTCCTCTGTAGCGTTTCAGTCTACACTGCCCAAGACGCAAAACTGGTCAGATCTTCTCACGTCACGTACGCCTTTACGTCACATACATACAGTACAGAAACAAACGTGTCGGATAATTTCCATGCGTCGAACCTTCAAGCTGCAACTCTAATTGTACAGAATATGCATATATATACGAATAGTGAACAGAGAAGGATCTGCAATTATCTCTGTCAAATTCTGGATGCACCAGTTCATCACAGGCAACCCAGGCGGCTATGGACGAGACCAAAAATCAAAATGAGACATAAACAAGCTCAGTTTTAAAATGAATATTGTAAAGTTAATTTTCATAGGTCATCGATATTTTTCATTAAATCAAACTGCTTCTTTTCAGTGTTCCCCATGGCCGGACAATGCTTATGTCAGCACCAATCAGGCAGCTACTCCCTCCTTTGCCTCCACACCTCTGTCCACTTACACAACATCCTCCGTACCTGACAGGTAGTTTGTTTGTATTCACTGTTTCTGCAATATTATTTAATATTATTTTATATTCTATATTTAATATAATTTGACTTTTTCCCCATTAGTGAGTCGTCCTCCCCTAATCACCAGGCAGACCCAGGCAGCTATGGCAATTCAGAGGTTTGTGTTAAAATGTCCAATGGTTTTCTGTATTTTGTAACATCAGTAAATAAGTGTCCATTATTTTACATGTGTCACAAGTTTTTTTTTTGTTTTTTTTTTCCTGGGTCACTGACAGTGTGCTTTCCTGCAGCAGTTAAGCCCCACTGCCTCAATACAGGATGCCCAGAAATGGCTGTTGAAGAACCGTTTCAATTCTTATACCAGACTCTTTTCACACTTCTCAGGTACAATTTATTACACCTTTTGATATTTTTTTAACCAATAAACTATATTAACAGCTTTACTGCATGTTTGTTTTTGTAGGTTCTGATTTGTTAAAACTAACTCGTGACGACTTAGTCCAGATTTGTGGTCCAGCAGATGGTATCAGACTCTTTAATGCACTCAAATCAAGGTGTGTCTGTGTACAACATTTAGTTTGTGTGTTAAAAAGGCCCACTATTCCCTAAACACATGTCTTTTTGCAGGTCTGTGCGACCTAGGCTGACAGTGTATGTCTGTCAGGAGTCTCCTCGGGAGAGCCCCCTGCTGGAAAGACATAGTAGTAATGAAAATGGAGAACACAGTGTCCCCTCTAGTTTACACGGTAATAATTAATGAGGCTCTATGTACATTGGCCTAAAAGGTCACAGACATTTTATTTTATCATATTCTGTCTCTGATCTTTGCAGTGTATCATGCTTTGTACCTAGAGGAGCTGACAGCAGCCGAACTTATCCGCAAGATGGCAGCCGTGTGCAGCCTTCCACTGGAAAGAATTCACCATGTGTACCGACAGGGTCCCACGGGCATACACATCCTGCTCAGTGACCAGGTAACAGCCACTCCCATTAAATCCTGTGAGAGACTGTAGTCTCTATAGTAGTTTGGAAATTTTTCATTTTTATTAAGACAATTTTGCTTATCATTACTTAATTATTCATCTTCATCCTTGTCCATTTTAGATGGTTTACAACTTGACAGATGAGAGCTGTTTTTTGATCAGCACTGTCAAAGGTAAGTTTTAATTATATAATGTGATTTGTGATTAGTGTTTAGTAATACACTTGCTTGCTGTCCATTTCAGATGAAACTGGTGAAGGACTCCATCTCATCCTGAAGTAGTGCTTGGGACAAACTGCATCACTAATACTCCATCCTTTGTCTTGGAGGAGCAGAACCTCTTTGTCTCCTTCTGTGCGCCTCTACTCTCCCTTCACACCCCTCCCTCCTCCCTTTTTAACTGGGTGCTTGACTGAAAGCAGGGACTGACCTAAAGCCATGTAAAATGTTAGAATCTGACATGGGAGTGTCCATTGTTTCATATTGAAAACACTATTAACAGAAGGATTTAGTTAAAGAGGAGAGGTTGAGGGTGTAGGGGGAAAGATACTGCTTGATGTATTTTATTTTATGTTTTGACTTTTTTTATATTGTCTTGTGTGAAAAAAGGGAGATGAGAGGCTCCAGGAGAGGGAGGAGAGGGTTGTTAAATATAGAAAGAAAGCAGAGTTTCCTTGTTGCTCGTTGCCCTTCCTGCACAACGCACACAACCAGCACTAGGCCAGTATTTGATATTTGTACAGCAAAACAGCATGCAAACAGAGCATACTAACTTGCTTTTCTGAGTTATAGTACATCTTAACTCTGCTTGCTAAACATTCTTGAGGGGTTGTCTTAAAAAAACAAACTCGTACAGATTGAAATGTTTGTTACCCCTGACAAATTGGCCCTTCACCAGATTTGTTGAAGTTGTGTCATTTACGTGTTATATCCTCAACATTTATTTTTCAAACGAACTAATTTCATGTAGATTTCACATAGCAAAAGATTATGTGAATTTTAGTACCCCAGCCTTACCCCACGTGCTACTTTAACAACTTTATTTCTTATAATGGTATGTGTTTTCAGCTTAAACTTTTACTATTTTAGTTGAGTATTTATGTGTACGTAGCTGTCACTTTCATTTCATTGTTTCTGGTGCCATACTGGCTTTTCATTCATGTCAGCATTATTTAGTTTATTTAATTCGCACAATCAAACCCCCTCATACATACGGCTGGTACAGGACTCCTATACCACCTTTACTCACTACCTTCAGAAATGTACAAAAACAATTAATACTTATAGAACAATCTAGCCTTATGTGGACCAAATACATTTTCGATTTAATTGGTAGTTGTTCAAGAACAGCAGTGGCCCATCCTAATGTCTTGCATAACTAGTGCATTGCAGGACAACCCTGATCATTGGGAGAATACGTTTAAATAAACTGCTGGAACTATATTGAAAAAGACATGAATTACTGTTGTCTGATTTATTCATCTAGTCGCTCTACTCCTGTTTTATACATTAACAGACGTTCATATGTTTTTATTGTTATTACATTCATAATTTGACCTGAGATGGGTCATGGAAGTCTCCCGTTTTATTTAGCCAACCCCCTTTTTCCTTTTTTGGTACAGCGTCTGACAAAGTTGAGTTGCACATGGTGTGTTTGTGCGTGAACTGCACGTCTCTTAAGTGTCCGAATGTTTGCTTGCATGTGTATCATTATTTTATTTTGTTGTTTTTTTTTGTTTTTTTGCAAAGAAGGCTTGTCTGTAGTTGTCATATTTCCTGGTGTATGATAACGTGTTAGCTTGTTTAGAAAAGAGCATGTGGAATATGTTAAAAGAGAGGAAGGGGGACAATTGTTTCTGGGGTCAATTGTGAACCCTCTGTATGTTCCAAATATTAAGAGACCAAGTCTGCACTGAAAACACAGAACTAGCTCGGTGTGTAGTCTGTAGTTTTTACCACCACGCACCTTTGTACCTGCCTCTGGCTCCAAAAACTAAACGAATGTGGCGTTTTGGTCTCATTTCACACGAGCCAGCATTGTAGCTTTGTGGTGTTTACAAAGACAATGTTCACAAAGTCAGTAGACTGTAAATCCAGATAATAAGATCTATGAAAAACCTCTTGAGCAGCAGCTGTAGTCCCTGACGGCCTGATCATAGTCCGTGTCTGTGTGAGAGTGAGCAGGAGAGTTGACCACTGTTCATGTACAGCCTAATGTCAAAGCTTCTCATGTGCACAGTATCGTATGCTGGACATGTATACAACCACATGTGCTGGGAATAAATGACTACATAACTTTCCTCTGCTTCTCATGTCTTTCTATATAATTTATATATATATAAATTATATTATATTATTATATATATATTGTTAAAAAAAAATAATACGTTGTCAGTAGTAGGGTATATTTGTAAAATCTGTGCTTGTAATTTTATATAGGGCTTTTCAGGACCCTCAAAGACACTTTACAGTACACTTATTAATACAGTCAATGGAGCAATAAAATAATACAGTAGAGATAAAAACAGTGACTCATGTAGAGAAAAGTCATACATTAATAGCTATTCTGAATAGATGGGTCTATTCAGTTGTGCTTTTAATATTTCCTTCACGTATATCTATTGCGAATAAACTATGAATTAAGCAGAATGTAGCCTTGATTAAACATAGATCTTAAAATGAAAATGTGCATTTAGTTTAAACGTAGAGGATATCCATTCCTCTGGTCATATTAAAAATGTAATATATATAATAATAATAATAATTCTGTCATCCTTGGTGATCATATGATTCCCGGCACATCCAGATCATAGACCGGTCTGCGATCTATTCTCGACCACAGACAGTATCTGGACCAGACGCCACCCCGTTCCCATGACGCCATATGACGGCTCCGGACTCAAACCAGGAAGTGGACGCGCTGTTGTTTGTATTCTGTGGTCTCTAATCGACACGATTTTTTCTGTTTTGAGCTGTCGTTTCTACGGGCCGAAATGGCAACGTTTATTTCTGTCCCGTTGAAAAAATCATCCGAGGTGGATCTAGTGAAACCGCTGTCGAAATTTGTCACAACTACATATCAAGGATCCGAGGAGCAGGCGGAGTATCTGCGCGCAGTGGAAGAGCTCAACAAGCTACGCAAAAGCGCTGTGGGAAGGCCGCTCGACAAACACGACAGCTCACTTGAGATTTTACTTAGGTGATTGAAATGTATTTGTTGTCTTGTTAGTCTTTGATTGCCAGTAAAAAGTCTGGTCAACACCTTGTTACCTGTCGCGCTCACTTTTCTCTCTGCCGCACCCAGATGAGTTAGCTTGCTTGCTAATGGCTAACAGTGGCTAAATGCTACCGTGAGATTTTTACTGACTCATGTGTTATTCGTCCTCGGGTGTCCGGTGATGACAACTTAACTTTGTGTCTTGTGGATGTAGCGAAAACATTTTGTGTTATTTCATTTCAGTTCAATTAATTAATTACTATTGGTTTACGTTCAGTCACAAACACAAATTAATTAGTAAATGGCAGAATTGACAGAAAACGTCAGATGCCATTTTCTTATTTTTGTAGTAAACCCGGTGCCTCACTTTTATGAACGACAAAATGACAATAACCTCCTTATAATTGTACCTCTCAGGATCATACATTATGTAATGGGAATTTTACACAGGCGTTGTACATCGCATAATATTATGACTTTATTCCGTGTAACCTTTTAGATTGTTATCTTTGAGTTTTGTGTTGTAGTTTTTTAACTAATGCTTGTTTAATTTGGTATTTGACCCACCCCTTTACACAGTCATTCAGACTTTGCTCTATGTGATATGGTTGCTTTTGTTCTCAGTGACTCATTGCTTATTTTTTGCACTGGGTATGCCCAGGTCACCTGTATAGCCAAGAATGCCGTCACTCAGAGTGTGAGGCCCCAGCCCCACCTTTTATTTTAGTGAAAATGGCATCTAGGCCTTTACATTGTTGGCAGGTCCACAGTAGGATTTCAGAGGATTTCCAGAGCTCCCAGTGCATTTGAATAATTGATTAACATTTGTGTTACTTTAAAAATCAAAGTTTTTATGTTATGTTTCATCTTCCTGTTTTTGGAACATGTTATTTCCAGTATCAGCTGGATTGTGAACTTAGAAATGTAATTCAGTCAGATTTAAGATTTTGACATTTCTGGACATTTCTTGTTAGACTAGTATTCTTTGAAAACTACAATTATTGTTACTGCTCAGCTTTTTACCACTTGTCTGTTGACCATGTGCCAGATAGCCCTAGCGACCAGCTTTTCTCCCCCAATCAGATTCATTGCCCCAGTGTTGCCATGGCAGTCTTTCTTTTGTTCTGTACCACACGGTACATGCATCTCGGCTTTCACTGATGCGTGTTAAGTAGAAAGCTTGGGTATCAGTATTATACAATGGTGTAAGTGCCAAAAGACAACTTTATTTACAAAACTATATGTGACTCAAATGGGTAAATGGGATTCCCAACCAGACCAGATGTCTGTTATTGCTAATTATAGACACTTGTCACACCAGTGACCTCATGTTAAACTGTACAAAGGTACCTCTGCAATGCAGTCAGCTCTTTTGGCCTTATTTTTCCCTGAGTCATAGTCACATGTCTATTATTCAGCACTGATACCGAACGTCACAAATTTAAAATATAGTTTCTGTCCTTGCATTTATGTTTTAACACATTTTATGCAAAATGCAAACATATTTGTTAAAATAACCAGTTCTCTTTCTTTATAGATATTATGACCAACTATGTTCTGTTGAGCCAAAGTTCCCTTTCTCTGAAAACCAGGTAATTGCATTATCACTCGGCAGCACGCATGACTGTAGATTTGAACAGAACACACCAATACAAAGCCCTTCTCTGTCTCCACAGCTTTGCCTAACCTTCACATGGAAGGATGCCTTTGATAAAGGATCTCTATTTGGTGGCTCAGTCAAGCTTGGTAAGTACAGCACTCACAACCATTTCTTAAAGATATGGTAGGTAGAATATTTATTTAAAATTTAATAAACTTGGCCTATCCTGTTAAAAAAAAAAAAAAAAAAAAAATTGAATCAAGTTAAACACAAGATCTGGGCATGATAGAGTATTATCCGCTGTTCCCAAGCACACCAGAGACTCACGATCTTAAAAAATCACTGAACCAATTTCTTCCAAACCACATTTTAATCCCTGTCCTTTAATAATCTGTTTGTATAATTATGTAAAGCATCTTTTGGTTGTCTTGAAAATCACTGTTCATGTTTACTTTGAGGCTTGCTGACTTCTTGGCCTCCATGGAATAAAATGGGGAAATATGAACTAATCTAACGGTGGAAAGAATTTAGGTCTCTTCTAGTCTTGTTTTCAGTTTGTAACATTACTTCTTCTATGGTTATTGTTTTAGCTCTGGCCAGTTTGGGCTATGAAAAAACCTGTGTGCTGTTCAACTCTGCTGCTCTGGCCAGTCAGATCGCTGCAGAGCAAAACCTGGACAGTGATGAGGGGTTGAAGGCTGCAGCAAAATACTACCAGGTGAGAATCATTAAGAGTTGAGACTAGGGCTTTATTTGCATCTATTTGCCTGCCACTACCAGCACAATGTAGCCTCTTTGTGCACGTCAAGTGTATTCAATAGTGGACGTAGAAAACAGGAACCTTTAAGCACTGGTCAGACTGGTTATAGCACAATAAAAATGTCTGGTTAATTATTGTTTTGCATGGTCATATGTCTCTTGTAGCTGGCCAGTGGCGCATTTGGCCACATTAAGGACACGGTGTTGTCTGCTCTGAACCGGGAGCCCACTATGGACATTTCTCCTGAGACTGTTGGTACCCTGAGTCTTATTATGTTGGCCCAGGCACAAGAGGTCTTCTTTCTCAAAGCTACTTCAGGTACTCAAGTGTACACCACTCATCTAGGACTTAAAAGTTAACAACTAAAAACTTGCCATAAATTAGCCTGCCCACATATAAGCAGGGTAAAATATTTTCACATCTTTAATTGGACACCCATGACTCTAGTTGCCTCAAGAGTAATTAGTAATGACAAAACCAGGGTTGATGTATGTTCTCTACACACGGTGTCCTAAATATGTCTCTGAAAGTGCTTACTGGTAGCACAAAAGTTTTGAAGGTTACCTGTTAAGGGATATACCATTTTAGAATTAGACTTTAATTCTCTGCTGCACATGGCCTTAATTTGCAAATCTGACATTTTACACTGTTGTAAAATGGATTAATAGTTCCAAAACATTAGCTAATGTATTGTATTGCCTTATTGGAGTGTGCTTCTTTAGTAACTAACTTTTATGTCGAATATGTAGATAAAATGAGAGATGGTGTCATTGCAAAACTGGCCAACCAGGCAGCAGACTTCTATGGAGATGCTTTCAAGCAGTGCCAGTACAAAGACAACCTCCCTAAGGTATGTAAAAGAAACACGCTGCACTTGAACTCACAAACTTACAAAGTAACTCATAACATTTTGACATCAGATTGTTGTGTGTTGTTGTACATCATTATGTATGTGTGTGGAGAACTTACCTGGATACTGGGCTTCAGCCTGTGGGACTGTAACATCTCTCTGTGCTCACTGGGTCACTTCCATCTTATTCTCATTGATTACTCAAGCACTAAATGGTTTGGGATATCGGCTCCTTTGACTGCTTCTTTGACAAATCCTTCAGCAAGAGGCACACCAAACATACTCTAATAAGGCATAGCACTGAGACCTAATATTAGTAGAAATGTGACAGGCAGCTCACCACAGTTAATGTGCTAAGATAGATAGAAAAAAATATTTGGGTATAAGCAAATTCATGACTTTGTTAGAAAATTTTCAAACACTGCAATACTTGGGAAAAAGACAAAGACCATTATTTATATGGAGCTGTATTGGTATCATAAGGTCATAGTTGGAACTTGGGGTGGGCAATTAATCAAACTGATTTTATTTATTTCTTGTATTTAATAGTCAAGGTTTTGAAAAATTGCTAAATTGAGAAATCTGGGATTATTTTGAAACAAAGTACTCTTACTTTCTTACTTGCAAAACAGGATTATGGTGCAATTGAACAACTGTAAAAAAAAACAAACAAAAAAAACACTTTCTAATTTAAACTATTAAAATTACATTACATATTTATGCAAATGAAGTTGAAGGCAGTTAACTTTTTTTTTAATATGATAAGTATGAAAATGTAAAGAGATTCACCTGCTCACCTTCACTTGTTTGAAACACTGACTTTGATTAAAGCCGATTAAAATCCTAATTGTCCAGTCTGTGCAAAAAAATCTATATTTTTATTTTTGGCCATATCACCCAGCCTTACCTGGAATATGCACCAAAAACAGAGCCAAGAAACTATATTGTTATACTCATATTGTGAAGAATTGCTCTTCAAGTACCTTACATACATACAAATAAATGTCACCAGTGACATAACAGTCCAGTGGTCTCAACTTATAATTAATGCTTCATACTGCCGCTCTCATGTAAATTGCACATTAGTTTAGGCCAATGTTGAATTCGCTATAAGCATAAAACTCATGGCCTGTTCTGTTTTCTCTCTTGTCTTCCTTTCCTTCGGCATCCCCCTGTGCTGGTGGTCCTGGTTGTGTGCTTGTTTTGTTTGCCCACCTCTGCTCATGTTTGGCTTTTGTTTTGTTCTTCATGATGAACTTGGCTGGTGTGTGTCTGCCATTTTGTGGTTTGCCCTGCCGTTGTCCGTGTGCTTGGATTTATTTGTTTGCATGTCTGTGTGTTGCTTTGTGGTTGCCTCTCCCTGGTCAGTATTTTTATTTTCAGGAAGTGCTCCCGGTGCTGGCAGCCAAGCATTGTATCATGCAGGCCAATGCTGAGCTCCACCAGAGCATGGTGGCCAAGCAGAAGAAACACTTTGGGGAGGAGATCGCTCGTCTGCAGGTAAAAATGCTCATCGATATTTAGACTCTTCTATATTGAAATTGTTGCTAACTGACTGATTTGATTGTTTTTTTTTCCCTTTCAGCATGCAGCAGAACTTGTAAAAACAGTAGCATCTCGTTATGATGAATATGTGAGCGTCAAAGACTTGAGTGAAAAAATCAACCGAGCCCTCACGGCAGCGAAAAAAGACAATGACTTCATCTACAATGAGCGGGTTCCTGAAGTCAAAGATCTAGAGCACATCGGCAAGGCTGCATTGGCCAAACCCACAGCCATCACTCCTCCAATTAGTCAGAAGTTTTCAGGTAACACATTATTTAAGAAAATATTCTCTCTTTCTGCCCCAAATGGCACCCATTACCAGCTTCATTTCCTTTTTCCAGTAATGATTTAAGTCAAGTTTTTTGGATTGTATGGCTCAGTTAGTGGAACATGCATATGCATATTCAGTGTGTTTATATTATACAATATTACAGTTGCTTATGCAAATCTTATGCTACAATTGGGTATGGTGCATGTATACAATGTTTTTTTGTTTTGTTTGTTTTTTTGTTTTTTTGATAGACCAGAGGAGGAGTTTCTGTACTTTTCAGCCTCTTGTGTTTAACTAGTTTATATTTTCCTTCTGCAGATTTGTTTGAGAAGATGGTTCCCATGGCAGTGCAGCAGTCCATGAGCATTTACAACCAGAGGAAGGCTGAGACTGTGAACAGACTGGTGGGAACAATGAGGGAGGCGACCAACCTCTGCAATGGGTACATGTTTACAGCTGCTTCAGATAAAGGGCAGATGAAGGGTGCCTCCTATTTGTCTTAATGCGCAGATGTGCATTACATATTCAACACAGGAGATGGTGCTACACATTAAAATGTCAATAAATGTACATTGAGTTTTGTTTTAAAGCCAATGTAATGGATCTACTCTCAATTTTAACATTTGTATATGAAATTATTTGACCATGCAACCCCAGTGCAAACCACTGCAATAGCTACTTAGCTAGTGTTTCCTAAAATGGTATAGAATCCATTACATTTCAGAATCCAAACTATGTTCCAGATCCAAACATAAAATATTGGGTGAGCTAATTGAACATTTGGTTTATTAAAAGATTTTTTGTGAATGTTTTTTTTTTTATCTACAGTGTGTTGGCATCCCTAAACCTACCTGCTGCCCTGGAGGATCTGTCGGGAGACTCAATCCCACAGTCAATTGTTGAGAAGTCTCATGGCATCATACAACAAGGAGGACTTAACAGCATCGAACAGCTCATCAAGGACCTGCCTGAGCTGCTCACTCGTAACAGGGAAATACTGGATGAGGTTAGTGTGTACTTTAAATCACCAAGGACTGTGCTAAGGGTTTGTGAACAGCTTGCTTGTATTTTGGTTTGCTTTCTTGATGAGGCATATGAAGGACTTGGATATTGGTTCTTTCTATCATTTGAAAACCACACAGATAACAAAAACTCATAATCGTACCCACTGGCAGAGATCCCAGATTAGGATCATTATTGATATCTAATCCACTGATCTCTGGTCCAAGGACTCTCTGTCGCCATCTTGTGCCAATGCTTCTTTAGCCATGACAAACAGACGGGTCTCAAAACATAAAACAGCTCAAGCTCCAAGTTTGTTGGCAGTGTTGAAGAGTCCAACACAGATTGTCCCAATTATCTCCAAAAATTAAGTCAGCCTTCTGAAGTGCTATGATTTAAATGTGATTTTTAACTTAACTGCAAAAGCAACCTAAAGTGTATTCTTTGGTATTGTGATGTGTGAACTTGTTTGTGCTTTGTCATTTAGTCTCTGAAGATGTTGGATGATGAAGAGGCAACAGACAACGATCTGCGAAGCAAATTTAACCAGCGCTGGAACAGGACCCCATCTGGCGACCTCTACAAACCCCTCCGCGCGGGTATACTCACAAACACCCTATCTGTTAAAATACATCTAATTGTGCAGCAGTTGACCATTCTCTCTGTTTTAATCCTTTTCTCCCCAGAGGGTGCTAACTTCCGCAACGTTTTGGACAAAGCAGTGCAGGCAGACCAGGTGGTGCGAGACCGCTACAATACCCACTGTGAGATGATTGCTCTGCTGTGTAAACCAGAAAATGAGTTGAATGCTGCCATCCCCTCTGCAAACCCCACCAAGACCCTGCAAGGAAGTGAGGTCTGTCTCTCTCAGTTTTTGTGAAAACTCATTGTAAGTGTTTCGTAAACCTATAAACAGTGCTACCTGCTGTACTCAAATGCCTGGTGGACACAGTGTGCTTTATGGCCCTATCGCCACTTCTCACCCCAGCTCCATTTTTCATTTTCTTTGCTGAATGTGCAGTGTATTTCACTGGGGAACTTAAATAACTATGCAAGCAGAAAGAGTTCTGGCTCAATTGAAACACAAAAAGAGGTTGTATTGTCTATTCTTGCCATACAATATAAGAAGGATGCTGGATTAAAGGACAATTATTAACTAAAAGTGCTGGAAAAGGTCAAAGTGTGTGTGTGTACATCCATCTCCAAAACAAGCCTTTATTGCTCTGCGCTGGCTTCATCCATCTTGTGTTTCTTGCAGGTAGTGAATGTGCTGCAGTCCCTGCTGGCACAACTTGATGAGGTGAAAAGGGAGAGGGAGACCCTAGAGGGAGAGATCAAGGCCGTCACCTTCGACATGTCTGTCACCTTCCTGACAGCGCTAGCTCAAGATGGCGCCATCAACGAGGAGCAGCTCTCATTGGCTCAGCTCGACCAGCTGTACGGCTCTTACAACCAGAGAGTACAGGCCAGCCTCCGCAAACAGGAGGAGCTGCTGGGACAAGTGCAGGTACAAGGAACACTGCAGCCTCACGACACATGCTCTTCTGTAAGCCCTTTCTCATTTAACCATTGTACCCAGTCATATACGCAATGACAGAATAACATGCACCATTAGTGGAATTAGCAGAGTGGAATTATTCACTCTACTATTCCCAAGGCTGGGCCAGGTTTGTACTTGGAGGTTACCACAGTGGCGCCTAGCAGCAAAACTGTCATTGTGTCCTTAACCCACATTCCCTAATATGAATGTGGTGTATGCGCGAGTGACTGGTGATTATCGGAGGGGCCAGTGGTGCCGATTGGCAGTCTCACTTCTGTCTATGCCAGGGCAGCTGTGGCTACAGTGGTAACTTTCCACCACTGGTGTGGAGTGAATTAATTATGCACAAAATTGTAAAGTAACTTTGAGCATTTATATGACTGACTTTAAGTCTCTTTAAGAAAAACGTAAGTTACTGTTGGAGGTGAGAGGCCATTTCTTAGTAACTTAATACATTTTATTTTTTATGTGAATAAAAATGTATGTGTAAGTTACAAAGTGTCCATAGCTTGCTGTTGGTAAATTAGGTGCAACACTAATGAGTTTGCCCTCTTAAGAATACGATGGGAATATGGCTCCAAATTCTCTAATTTAGAAAGGAAGTTATGAAACATTCATGTCTTTTCATAAACATGTAACTTTGTCTCATTGTGATAATTTTTTGAGTTCTCCCTGACTCCTGAATTATTATGAGGACATTACAGTGTTTCTCCAAGTTTTTCATTTTGAAACCTTGTGCTCTTCATGCAGACATCACACCAGGAGTTCAGTAACCTGAAGCAGTCAAACTCGGAGGCCAACCAGAGAGAGGAAATCCTAAAGAAGCTGGCCTCAGCTTACGACAGCTACATCGAAATCAGCAGTAACCTGCGCGAAGGCACCAAGGTACTAAGTCAGCCCAGGCCCTGCACACTGCCATATGAACTGTACACACCACACCAGCTTCAGCCTGTCACAAACTTTCTTCTAAAAGTTGTTACTGCACTGTGTCAAGCCCAGCGGTTTATTTTGGTCCCATGTTTCTCCTCCACAGTTTTACAACGACTTGACAGAAATTCTACTGAAGTTCCAGAACAAGTGCAGTGACATTGTTTTCGCTCGTAAAACGGAGCGTGATGAACTACTTAAGTATGTCCTTTTGTTTACTGTTCCCTTATAAGGTTGGACATATTTGATCCATTGATGATTCAGAACTAGACCACAGAGTATTTTATACTTTGTAATGTATACCTAAAGGCCTTTGTCTTTTTCTCCAGAGAATTACAGCAAAGCATTGCACGTGAGCCTAGTGCTCCATCCTTTAATGTACCTGCTTATCAGAGCACTCCCGCTGCCCCCGCTGCTGCCCCCGCCGCTGGACCCACACCTGCTCCTAGGACTGTGTTTGTAAGCAGAAATCTGTGCACAGCAATGACGCACATTCACAGCTGTACGTTTAACTCGTTTATGTCCTCTTTTAGCCTCAACAGCCACAGCAACCTCCAGCAAAGGCCGCTCCCCCAGCCAGACCCCCTCCACCCACCATCACTCCCCAGGCAGCCACAGGACCTCCCGCCAATCCGCCGCCCGTTGTCCCACCCACCAACAACCCCCCACCTGTGGCTCCTCCCACCCAGGCCCAGGGTCCCCCATACCCCACCTACCAGGGTTATCCAGGGTGAGTTTTTCAGTTTAATTTTATTCTCTCCAAATCATCAAGAATTAGGTTTAAGTGTTGTTGAATTTCTGATCTTGCTCTGTGTTGGAACGAAAAACTGATTATTTGTTTCTTTGTAAAGGGTATACTAAAAAACATAAGTCTGAGTTTACCACTTAATTTAATGTGGCATTTATCAAAGAACTACTCTTTCAGCTGTTGCTAATAAGAGCAATGCTGTCTGCTGCTGCTAAAATGAAGCTCTGATCTTTTGCTGTTAAGATTCTCTAAAAAAGGCAGTCTGTTTTTACAAATTGAAACTAATTCCAGCATAGCCGTATTTAATGTTTTCTCTTAGTTGTAGTCAGAAACTTATTACATATTGAATTTGACCTTTTTGCTTATTTCCATTTTGTTTATGCAGATACTACCAAATGCCGATGGGTTACCCCTATGCTGCCTATGGACAGTACTACATGCCATACCAAGCCAATCCAGGACAAGGATACCCAGGAGCGCCCCCCCACTGGGCAACCATATCCCGGTTACCCCCAACAGCCCCCTCAGCAGCAGCCCTACTATCCCCAGCAATAACTTTATGTCCTTTGTTTGTTCCTCTGCTCATATGTTAACACCAAATAACCCTCCAGCAATAACAGCTTTTCTCTGCTGGCTTCCTCCTCCTCGTCCCACTCACCCGATTATTTTTTCCTCCCACTAATAGCACCCATTGGAAACCCAAATGACGGCCGACCTCCGTGCTGCTTTGCTCTTCTCCCAAAACCCCTTCATTACTTTGCCACTATGGTTGCATCTCATCCTCCTCAAATCTAATGCTCCTGTTTTGATTTGACAGCACTTCTCTGTAATCTAACCTTCTTCTATTGTTTATATGGGTATTTGTACTGCTACTTTTCTAACAGTTTTTATTTGTTTATTCTTTGGGCTGGACTGCTGTACCACATTTTTAGAGGCGCTCAAACAAGAGCACACTTTTCCTGCAATGGAGATGTGTTGAAAGGGTGGACTTATCATGCCACATCCCCTGCCCCCCACATAGGAATATTGTTGGTGAAGGAGCACTATTTTTATAATGAACCCTGATGCCTCGCTGATGTATAAACCTATAAAAAGGAATGGCCTGTAGGTTTTGTAATGTAGACTGTTGAAAGTTTGGCTCTTCTGTTTCTCACCCAGGGAATGTTGGTATATTTCTGTCTTACAATCAGAAGCTGTACAACTGGGGAAATTACTCTATATAAATATATGTATAAAAAGACTGTGGTTAACCAGGACACTTTGTGATGCACTCATGCTCTGTTTGTGTTATTTTTATTCCTCAGCTCTAATGTGATTAAAAAGAATGACAGTAATCGCCATTTGTTTGTCTTCAGTGTTTAGGTTTTAATTGTGAATATTTGGGAAGTGTCCAGAAGAGGGCAGTCCTGCAGCTCACTCTAGGACCACCACTCAACCTGCCACTATCACTTGTCTTTGTAGCCAATTGGATGAGAAGTGAGTCGTCCTACTCGACTAATCGGACCCCTCTTGACCTCTCGTGCATCCGGGCCAGATCTCATTTAGATGACATGCAAATTGCGTTTCATTGAGGTCGTGATCTCATCCAATCGTATTTCCCCGCAGGTGATTTTCCCCGCAGACAAGATTTCATCCCCAGATATTTATTCAGTGCTGGGAGATGCTAATGATTCACGTATCTCCTCCTTTTTGCTTTGTGCGTGCGTGTGTGTGTGTGTGTGTGTGTACGTGTGTGTGTGTGTACGTGTGTGTACGTGTGTGTGTACGTGTGTGTGTGTGTGTGTGTACGTGTGTGTGTGTGTACGTGTGTACGTACGTGGCAGAGGCTGAAGCAGATGGTAGCGCAGTGTGATGTCTGGAAGGATGCATGGAGATGTTGGCAGAACGCTGCTGGTCCCCTGCCTGCATCCATCACTCTCCACCTCTCTGCGTTTTTCCCCGCTTCTTATCATCCGAATTCTTAAAAAAAAAAAAACACCAGCATATTTATCACATTCTCCCTTAGCGCTTTGTTTTCTTTTCCATCAACACCCTTCATCGTATTTTGCTTTTTTTTTTTATGCCACCTGTCTCAATTTCTCGCCTGCTCTTTCCACTTGACTATTTCCCCACTACAAATCATTTATGTCTGCACTGGTCACTATCTTCCTAAATATCTCAAATCATTACCTTTATAGTATAGTCCCTACATGTCTTCAATATCAGGGTGCATTGTCTGGGTGTTAATTATACAGACCAAACCCCCCCCAAACGGAGTACACACTTTTAATCACTTACAACAACACAATATACTGGAAGTGACAACATGCACACTCCACCGGTAAAATTCACCCCTTGTCTTATCTCTATCGCTGCCAAAGCCAATTGTTGCTATGGGTGTGTTTATCAAAGGTGTCTTCGTGTCTTGGGTACTTAATTTTAACAAGACATTCTGTACCAGGAGGAGTGTCATATTTTAATTGGTCTGAAACCGAATAAAGGCACAAAACAGAGCACCGCAGTGACAGGTATTAATTACCTTCTGCCTAATGCGCGCTCCTCCAAACTCAGCACTCAGCCATATTGGTGGTGCCTACACTATTTCTACTCCCACTCTCGGCTATCTTCAACCAGCTTTCCTTGGCTTATTTTTATTTTTCTATTTTTTTCTTTTAGTCAACCTTGGATGAATACTGATATTTATTTATTCTTGGGTTGTCTCGACATAATTTAAAAGCACAGTGGTGAAAAGTTGAAGTAACGTGACGTGCATGTGATGTGCGTTGGTTGATAATATTGCCACAAAATTCCTTGGCCCTGGTGCGTGTGTTCTGTTGTAATTTCTCTCCATATAAAGCAAGATTCCTGAAATAACTTTGATTGACAGGTTTAGACGCAGTTACTATAACAACTACCTCCTGGTACTCACGAGCACTCCCTCACCCCCTTCACCTCTCCTCTTTTCATTTTCTTTTACCCCATCCCGCGCTCTCCCCCGACTACGCGCGCGTGTGGGCGTGGAGAGGAAGAGATTATGAAAAACTCCACTGCAATATTCCTTCTCATCACAGCCATGTTTGTGTTGCTAAGATAGAGGCCTGGCATCATAACCTGTGTGGGTGAGGGTATAGGCGAGAGTGGGAAGATGAAACGCACTTATACAACGCAGGCAAATAAGCGTTTTTATTTTTCGTGTTTCCCTTTTTAGTTAGCCTACTTGTTCCCTCTGTCAGGCTCCGCTTGTATAATCTTGTCCATCCACTGATTTGTGCGTGAGAGAGGCGCGTGGGTGTCTTCTTCGCGTGTGTTTGTGCGTACAGCGTGCCGACACTGTGGCCACCCGATATGATGAGTGCATTTCAACGATAGTATCTAGTGGGAATGACAGAGGAGAATGTGAGCGCGAGAGGGGGGGGGGCAATTTGTTTGTGCGGGCGCGCGCTCACACTCTGCTGGGAAGGAGACGGACGTCATTGCTGCCACCTGCTTCACAAGGACAAAGGCCAGGCGCGCACACAGGCATGCATATGCAGACAGTCAGAGTAGAGGTCAAAGCAATCTCTTTACATAGCATTAATGATATGATTTACTTAACCTTCTTGAGCTTAAACCATCCATGGTCTACTGTCCCCTCCTGTCAGTGGACGCCCCTCTGCTGCCCCCGTGCCCATGGCTCTCCTTTCATCTTCCCGTCTCTGAGTCATCACACGCGGGTGAGAGGTCTGAGGAAAACAAGCTGCCAGAGTTGGACATGCCATAACAATGCAGCACCTGTCAACGTGTGTATATTTGTGTGTACACCTATGCGAGTACATGCACACGCAGCTGTCTGGGCGCGTCTGTCATTGAGAGAAAGTAAGGAATATTTTCAAGTCTTACTGTAAATACAAAGGCACTAGGGCTGTGTGGCTTTTCTCTGAAGTTGCTCGGTCGCGTTATTGAGCGCCTGTCTCGCTCTGTGGCAGGAAATGAGATGTTGGGTCTCTGCACCTGCGTGACCCCAACTCTGAGATCTCCTCTAATGATCCAAGCTGCGGTGCCCCGGTGTATACCCCTGCGCTTCAACCCTCTCCTCACTTTTCCCAACCTGATCAATAACGCACCCATCACCAGCCTGCGCCGAGAGTAAAACAGATGCTTCCAGTGCGCGTTTTAGATCAAGTAATGAGCGCACCTGTAGAGGTCTCTGCTCCCTTCTTCTTGGCAGTTTAGAGTAGTGAGTTGTGCATCAGGTTGCACGCCTAAGTGCTTTGCTATTGATCTTCTTGATGCTGCAAATTGACCGCTAGACCTGGGATGTGTTTTTCATGTAAACCTGCGCTGATGTTGTCAGCTCAGTGGGAATTTGAGGGCATTTGCGCACCGTTCACCCTACGATAATTCAGAATTAATTAGGCTGCGATACACAAGGGGGGAAGACGGAACCCATAATAAGACATTTAAAGCAGAATGGGATCTGGTATCCAAGTGCAGGGTATCCATAGAGACCGTTGCTATGGCGTAGAGAAATCTCACCTCATTAGGAACAAATATAAATAGCCCTGCGACTCCGCTTATGGCAGCGGTGCCCACGACCGAGCGAAGGGGCTCCGCTGCTTCCAGGTCATTGATACCCGGGTGGGAGTCGGGAAGCGCACGAAGAGGGCGTGATGAATGGTGGGAATGATTAAGAGAATTAGAAGAGAGAGGCTTGCAGGAGTGATTGAGTTCTTGGTGATGTTGGAGGAGGATATGGAGATAGAGAGGCAATACTCATGCAGATTGGGAGAGCAATGAAGAACTTTTATCTGTTTGTAATTGTAAGGGGCTGGACGGTACTAAAAGTTTATAGGCCTTATGTTTGATAGTTTAAAGAAAATGTATTTAATTGCTGCATTGGGAGAAAAGGACTAAAACGAGGTAATGAGCCATTCCGTATGACTCTGGAAATATGTGTCCCTATCTACAAAAAAATTCTTTCCACTGTGTTGAACATAATGAGGGTGAAGCAGAGAGGACAGGAGAGATGGCAGGATGGTTTTGTGGGAGGAAAGCTCCAAGTGGGGGACTATGAGAGCGGTTGACAAGCAAGTGCAGAGAAGACAGATGGGAGCAAAGAGAAAACTCCACACAGCCTCCACTGATTGCATCAACAGGTCTCAACCCTCCAGGTATGCTGCAGTGCACCACCACAAGTGTTGAGTCTGACCATACAAGTGTTGAGTCTGACCATACAAGTGTTGAGTCTGACCATACAAGTGTCCTTTATCTGGGCTTACGGATTCGGTTCAAGACAGTCACACATTCTATTAGATTTCATTAAAGGCAGGGGCCACTCTTTTTGGCGATCCACTGTTTTTTGAAATATCCAAAATAGAAATATGTTGAACCAATTATTATGTGTTTGAGACTGGCTTCAAGTGGCTTAAAATCCTTTCAACTATCACCAGTCTTACCTTCACTCCTTGAAATGATTATAATTTTCCCCATTATAATTCATGTTAACAGAGGGGGAAAAAAAGGCCAATTCTGCCATTTCACTGAAAGCACAAACCATAACTGAAAGAACAAAAGATAACCTATGTGTATGCATATGTGTGTGTGTGTGTGTGTGTATATATATATATGTGTGTGTGTATATGTGTATGTGTATATGTATATATATATATATATATATATATATATATATTTATTTATTTATTTTTTGTTCTTGTTTCACTGAATTGGTTATGGAAATTAGTTTTCATCACTCAATTGCACTTGTACATTTTACAAAGTGATGTGTAAGGTTATGCTTCCTTGTGATATCATTTTCAAGATGGCATTCCTCCAGTAAGAGTCTAAATATTTTGAACATACATCAGAAGAGCCTTTCATTCTCAACACTGGTTAAGTCATTTTTGCACAGTTTAATTCCAACAGCACTTCTATCATTTTCTTTCTTATTGAAAATTCCGTGTTGAGTTTCAAAACAATCCAGTTAGCCTGTTAATCTATTTGTTTGATTGAATGACCTTGTATGAGTGGCTGACATGTAGTCTTTAAATTTTTCAGACAAAATGATGGCTCAATTTATGGACAAAAGCAATGACTTCCTCCTCTAGATGCAAATAAACCTTAAAAGCTTGTCGCGGCGTTCAGTTCTTCAAAGCTAAATGTTTTTTTGGGGGTCTTTTGTTGTTAGCAGTGTGTTTTCAACTCACGAACAAAGGTGTCTGTGACTGAGGAGATGAAAACGCACGACAGCTGATGAACATGGTATAGGGTTCAGACATGTGCTAGTGTGGGCTGTTTAATTGACGAGATTGTTTGATTTCTCTCCCTCTGCAAATCTCTCTCTGAAGACCTGTCAAACTTGCAATAACAGGAAAAAAAAACATGCGTAGAAAAACATAAGGAGGACTGAGAGCTGGGGGAGAATGGAGATGGCAATGGAAAAGACAGCGTTTAGTAGGAAAAAGGAGTAGTATATTAAACACCCACAGCCTATAGAGACATATGCAGAGACAAGCAGAGGAGGGAGAGTCTATGAAACATCCGGTATAGACCACAAACCCACACAGACATCACTGCATCTTTTCACTTAACTGTTGCACCTTCTCACCTTCTTCATGCATTTTTTTATATTTCTGATTCTCTATTTGTGTAGGAAGGCAGATCATTTTCACACTCTTTCCACAGGGTCTGGACCTTAGCTGGATCTCTGAATGTGTGCGTGTATATTCACAGATGATCCATAGTGACTCATTGCCATTGATCTGAAAATAAACCTGGTAGCGGTCAGGTAGATCAATCATACAAATGCATTCTTCTTCCACAGTTTTTAAGTTATAGCCCACTCCACATGTTAAAGGTCCTACAATACACAAAATGAATTCTTGTGAGCTTTAAGTCATAATGCAATTACCTCCTCTAAAAGTTGTTGTTTTTTTCATTCACACATGTTTGAGTAACCCTTCATTATCAGTCTGTCTACATCTCCAAACATCAAAATGCTCTGTTACGCCTTGTGATGTAATGGTAGTAGTTTTAGTATTTTTCCAGTTAACAGCCACCTTCTACCTTTTGTTTAGTAGAGATTGGCAATTTCAGCGCTGAAATCCAAATGAGTTTATTGAAGATGTATGGACTTTAAAAACACAGTGGAGCACTTCCTGCAATACCATATGGCATCATAAAGTGGAGCGGAGTGTTTACCATTTGAGAGAAAAATGCAGCCTAAACATGCAGCAGGGTTTGTGTGTTAAATATGTGTAACTGAAACAAAACACAACTCCAGTTCTATTTTTGATAAGGAAACAACATTATAACACAGATCAGAAAATAGCGTAATACAGGCCTTTTAACCATTCTATTGTTTCTCTCTGCGCTCATACTTTGGTAATTCTGACTTGCTGACACATCGTATCTAAATTCATCAGCATCTCTCCCCAGGGGGTTGCACCACAGTTTTGTACACTTTCAGGTGCCCCTCCAGACAACAGCACCTAGAGCTAGCAAGAGGATATGGATAATAGACTCCAGCACATAGGAAATCAATCACTCCCTGACAGTTCTAATTAGGATGGTCATTTTGTGTGAAATCCTTTATAGTGTCCCAAATCCTCTTTCAGTTCAAGTCACTATACAGATTCTGCAAATTCTCAAACTGCAGCAACTTGCCTGAATCCAGCCAATAAGAATTGCCGGATATGATTCTAATGTAAACCCTGTTGTGATGCAGACTTGACTGTGCTCTATTTTGGGGATATCTTACACAATGACCACATAAAACCAGTGTGGAAGATACAACGAGCCATTCCTAGTGTTACAAGACATTGGTATGGGTTTGCATGGTCATAATGATACAGTATCAAGTGCTGCTGTGCTCTTAATTAGAATTTATGTGCCCTAAAAGCAAAGGACTGCACTGCTGTATGGCTTTGCTAAGAAGCAAATGAGGAAGTCTATTTGTCTGTTTCTTGTCTGTAGCTGTCTAGTCACCAGGCCACATGCTCGATCATAGTTTAAATATGCATAGCCCCACTGAATATGCATGAGGGAGCATTAATATGTATAAGGCTCACTTGTTGGAGGTGTCACTGGATCTCGTGTACACACTTGCACAGGCTGACGTTGGCGCTCACTGATCAAAGCAGATAGCTATGTCCACATGACTAATAAGTGGATTTGGAAGGGTGATGTAATGGTAAACAAAACCAGATAGTCCCACGTTGTTTATCAAATAAAAGCAATTAAAACCCTGCAATGTTATGCACTGGAGAGCTGTAGATGCACATCAGCACCAGAGATATTGTTTCAACTTATTGCAGGTAGTATCATTTTGGTTTATGTGATTTGCCAAAGCATTTATTTCACTGGTCCATCTTTTTTTTTCTTTTTTTTTTTTTTTTTCTATTTTTTTTCTATTTCCTATATGTTATGTTTTTTGTTGTTGTTGTTGTTTGTTTGTTTTAAACGGTCCACCAGTAACATACAACCATGATATGGGTCTTGGTCAATTTGAATTTGATTTTTTTACAATACTGTGAACCTGCCATCTTTATCACATAACATTATATATACTGTTCATTTTGCTCTTAATTATTTCATTGTATTCAAACAGCAGCATTTCCTTCTTACCTTACTAATGCCAGTATTATAATCTCAGTTCCAGTAAGGCCCTTTAAACTGACACCAGTCCAGCACGACGAGGAACTGATGTAACAGTATGACACACAAACAGTCAGCTGTGCACTTTCTAATGAGCAGTGTTCATGTAACAAGCCATCTACACACACGCGCGCGCGCCTCTGTGTCTCTGTCCGCTCTGCCTCACATGCCAACCATACTGCCAACACGCAGCAGGTGTGCTTGTGGCTACGCGCTCCAGAGATTTTTCTCTGCAGTTTATGCTAATATTTCTACTTTCACTATAGGTAATGGTGTCATTAAAACACCAGTATCACGTGAATGACCTGCGTAGTGCACTGTGAGAAAGAAAGCAGACACATGCAGACCAATGCTTGGAGACTTTGAGTGATGCACATCCTGCCCTCACTCATCTCTTTACTTGGTGGTTTCGGTCTGCCAACAATTTGCTCGTAGTTTGACATTTACAAGTTTCATTTGGTAAATAGTAATATGCTTCATTGATATTGCTTTGTTTTTAAAAAAAATATAAAATCTGTCTATAATCTTTTTCGCATTAGTGTGATATACAGGATGGCCAAAGCAGGTTGGAAACAAAAAGAGGAAGAGTAGAATAGGGCTTTTGTCTACTCTTTACAGACTGCATTTATCATCGAGGGATTTTTTTTTTAAATCTTGTGTAATTCTCTCTTTGAATAATGGAGTTTCTGAATTAATTTGAACTCAAAATATGTTTCAGATTAATGAAAATCTGCTCATTGCTTTACTATAATCTCCTCTAATATCTTCATTTATTGGCTCACCATGTTGGTTGTTACTAAAGCAGGTTTAAGAAATAGGAAGTCAAAATATCATTACTTCAAAATGAAACAGAAAGTGCTGCCAAATTTTCTCACCACTTCAAATGGCGGCACTCTGAACACAGATTGCAATGTTCCTGCAAAGAAAAAGAAAAAAAGTAACTTAATAATGAGTTGTAAGACAGACCTTGCTTTAAGCCATTGTTCTTTTCATTAGAGCTCAGAAGTTAAGCTGTGACTTTTGTATCAAACACATGGACCAATGTGCTATAGCCTCATTCCAGTTGTTGTGAAGTTACTTATGACTTTGTTTCTGAATTATTTCATAGCTGTATATTTGGCTGTTTAATTTTAGCCATGAACTTGTATGGCAATGAATGGAGTGTGTAACTATGTATTCCTTTGACAAATTTGTGTATAGGACCATAGCTTGCCTCTTCCATGACCGCCATGTCAAGTGGGTTCTTCTGGGTTTTTCGCTCCTTGAAAATACAATAAAGATGTGGCAGCCATTTTTGCTTATGGCCACTGGACCCAACTAATTAGTCAAACATTTATGCTGAGTGAGAGTCTTCCTTTCCCAGTAACACAAATGTAAAGGGGCAATGTTGTAGAAGTAATCCACCCATCTTTTTGGTTAAGTTGAAATAGACCCAATAACTATTCTAGACTTCCAATGTTGTTTTGAATATGTTCACCATACTACATACCATACTACAAAATGGGTACTGCACACTCAATGTATATTCCATGCATTATTCATTACTCATAAATTAATCCTACAGCTGCCACAACTGCCCTGTGTTCACAACAAGCACTGGTCAGAGCTGAAACTAACACTGTGTAACACTCTGTTACACCCTTAGAGGGTGTAGGCCTAATGGGCTCAGACTACTTTTGACATAGTGTTAAAAGAGTTGGGCTTTGCCAACATAAAATTATATCCATTGGTTATATGTGGGACTGTTTCCATAGCAATAAACAAATCAAAACAAGTGCTCAAAATTCCCTAAGTAAAATAGGCTACTGTAGACTACTAGCCTATGCACCTTATCTTATTGCATTTCTTCTGTCCTGGATCTGAAAGCATGGCAGCTACAGTAAAACTAGTTAATTATTGTCAGTAAAGTAAGAACAAAATCCTCAGTGGCACTGATTGTAGTGGAAGGGTACTCCAGTAGACAGGGGCTGGGGCGGCACAGAGCAGTGGGCTGGACGTGGGCCGGGTTTGGTGTCGGCGCGTGGCTCGGGGTTCAGAGCTCCTCCTGCTCCGGCGGAGACGGGCAAAAGGCGGAGGAGGAGCATCGGGGCGCACAGTCAACACCGAGCAGCACAGAGCGGCACCGCCGATCACCGGACACCTCACCGCCGATCACCGGACACCGACAGCAGCCCGCGGCGGAGGGACACGCTGCACGGTAAGTCTCGGGACAGTGGAAGGTACCTTCCCGTGGATTGTGTGATTAGCGCTGCACTGAGAGACTTCAACTCTTTGTCCAGATGATGTCGCTTGTTATAAAGTTCTAATAACACTTAACTGACTTACTGTTAATCTGCCATATTTAGATTTTGTTGGTTAACGTTAAATATCGCCTCCTCGTCGGGCTGAGGAGATAGCGGCAGCACCAGTCACTTCAGCTGACTGAGGAACATTAAAAAACTTAGACTGATGTACAATTTTGTGTCATTAAATTGAATTAAATGACAGACATGAATACATTTGTAGACAAGATGGCTAATTTAAGCGATTAGTTTAGTTCTGACGAGCAGTGATGCGCTTGTGTTGAGCAATACTAGACAGTGAAGGTGAGTTTGATGGCAAATCTGAAAAGAAATGATCATTGCACATGAGTGTGTCTGTGACAGCTTAACACAGGTTTCAGGCCAACTATAGACATTTAGGAGGTATTAGATGAGTTGTCTCAGTGGTACTACTCGAAAAGGCTATTGTGCTTAATGTTTCGTGGAAATGAAAGTCTTGTATATTGCTGCTGCTTCACGCTTTATTGCCGTGGATGCCCGAGAGTGTTTTTCACCACTTTAATTGGCTTTTAGTTGTCTCTCCCTCTGTGTTTTTGTCAGTTTGAGCACATTTTGCTGCGGTTGCCTGGTTTTCCCCTCTCCCCCGCTCTTGTACACAAGCAGCTGACAGCGCAGTGAAGTGCCGGAGCAGAAGGTGCATCTGCCCCATGTAAAAATAGCCGGTGTGTTTCAGCTAAGCCCGGGTCAAAGTAATGCGACACACGCGACTCCCACCAGCAGAGGGACTGCAACTACCAGACAGCCTCCCGCACCGGGCCCGTCCCGTTATCTTTCCCGTTATGTGGGGCAATGTTGGTGATGGCACCTGTGAGGACCGCAGCTCCGTTGTATCTGCTTGTTTGTGGTTTTGGCAGCGTTATGTGTGTGGTTTGTCCCCGTTTGGGTTCATCTGCAGACTTCAGAGCATCCCACCCACAAGTCACTTTGGTAAAGTGGCTGCACCCCCTTCTCAGGTGCCGATGACTCAAAGGACAATGTAACCTAAATGAGCAGCCTACTTTTGCTTTACTGCTCATCTTTAAAAGAATAATGTAGTGTGACCCCATATTTAAAGTATCCTGGAAAAGGAAGCAGGCCAGATGTAGTTTGTCTTGAAAGAGAAGAATGCTTGCACAGGTGGAGTACATTTATGAAGAAAAACCTGTTAAGAAGAAATACCCCTATAGAAAGATAGAAAAGCAGCCCATTACAGACTTAGGGGCACAGCGTGTGTAGATTATGGATAAACAAAGCGCAGCAGCTCTGCTGTGTCTGCCTCAAGACTCAATAATCATTTTACACCAAAGAGATCTGCTCTCCAGGTTTAAATCTCACTGAATCATTTCCTAATGAGCTCCAAGCTGAGGGAGGAATAGTGAAATCTTCTCTTTATATCAGATGCAGCTTCACAATTGCACTCAAAGTGCCTATGAGCAGTCACATTTTTGTGCTCTGAACATTTAGAAGAATTTTTTTTTGTCTTCTATACAAGAGGACCTGAAATAAAGCATTTTCACAGGGTGATAGTGCTCAGGCCTGTCCTAATTGATATGTTTTACTTTAAGTCATGGATTGAACCAGACTTAAGACCTAATCTGACTTGGTTTAACGACAATGGTCAATCATCTAAGTAGTGTTTGGACATTGTCCCAGTGGCCTGGCTGGTCAGTGTGGATGAGCCAGGCAGCTTTGGCTGAAGAAGAAAGGCATCCTGGTGAGCGAGTGTCTCCGAGGCTGGGGCTTAGAGGAGAGCAGCAGATGGATGATGATGTAGCGGGTACTGGCGCTCCCTGCCTCCCGCCACCATCCGTCACGCGCTAATGATCGTGTCACACCTTCTCCCCGGGCGGCCTGCCGCTTCTGCAGCACTCAGCTCAAAAACTGGTAGCTTTACTCAAATCCCCTCTTCACGGCCGTCGGCTGAAAAGCCCAGAGAACTGCAATCCACTCTATCACTAATTCTTCCACTCTTGCATCGTCTTCCTCCACCTCTGCTCACCTTTAAGTCCCCACAGATTCTCTCTCCTCCAGCTCTGCCTGAACCTCCATTCATCTTGTTTCCTCTGTAGTGCGCCTCTTCGCTCTCATTCTCTCACCTCTCAGTCTTATTGTGTCATTTTCTCACTGTTATTGCAGAGCAGTCACAGAAGATGATCCACTACAAAAACATGACACTTCCTCTTATTTTCTGCTTGGTGATGGTTTACCCGAAAGCAGACAAGCTGAAGGGGTCAGCCCCAGCTGTAGCTGTGGTGGAGCGGGGTAAAGTACACCACAGCAGAGATGGAAATGCCAGCAATGCATGTGGGGAAGTCCTGTGTTATTATGTCCTGTAGAGTGTGTGTGCAGTCCTGGGGCTGCAGCAGACCACCACTCTACGACACAAGCACAGACCCCCTGCTGTTTGTGCCGAACAGTGAATGTCAGCTCTGAGGCAGAGCCACAGAGCTATTTTTACTGTGCATTAAGAGGGCACAGTCTTTGTTTGGAGATTTTACCAGTGCATATAGCACATTTCCATGTAAGGTGAGATGTTATGACCAACATTAAAAATTCAAATTTATTCTGCTATCTACTCCAGGCTGCATAAGGACGACCTAATTACAGAAATATGATAAAGTAAAATTGAGTATTAATGATCATAATTAATTTTAAGTAAATTTTGATGGCCATTGAAAAGATATGACTCTTACTTTATCTTCATCAGACAGAGGCATGTCATTGTCTAACTGTGGAAAGCTATGGACCTTCCTGTAATTAACTGAAGGAATTGTCACTATATGATTAATCTGCTGCAAAGATTCAAACCAGCACCATGTATTTGCTGCATAATGGACACAGTGATACAACACCCCTGTGGCCTTTACACAGCCACATATTACTCTGTAAACAGCAATTAAAGGGCTTAAATACTGTGCTGTTTTCTTTGATAGCCAGATTGTTCCTCTGCCATGCTGAGATGATTCTTGAAATTGCATCTGTTGTGTTTTGTCTTGAAGAAGTCCCTGCGATGCCAGGGCAGACGGGGATGTGTTATTTTTGTAAAAGTGCTGTTATCTCCAGTCAGGTGTTAAATAACCATGTTACCGAGCATCCTCTGAGCTTGTTATCAGTCTCAGATGTTGCAGGAGTAAGTGTCCCCAGAGCTTGGTGCTATACAGCGCCCTGTGTCCCTGCTGAGCGCAGTTGGCCCTTTGGACGCGACGCAGGAATGCCACTTCCTCTCATGTGTGCGCGTCTTTGGTCTCCGCAATACTCTTACCGCACAGATCAGAGCCTCAGCTCGGCATTCTGGGAATATCTTTGCCGGTGGATCGGATGATACTCCCCACAGCTGCTGTTTCTAAGAAAAGCTCTTTGACATGCTCAAACACATACACACAGTGCACATGTGTCGCATTCATGTAAATAGACAAGTACTGCCAATAAGCAGAGGCCCCCCACCCGAAATGCCCAGCCAGCAGTACATGCAGCAATACACGCTGAGCACCAATTAACTGTAAAGCCAGGAAGCATTTGGGAGGCCTAGACAGACTTGAACACACAAGCACACAAATTAGCCTCTTTATGTCATTTTAAGCGACTGCAGCAGCTGGCTCACATGTTTGTCTTGTGTGCTTTACATTGACCACTAAAGTCTCTATTTCTTTGCCTTTTCCCAATCACCAGTAAAGAGTCAACAGAGAAAGGGACGGCGGAGGCAAGTGGAGAGGATAATTGCATTTCTGGCTGCCCTGTGGGATCATGGGATATATGACCTCATCATTCACCTTTGAGGCTTGCTAACAAACAGCACCAGATAGGTATGGACCACAATCAGGAAACGGATATCAGGAGAATGTATACTAAAATATTAAAGGTTCTTCAATATTAAATGATTATGAATTTCACTGAAAATAGCAACTCTAACAGTTGCCACAAAATTAATAATTAGTTGCATGTTAATTGTTAATGTTTTTATTTGAAGAATGACAGAAATTCTGGACAATTCAGATGTCGCTGACATGACGCCATGTGGTGTCACTGAGCTGTCCTCCCCGTCGCCAATACTCACTAAACAGGACGAGGGGGAGTGTCCATATGAATGTAAGAAGTTCAACTCCAATGTAAGCCAAATTAATAAATCTAACTGCACAACCAAATTATGCAACCTTTTCTCCACACCTTCTGTTAACTTTATAACAAATGATATCCTCCGCCACAGAAACACTGTAACCAGGTGCAACCAAAGAAAAAAGTCAAGGTAAGCTAAAGTAATTCTGCATCGCATTATTCATTCTCACTGAGTATCGATTGCACATGTTTATGAATTCATAATACTGCTTACTTCTGTGCAAATTTCAGGCCAAAGGGAAGTTGATGCGGAGTGCAGCTGTTTGTGAGGAGTCACCCCCAGTTGAAGAGGTACCGACACAATAGAAGTGACTGCATTTTCTCCACTCATAATTGTTATTACAAAACTTAGATTACTCTTCTTTTTCCAGAGAATTTCAGAGGACAATATCTCTTGCAGCACTGACAATGACAAAAGTTTGTGCAAATCGGATGACCAAGATCCAAAGAAATGCTCACTGTCCAAAGGTATGTGTGCAATTGATATCTCAGAAAGAACAGGCAAGGAGACAAATAAAATGTAATAAACTTGAACAGCAATGCCATCTTCTAGATTAAGGTCTCCAGGGATGTTTAATATTGTAGTGTTATCTTTATTACCTTTTAAGCATTTTTGTGTTTCTTCTCAGAAGAAACGGGTGCAGAGTACACAGACTCCACGGGTATAGACCTACACCAGTTCATTGTTGATACACTAAACAGCAATCCCAGGGAGCGCATGATGCTGCTTAAACTGGAGCAGGATATGATCAACTTCATCACCAGCAATAGGTCTGTATAAGTGCATGCGACCCATTGATTTTATGCTAATTTAAATAGGTTTTTCACCTCATACATCACAGTTCTGCCCATACAGCTTATTTAGCGTTGTACTCAACATATCTGATCAGTCATGCAAGTCTACCTATTAGTTGGATCTGAACCAAGGCACAAAGCTCTGTAGTCTATAAATTTTTTCACTGGTTTGATCATTGTAACGACTGACTTTACTGTAGAAAAGTGAAGACTGATAAGTATTATTAGTTTTCAGAGAAAGGATAAAATCTCTCTGTAGTAATAGTCTTTGACACCAATGTCAAGTGTTTGCATAACTTACTACCAAATTTTCTCCCTGATGGTTAGAACCTATAATAAGGTACAGAGAAATTAAATCTATTTTTCCTGTTTATTTAATTGCAACCCTGAATATTCCCAGCTGTTATTTACTAGAATATAATCTAATTTGGTTTAATGAGTAAATTAAATGGTAGACAACAAACTTCAGTACAAGTAAGTATCACCCGCTATTATTTTCTTATTTTTCTTTGATTTTCCCATTAGCCCCTTTAAGAGGTTTCCCCCCATGTCGTCTTACCACCGCATGCTGGTTCATCGGGTGGCAGCCTACTTTGGCATGGAGCACAATGTCGACCAGACTGGCAAATGTATCATAATTAACAAGACCAGCAGCACACGCATGTATGGATCTTTATAATATCTTAGCTTAGTTGTAGTTATAAACTATATATATATATATATATATATATATATATATATATATATATATATATATATATATATATATATATATATACAAATTGGGCATCATTACTGTATTACAGACCAGAACACCGCTTTTTGGATGAAGTACAAGAAGACAAGCGGGACGAAATGCACAGATGGAAGGTTATTTTGAAGCGAGACAGCAGCTTAGATGACCAGGTCAGCCTGCCCTTTTCTTTCTCAAGCCCTCAGTCTCTGTGGACTTTCCACAATAATTAACATTGATTGAGCCCTATCAGCATGTTGACCTGTTGGTGCTTCACAGACACAGCCTCGGTTTCACCCGTTACGAGAAAGGCAAAGTAAGTCAATGGAGGAGCGAGAAGAGGAGTACCAAAGAGTTCGAGACAGAATTTTCAACCAATTTCCAAATGTCAACCCAGAGGTAAGTCCTATAGGAAGCAAATATATATGTGGTAAAGCCAGGAGAGGTTCTAATATGTTGACTGCACTTTTCTAGCCACAGAGCACCCAGGAGACCGCCCATACAGAAACCAGGTAACCTTGCCTGCAGAGTGTGCTCGTCAGGCACTTTTTCAGCTTATTATATTTAGATGAGAGCATTAATATGTGTCTGTGCGCCTGTGCAGGGCTGTGGAGGAGTACAATCCATATGCAGAGACCCAGAGGAGAAGGCAGCTCTTCAGGTAAACTAGTCTGCACCTATGCACAGTCATTTATCATCTTAATCCGGTCAGACTGTAACAGACTCAGAGCAGCTGAATACAGAAAGAACCTAGTTTTGTGCATGTGTGTATATTTATTTTCACTGTATTTCACTGTCAACTGCCATGGTGCTAAACCTACATTTCTATAATAGTCTTGTGAAATATTCTGTGCCATGTTTATTGTTGCATAGATGTCGGCTGAATAAAAATAATTATGGTAATTTTCCATGTACTCCACAGAGGAAGCCGTGACAATTCGGGCTCCAGCTGGACTGGCAGCAGCAGACAAAGCAGCTTTGACACCGACTGTCGCTATAGCAGCGACCCTCGACCTTGGAGCAGCACCGACTCTGATTCCTCCTACCAGTGGTCAAGCTCCACCACCAAACCTCGGCAAACGGCCAACAGCAGCTGGGACACACATGGTGCGTTTTCATAAGATTAGATCAGAATATAACTGATAGACTCCTTAACACTCCGCTATTTCACCTTTAAGGTGCAAATGTAGTCACTGTTCACAAGACTCTTCACTCATTTACGTACCTGCGTGAGAGCGATCTTATTTTTACACCCCACTTGGGATTATCGCTGTGTATAAATCATGTCTGCTCCTGATTCAGTAACGTCTAATTAGTGAAAAGCAGTGGAAGTCTTCTGGTGTGAAAATTTTACTCGATTCATGAATTTTCACACCATAGCTGTAAATTTTCACACAACACCTCGAGGCCTCATCACATGAGAGAGACAGATATGTTATAGCAAAGACAGAAGAGGAATTCTGTATGATAACATAATGATGTTTTCAATTTCCTGTGCAGCGTTAATAAAGATGGCTTCTTTCCGTTTTCAATTGAACATTTGTGCCATTTCCTCATCTCTATCCTGTTCTTCCAGGCTCCATCACTCTTGTCAGACTTCCTCCCAGTGGTCAACACCCCTCTCCCCCTCCCTTCATGGAGGAACAAGCTCCAAACACAACCTTTGTTATGGAGAACGGAATACCTCCAGGAAGCATCTTGGTCAACCCTCACACTGGTAATCCATCTATACTTCCATTTTAGTAATTATTTAATGTTAGAACAAATCAAAGTGAATATTTGTTCTCATGTTTGTGAGCTTGGTCCCACTTGTTAAATGCCATTTATAGATTATACATGACTCTTATTTTTATACACCAATATTTGATAGAGCATCACACTTTTTGTTATTCTCTTTTTTAGTTGTTCATCTAGACATTTCTAACAATAGTTTAGTTAATAGTATTGTCACAGCTTGTAGGTTTTACATTTTTGCAGTGTACAGTGACCCCCTGTTTCAAAAAGAGTGCCTAACCTGTGTTTTTTCCTCAGGACAACCTTTTCTCAACCCAGATGGGACCCCCGCAGTCTACAACCCTCCTGACAGCCAGCAGCCAATCAGGAGCCAGGCACAGCTCCAGGGCTCAGCTCCCCAACAGCAGGTACCACAACAGAGAGTCATGTTGGATACAAAATGCTGCCAGTGTTGCATATTGCTGTGAGGTCTTATCTCTATCTCCATGCCTTGTCCAGATGCTGCAGTACTCGTCTGTCTCATACACAACTCCACAGATGTTACCTGTCACACCGTCACAGCCCTACTCCTCCACCGTATGTGTTAAGCTGTATTAATTTAAACTGCGTGTCCATGTTGTGCTCACGTGTCTTCTTATTGGCTTCCTATTGCGTGCTGACCTGCTTTATCTTTACACAGATTGAAGACCTCTCCTCTCAGTTTGCTCATGCGTCTGTGAACTGTCAGTCAAACACTGAAGCCCCATCGATGTACCCTCCCAGTCAGGGATATGTCTATGCAGCACCGCCTCCTCCACTGCTCCCTACCCCACCCAACTACTGCCAGCCTTCACCTCAGGTACACACTTACCCACTTTTTAAATACAGATAGTACAAAGCCTGCCTCTTGACTATCTGAAAAAGGTCATAGTCACTTTGAAAGCTAAAAGCCTCCACTGTTTTGTATGTGGGTTACAGAATTATAGATGTGTGGCATGATTTGTCAAGGATTATAAAAGGTCATTTTCTACATAAAAAATTAGTCCACCCCAAACTAAGGTCAATAAACACTTGAATGCCCTCACTTATTTAATTCTCTGAATACGCTTGTAAATTAGAACATATCAATTTTTTTAAGTCTTTTCAACTGTTTCAACCAATACCTCCAACTGGAACATGAGAAAATGCTTTTTAAATTCACTTTCAATACTTTGCGAATTTAGTCAAATTAAAGGCGCTGTTAGTCACATGTAATAGTCATAATGCATATTATAATGACCTATAATATTTAGATGTTCTAATGCTTCTCTTCTAGGTGCCTGTTTATTATTATGGCCAGTACCCTACCTCATCCCAGCACAGTTGCCGCCCTGGCTCTCCTGGCCCCCACATTGTAGGCCAAACTGCACATCCAACAGGTATATTTAGTGCCTCTCTGTGTAACATTACATCACCCGCCTCAGAGCCCAGCAGTAGAGGAGGGGGCCGTTACACTGTCAGAGATGTGGTCTCAAGGTCTCACAGTGAACCGGTCTCTTTTCCTGCTGCTTCTACTCATCTCAATTAAATAAACTCCCCTGATTAACACACAACTTTATACAACATTGTTAAAAGAGACCAATCTTCTATTCCAAACTATATGAAGGGTGTATAGCTCACTTTATAGATTACACAGCACATAAGCAGTTCAGAGCAACTACAAATGGTCTCTTGTGGGTTTGAGTATTGAATCTATTGACTTTCCACATGTCTTATTTCATTACTCTGTTGTTCTCAAGTAAAGCCCAAATTAATGAAACAAATCAATAACTATATCATATTTGCTCCCCAATGTTATATCTTGATGACCCCCGAAACCATTCTGTATAATTTAATCTAGAGCTATTCAAATTCATACAGCTATTCATGTATAAATGACCTATTTTTATTTGCAGCTGGCTATGCCCCCACAGTGGGGGTGCAGCAGACTGCCCCGGCCCAGACAGTGATGGGGAGCTACACCTCAATGGCCTCTCGTCACTGTGCGCTGATTCAGGTAAAGGTGTTATTCCCTTGTTCTGGTCTGAGCTCTGTGTAAAAACTATTGTGAAAGAGCTTGTTAGAGCCAGTGTACTGACGTCTCACATGCTCCGTCTCTCTGCAGGGAGGCGTGCCAGTGTCATATCCCCAAAGTAAAGTAATGGGTACAGAGGGAGGGTACTGCTGTGTGCCTCCACCACCCCACCATGGAACCTGCCACCCCTCTTCCTGCACCAACCTGACCGCCTCAACCTGGAGCGCGCAGTACTGATGAATAAACTATACACACGAAGGCACCTTTTTTATTGTTTCCTCTTCTTCTTGAGGTTGCTTACAGGGTTTACCGCTAACACATCAAGCTTGTACCAGAGAAAGATAGACCCACGCACACACTGTACCAAAGCTTAGAGTATATTTAAGAGCTGCTGTATTGGATGCATTATTTATAATCACAAATGGAGTTTTATATTGATATTAAATTATATATTGTGTTTTAAGGAAATGCACTGTGTGAATAGAATAAAGTGCTGTGGCTGAACTGACAACCACATTTATATATCATCATGTCTCCTGGTCTTTATCATTTAATCTACTTTTATTTCTATTAGCTAATTTCTATAAATGTTTTAAAATACACTCGTACAACAAATCACTTATAGCAGTACAAATGTAAAATTTACATTACAGTCACGTGGTTTATTTTTAAAAGTACACAATTAAAGTGGACCAGGTTTAAGCTTTATGAAACCTCAATTACTTTATGTGGATGTGCCTAAAGCGCCGCCTAGTGCTCAAAAGTAGGAAATGCAGATATCTCCTCAAGTCAAATAATACAATGTAAATCTTTTGATTGTCCACGTTTAGATTCACCTGTATTTTGATTGGACAAATGATCTGTTGATAAGATTTATTGTTTGGATTGTACTAGATATAACTGAGATGTAAATAGTCCCAGCTTGGACTAATGAATGTTGTTTTTGTGTCCCTGGGGAAGACATTTCAACAACTTCGCCTATGCATGTATGTAGTGTGTGAGTGACGGTGGTTGGATGGGTTGGTGGTGTAGATAGTGACAGTCTTGCTTTCCTGCAGTACCCTACCCTGAGGATCAGGAGTGAATACATAATGACAATACTGTACTGTATTAAGAAGCTTGTCAATTGGCCTGTTATTATTATGATTATGATGATTTCATACAGACATGAGTGCTGCAGGTTCCATGATCTTTAATAAAAGGCACATGTACAGCCATAGTGAGATGAGTGAGTCCACTGGCATAGAGACAAAGCATTAAAACACAGAAGTAAAAGAAGAGGTCAGGAGGAGAGAGATCAGTCTGCATTACAGTATCATCTATTTAAGTAACAACTTCTTTTTCTTGTTCAAGTAAATCTAACACTATAATCTTTACCCACCATATCTGCCATACACACAGACATGCACACCAGATCTTCTACAAAAAAATGCTTTTGAGTCCAGAGGGCCACTGTGCTGGCCAGTGGATACCATGGTCACAGTTTTTATGTTGTTAGCTCCCTAAACTGAGGGATTGTACTGTTCCAAATGAAAATCTCACAGTAAAGATCTTTTTTTTTTTTCTCACACAAACAGTCTGCAAGCCACACGTTAAAAACCAAACTAAAAGGAAACAATCTTCACAGGTACTTAAATACAAAGGGTTTAGTGAAATAAAACAGCATTAGTGTAGAGGTTAAATAAAACCATAGCTAAAAAGAAATAAAAAAATTAAATATGGAAGCATCCAGGCTATCTCTCCTCTCGAAAATGAAGTCGAGGGTGAGTTGAGACAGGGCAAGATCTGTTTTGACAAAGTCTGATTTGGGACGCTTTGGCAACAACAGAGTAAGAGGTGGTTTTAAAAACAGGGAAGTGATTTGAGTGAAAAAGCAAAAGGACACAGACACACAGTACATTCACATGTCCAAAACACAGCTTGATCACTCCAGTTTTTCACCATCGTCTTTGGGACATCTGAACATAAGCAGAGTTTTTTGTTTCAGTGTCACATATGAGAGGCATGTGCACAAGGCAAAAATCCTGCTTTGGTCGGCGAGTGCTACCTTTGGCTGTGGTTTCAAACAGGTGCACACCAACCATCAACAACCCCAGGAAAAAAACATCATTCTCTTGCCCCAAAGAGCCCCTCACCTGAGCCTTATATTGTTATATTTTGACCCACATCACTCATATCAATGCCCAGTCATCTCTGTAGCATATCATCACAGCTCCCCCAAAAGCATGGGGTCTCACTACCAAAGAGGTAAGTGTAAATTAGTGGTGTGCATTTGTAGATATGAAAGCGTGTGTACAATGCGTGTATTTATGTAGGTGTTAAGAGGTATTAAGTGGTTCAGTGGCATCTTTCTATCCTTTTCAACACTTTCCTTGTTGCCTTAAACAAATCTTCCTCCTCCTACTTCTTTTCTTCAATCACACATTTATTTTTGGACTTGGAAGATGAAGAGGCGCAAGTTTATGTTTTTGGCTGCCAGCAGTTTGTTGCACTCCACTGAGTCGGAGATGGGCAGGAGGACGTATTCTGTCTCATTGGCGTCATTGCTGAAACAGTGGTGGTGAATGACAGGTTTGATCCGCACATCATCATAAGGACCCTTCAGCAACAAGAAGGAGCACTCCAGGGCAGAGTTCACCTACAAAACAACAGTCTTTGTCAATTCAATGCCAACAGAAAGAAACTGAACATATGGGTTTGTTTGTGAATATCTTTAATTAGATTTACATAAAGCCAATTTGTAATTAAACAATTTTGCCAGAAAGTTCCTCAGTTTTGTCAGATGAGCAAACAATGATTTATACCTCAAACTTTTGTATAGGAGCACAATCTCTCCTTCCAAAATTAGATAAAACAGAGGAGTGAGTGTGTTTTTCAGCGTACCTTGCTTTTGAGGATAAGCTGGAAAGAGAGCGTGCGCTTGCAGGACAGGTTGGGGTTACGCTCAGAGTCATTGACGCGGGCCTTCAGTACCCAGGTCTGGTTGAGGACAGTGAAGCGTGGCGTTTCATAATATAGGCGAGTGATGAAGTCATCTGTGCGGTACGGCCTGAATTGTACCTCTGGGAAGATATGTAACAAAGTAATTTAAGCACAAGGTGGAGAAAACTCATCTTTTAAACAAGCACTGTGTCTCTACCTGTAAACCCAATTTTCTCATAGCACAGCAGGCTGAAGATGCTGTTGTATAGCTGCATGTCTCTGCGGTGGTTCTGGTCCATTTCTCCCAGGATTCCCATGAGCTCTGTTCCAGTCTTAGTGGGATGGGAGCACTCACTCTCGTGTGCTGGCAACTCATGAAAAGGACCTTGCCAAGGGCAGCCAATCCTCTTGTACTTGCACTGTGTCACCCTGACAACATAATGGTAAGTTTGCGTCAAAGACAGCCCACAGGAAGGAGAAAACATAGCCTCATCTCAATTAGATCCTTCGCAGAACTGTGTTGTAATGAATGCATGATACGTACTTGTAATAAGTACAAGTTTCTAAAAATATCAAAGGTGCTAATTAGTCCAGGTTGTGAAGCAGGGCTAATTAAGACTGTGTGAATAAAAAGAGTGCAAAGAACGAATCCCAAAGAACAAAAGAAGTAAGTCCTAACATTTAAAACTAATGTTTCATAATCAATACTATTTTACATTAGTAAATGGGCATATTTGCATATTTCTTTGGTCATACCTGGATAACAGATATCATACCAGAACACTTTATAAGCTGGGGTTTGAGGCCAAAACAGTACTATGCACCTGTCATCATGACCGTTCTCATGGCAACAGTGCAGGATCACCTGTCACTATAGTAACCAACCTACAGCCTCCACTTGAACAAATATTTTTGCTCAGTGACCATAATAATGTGCACTCAGTTTTTGTGAACTGCTTTCTTCACCCTCCCACCATCTCATTGTGATCCTGTATCCTAGTCACACTTTATGTGTAAACAAAGTGTATATTGCTTAACAAACTTGCTCCACTTTCAGAAGTTGGAATAATAGTTGTTCTTATGTGTTTATGTGGCGTTGGTGGCACATACCTGTCTTGACACTCCTCCTTCTGGTGCCTTTCTAAACTGGAGCGGGGGAATTGTTTGAGGCAGAAGGTGCATTCTGTCGGCAGCTCACTGACAGCTTTCTCCACAGCCAAGTTCCTGCAGCACAGGTTCTTGCTGATCTCACACCTACACCACACAAACAAAGCCCTTACCTCATGGCTTTGACATGGACAGAATCTGTGGCAATCACTTTTCAATCAGCTTTAAGACAAAAGGTAACTTTATGCTTTTGTCAACAAATGGAAAACATGACTCAAATAACCATGTATAATATAATGTTAATCCATGATGTAAAATACTGTAAACTTATATCACTAATTAAACAATAAGGCACATTTTCACTAGTTGATCTATGAGTATCCGTACCGGCAGTTGGGACAGGTGGCCTGTTCTTCCTTTAGACGAGAATCTGCCAAAAGGTGAATGAAACAGCCTGCACACATCAGGTGCCCATTTGTGCACTGTGATGGCAAAAAACGAGAATTAGAAAATGCAAAATATTAGATAAGGACAGATTTATTATGACTGTGTAATTAACTAACAATACGAATGTATAGCCATCAAAACTGTGTTTATGGGCTTTAGTGGCATTTTATCTCTTTGGAGAAAGAAGTTGTGTAATTTGACAACTTAATCAAAATATAACATTCACCACCCACAGTGTGTGAGGGAATTGCTGTATGCATTACTGTGAGTTCTCATGTATATTGTGATTTTGTCGATTGAGGGACTTTGTTAACATTCTCTGATTATGTTAATTACTGTTTTACATGTTATGGGATCAGGGTGGGAGGAGGACAGCATATTACTGAAGTCACAATATGGTCATGTGATGTAACAGTTGTATGTAAAAAGTTAATGACTTGAAAGAAACTACTGGGTGGGCTTCTCAATTTTTTGTTACCTAAATATTTTTGTAATAAAAACTAAAAACAGCAGGAAGTTTGCCTTTGCTTGGGTTATTTGGGGATAATTCACAGTATCATGTAATTAGCTGAGCCAGCACAGGCACAGCCGGCCATTTGGCTTGGGTGTGTCAGGTGTCACCAGTGCCTCTGTCTCAGTTTGTGGTGAACACTTGGCGCTGTGTAGGACGGTCAAAACTAAAAATAACAAACACTGGCCGCTTCATGCAACAGGTTGTCTTTGTGGAAGGAGGGGTTGGGCCACATGGGGGACTCAAATATGATGTCAAATGAGTTTTCTTCTGCATGTTCAGGGACTGTGTTAAAAATTGTGATTGACACATTTACCTGGTAAACAGAGGCCTTGGGCAAATCTAGGCACACGGTGCAGCATAGCACTGAGTACAGTCTCTCCTCCAGCTTCCCTGCCTCTCCTTCGGGCGCTTTGGCCTTCTTCTTGGGCGGCTCGTCAGGGTCAGGCTCGGGCCCCTCTCTCCTAGATCCGATCTCTTCCTGCATGGCTGCCACCCCGGCTACGGCCTCCACCGCTGCCCCCACGACCCCCAGTCCGGCTGAGGAGGAGCTAGGGGCGGCCACAACACCCACATCTCTCTCCTCCAGCGACGACATGGCGAATACTGTCTAAAAGTCTGTGACGGACCTGTCGCAACTGGTCCCATAAAACATAAATTAGCAAGTTAGCTCACCAGTAGCCTAGAGTCAGCTGACAGCTAACTGTTAGCACGCTATGCTAACGCTGTCACAGAGGAATGTAGTTTACTTATTATTAATGCTGACCCCCGCCTACAACACTCAGCCCAACAAGCCAATTATTGAACAACACTGACACCAAGTGCAAACGTGATAGCAACGATCCTGCGTAATTAAACAATTATAACTAGTTTTGATGACTTACAGTGCGGCTAGCAGACTATGTGGCTAGCTGCGTTGACAAACAGAGCAGTCCTCCCCTTTGCAGAACAAAAACAACTCGGCTTGATGTGCCTCGACGCCGTTATTCGCAATGACAGCAGATTACAAAGACGTGCATCCACGGCCCAGCTCCGCTGCTCACCTACGCCCCTGCTCCGGTCCTGGCTGCCTGGGTCTCCGGGACCAACAACCTTTGGCTGTCGGTGATTAAACGGAGACACTTGTGTTGGGACCCGTCTCTTTGGCTACACAGCCATCTTTGTTTTTTTCCTATCTGTCTCCCCGACTTCACCCTACACTGCCTTTAGTCCGGGTCAGTGCGTTACTCAGGCAGGTTCTTGATCGAATTGAAGTTTCGTGTTTAAATGTAAATATTTCGTCCCTGTCTGAAGACCCTCGTGTAATTACTACAACAGCCTGTCCGCGGATTGGCAGTCAGCTGAATGTTTTGTTGTGGCAGATGACTTGGGGTATTTAAAGAGCCTTAAAATGCGCATGCGCAACAGCCAACTTTGGTCAGCATATGTCTGGACATGAAAGGGACCAAACCTGATCTGCAACAAACGGGGGCCCGTTCAAAGCGTATTCTTTAACATGTCTTTGTCAGTGTGATACCCTCAAACTTGATACTGTCAGATGCTGTTATGATGATGCTTGTGATAGTTCCCTTCCCTTGCATCGCTTGAACCCCCCCGTGCTTAAGTTAGTTAATGACACGTTTATGCCCAAGGAACAAGGAACAAGAAACAGGCAAATCAATGAGGGCCACGACTTCTCTTGCCTCTGGAACCAAATCGTTTTTTGTTATTTTTTTAAACACGTGGCTCAGGGAGGACAGGGTGGGGTGCATTCAGATTTACAGCGTGGGGGGTTATGTGTGTTTGGGTAGGTGGGGCAGGATGTCAGAGTGTCAGCTGTCTGCAATCAGAGGGGACACGGCTAAACCACTCCCACAGGACAGATAGGCCTTATTTGGTATGAGGGGAATGCTATGCAGAATATACTGCTGAGAGAGCCACCATAACTTTCTTAAATTATCCATAGTTTGCAGGTGCAGATATTCATGGTATAGTAAAGAAGAACAACGTGTGAAAGCAAAAACATGGCATGAAATATTATACTTGAGCTAAAATTATGTGGTAGCCTATAGATTTGCTTTATGAATATGTAACAAGATAGTAACAGTGACTGGTTGTAACTGACAAAAAAAATATTCTATAAGTCTATAAAACGCATTTAAATAACACTGAATACTCTTAATTTCAATATTTACTAATTTTGATAATAAAACTATGGATAGCGTGGTAATTACACAGTTCTTGATTAGCTCATGAATATAGTATGAATGTGGTAAATAAGCAGTGATTCATGGAGCCTCATCATCAGACATTATTCACACTCTGGGCGAATATCTCATCATGTGCACACGATTTACAAATGAGAAATCAGGGCCATTGTGAAGGATGGGGTGGTGGTGCAGGGCAGGTGCTTGGTTTAGGTCCCAGTTTTGGTCTGGTTTCATGGTCTGGGTGAGTGTTGTAGTGGTAGGCTTATCATGTAAGAGGGAGGATGGGTGAAACTGCCTGGAGTCAATTGTGTTTTGACTGATGTAGTCTTAAAAATGCTGGTTGGTTTTGGTATTGTGGTTGAAAAGTTTCTCAGATGCACCATGGATACTTTTGTTATTGTCATTTTTGCATGGATTCACCTGTGCGTTTGAGCTGTTCTTGTTGTATTTTTGCTGGTGATGGTGTCTTTATGCTCTGTCTCCTGTTTGCATCCATTTTAGACTGTCTTTCAATGCTCAGCTCTGCATTGTAAATGGGCACACCCTCAATGCTGATAAGTTTATTGTCTGACAGGGTGGCTGCAGCAGGTTTAGGGAGTCTCTCTGATTGTTCCTCTGCCTTTGGAGCTCTGTGTTTCTCCTCTGTTAGCACCCCCTGTTGGCAAATGGAAGTCATAGCTTTCACCCATGGATGCATCAGGGTTTGTTCAGCAGTCAGCCTCAGTAAGGGATCAGGCTGAAGAAGCATTCGAACAAGATGCTTGGCCTCTGTACATGTACACAATAGAAACAGCAAATGTATAAATATGGACAAGTTTAAGATGTAACCACTTCAAATAAAAATGTAAGTCTCACCTTCTGAAATGGGGTCCCAGTATGGTGATAGAAAGTGCAAATGTGCCTGTTTTATTAGCTGGAAAAGCTCTTCCTGGTCTCTTTCATGACTGCGAAATGGTGGGAAACCACACAAAAGAATGTAGAGAAGAACCCCAAGCGCCCAGATATCAACAGGGACCCCATAACCTGCCAGTTTATAGAACATACAGATGCACATAAAAAAGACTACACAATGCACAGATCAATAGATAATCATTTCAGTTTTGTGCTTGCCTGTCTCGAGCAGAATCTCTGGAGCCACATATGTGGGTGTGCCACAAATAGTGAAGACTGGTTCGGTTACAACCATGGCAAGACCAAAGTCCCCCAATTTCAGTCTGTAGATGCAGTCACTCTGGCGCTCAATCTAAATACATATATATATATGTAAATACTTTGTTTTGTTAAAAAAACAAAACACTGAAGCAACAGTGAAGATACAAGAGTAAGATAAGTCATACACACGCACGCGCACACGCACGCACGCACACACATATATATATAACTAAATATTATGAAAGCATATGAGATTAGTTATTATAATGTGCACACTCTACATGTTCAGGGCTCAGTTTATACTCACCAGCAGGTTTTCCGGTTTGAGGTCTCGGTGGACGATGCTCTTACAGTGAATATAACTCAGAGCTTGGCTTATGTCTGACACCATCATTCCTGCCTCCACCTCAGAAAACTTGCCTTTCTCGCTGATGGCCTCAAACAGGTCTCCTCCACACACAAACTCCATCACCAGGTATGAATGTGTGTCCGTGTGGTGGTGTGCAAAAAGACGCACTATTCGTGGGTGACGTAGGCTTCCCAACAGACTCAGCTCATTCTGCATCATGTGTTCTCGACCAATCAGCTTTGAGCGGTCTATGATCTTCAGAGCAAGAGTTTGTCCACTGTCACGATGGCGACACTCTCGTACCACAGCAAAGTTCCCATCACCAACCACTCGCCCGATTTCATAACACTGCTCAATATCTGACAGAGTGACATTACTCTCCCTTAGAGGAGATGCAAAGCTCTCCATTGGTCTGTGTGGCTCTATTATTGCTGGACTCATGATATGATGATGTGATTGGACAAATACCTCATCATCATTTAAACTCGCGGAAAGAGCTGCAGGCTGAGCATCAAACTTTGTCCTTTCTTCAGGTGAAGGGACCCTCCCTGTTGGTTTCTTCATGACGGGAGGAAGTGGGGCCTTCCCAGAGAGAACATTACTTTGTTCCTGAGGTTGGCATCTGGCTTGTCTTGCCAAGCAGTTACCGCACAATGTTGGTGAGGGCACATCTAAGTCCCTTATAAGATCTTGGTGTTTAAAAGGCCCGATAACAGAGGAAGGCCTTTGCATCTGACCAATTTTTACTCTAAGTTTCTGAAGATTATTGGGAACAGGTAGTTTTCTGGTATTTTTTGAATTTTTTTGTTGTCTGCTGATATTTTTGGGATTTTTAATCTGAGTATTTGTGTGCTTTTGTTCCTCTTGATTTGTTTGTGTCCCGCTGCTGTCTGTGCCCTCACTGTATCCACTGTCAGCCTTGGCTGCTTTGTCGGGTGATGGACGCAGCCTCTTCTCCCATGATGTCAATGCACCTGCTTGATAATGAGTGTTATCTGGGAAAAGCTCCTCCAGCGCCTCCTGTACACTGCTCAGGTCTGGACGGGCCTTCCCCAGTGCAAGAAATGCCACTTCTCCACAGAAAAAGTCACACACACCTTTCACCTATAACAAAGAAAAAACTTTCAAAATTGGATGCAATGGATAAAAAGGGATTGGGCTAAAGCAACTTGCTTATGTAAGCCCATGCTGAACATCACATGTTTTTTTGGGTTTTTTTTGTTGGAGGAACCACAAGATGCATTTCTCCATGGAGATGTTATTGCTTTGCCTGGAACATTCCACAGTATGGCATTAAATATATATCTCATACCTACATGCATGGAGACACCATTGGACCAAGTTAAAGGTCAGATCTGTGGCTTCACTCTCAGTAAGTTTTTTTCAAAAAAAGAAGAACTCCTGAAATGAAATACTTACAAGATACATAAGTTTAATGCCATACTGTGGAACATTCCAGGAAAAGCAATAACGACATCTTCATGGAGACAAGGCAGATCTCCCATAAAAGTTGCACAGCACATGAAGAGTATATGGCTTTGTTATGGACCACAATGTGTACAACCCTTCACCTCACGAGCGTGGACAGTATAAAGTCGTGTGACTCTGTTTCGGTGCCATCGAGGAAACCCCAAAGCCTCAGAGAGATCCAGTAGCAGCTGCTCAAAAGACACTACACCTCTGCGGTTTAGGAGCACGGTCACCTAAAACAGCAACATTATCAATATAGACTTGTCATACAAGAAATGCAGCACATTCAGGGCATTAATTTAGACTTAGACTTAGACAAACTTTATTGAGCCACAAGAAAAATATTTGGACACAGTAGCTCACTCATCACAATTATAATATAATGTAATGACAAAGAGTAAAAAATATAAATAGTTATAATAAATTATAAGTAAGTAGCAAAAAAGGTAGCAGGAGACAGGTGTCAAATAAGACATAATTATATAAAACGTATATGTACAAGTCAACACTACAACACTAATAAGCAAGGCCAAAGGTCATAATTTATTTAATTAATTTTATTGTTTAAAAAATAAGATTGTCTGTTGTTGTTCTTGTCCTTTTCTGGCAGCTGCCAAAATAACCTATTTTAACTGTACTTATCTACCTCCTAGCACGCTGTGATTAGCATACAGAATTGGCAAGATGTTTTATGCCTTGCTTATATCAAACTAAAGCACCTTTCTCATTGTACTTTGATCCCCAGGCCGAATGATGGTCACTAGATGAGGACGCTCTGCGCTCTCCTCTGCATGGCGTGTGTGGAAAAGAGGGAGTTGAGGAGGTAGGTGGTGGGCTTTCTGTGGATGTAAAGGCCAAGGCTGGGGCATTCCTACTGGATGCTTCAAAGAGGGGTCAGGAGGCACTAAAACAGCAGAGGGACAAGGGGGAGTGGCGAATACAAAAGGAAGATGTCATGAACTGTAGCTACATAAAGAAAAGTTATGAGTAACACAACACCAGTTCTTTATGCTAGCAGTGTGTGTGTGTGTAAACAAATCCATCTGATCAGATTTGAGTATTTCCATCACACAGAGTGCAGGGGCCATTTGAGATTCTTTTGAGCACCTTGCACCATCAGCTGAATAATTTAGGCTTCCTTAAGTCACAAGAAGCTACACACACACAAGCATGAGCAGCTACACAAAAGGCACTTTGACCTGGATAGAGCTTAGCTGAATCTGCATGATTAATGAGACTTTAAAGACACACACACTGTGCCTTGACGTTTCACTTTCTGGCACAGAGAAGGAGAGAGATGCTATCTGTGGTAGTCCAGTCTGCAGGGGTTTATGTTGTGGTTTGTTTGGCTTGGAACATAAGACCATACCTCTACAAGACCAACCAAGGCCCCCTTTTTAACCGGACACCAGTGACCCCATGAGAGGCAAAATTAGTATAATTGTCCATCTTGGCCTCTACAACAGTACACACAAACACACACACACATACATTGACAGAGGTGGCAAAATTATCAGATGGCTGTCAAACATCTCTGACAAAGTAGGCCTGTCAGAAAGTCATCTTTCACACAAATCACGCAATTAAACACAATACATAACGTCAAAACTTACCAAAATCTTGACTTTTTCTGAAGAAATCAAATACAGAAACCGATATCCTAAAAGAAATACTCCACAAGCTTCTGAGGCTTTTATAAATAGGCTATAGCCTTACACTCCATAACCTACAATCTTTCAGACTCACCTGTTGCTTTCCATTTACGAGCTGCTTCATACCCAAAGCGGGCTTTATGAGAGGTCGTCATCTTTGACCTCTGAGAAAAACACGAGATAGCTACTTCTAATATCCTGTTTAGTTTCTTCCCTAAGTCACCGCCATCGCCTGCCCCAGGGATTCCCGTTCAGGGAAAGATAACGGGATACACAGTAAGAGACCCGGACTTGGTGTACCGCCGTTACCAAGGAGACACGTCAAGTGAACGTATTTACGTGAGATAGAAACTGTCAAAATAAATTACTATTTATGCAAAGATGTAAGAGCACACCTTTGTAAATTAACATCAAATGTTAAGTTATTAAATATTTCACATCAAATTGCTTACATATAATATTTAAGAAAAATTGAAAATCTGCTATTTTAGCATGCATTTTAATTGATTTCGTTAGCTTTATTTTGAAATTAAACGGAAATGATTTTCACCACCTGTGAGAACTGCACGTATTTGGCACATGTTTTAGCACGTTTGGTAAGTATATAAATAAAGGAAGCGTAATTAGAGCGCCAAATCGGCAAATTGCTTTTTAAAAAAATCTTGGCTATACACTCGGTGTAACGTTACTCGAGTTTGGTAAGTATATAAATAAAGAAGGCTTAATTAGAGCGCCTAATCGACAAGTTGCTTTTTTTTGTTTTTAATCTTGGCTATATACTCGGTGTAACGTTACTCTAAATGCTGTATTTACCTAGTGTTTAAACGGGTTGTTGTGTACTACGGCCTTTATACATCTCCAGTTACCAATAAGGTCGGTAGGTCCCTGAAATAAACTTTTAAGAGTTTAATTAAATGTTCGCCTCTTTGCTGCTTCGGTAAGTTTATACGGTTAAACAAACAAACAAACAAACAGAAACCTCACCATCATCATCATCCACTTCACACAGTGAGTGTCATTATAATTAACATTAAATTATAAGATATTTCGCCTAATTTCTCCCTTCAACCTCTTAATATTTTGAATGATTAGCGTCAAAGGAAGGGGATTGCGGGGATATAGTAATGCCCATCCCAACTCGTCTCCATAGTGTCACTGATGGCATGCAATGCACAACAGCACAAACACACAGCCCTCTGTGTTTGCACCATCTTTTAATAAATTGCTCCCATGGGCCAGTTTCCATGGATACTGTTAATATTGGCTGAGTTAGTAAAGATCCTGCCCAACTCCTTGTGTTGGATTCACTATTGAGAGGCAACCAACTGTGTGTCAGCTTCAAACAAGAATAAAAGTACTTGAAACTGCTATGGGATCCTTTGTATTCACAGTCGATCAAAAGAGCACAACAATTTTTCAGCTTAGCTTATAATTGAAATTGATTTACATACAAAATATAACCTAATACTCTTTGAATAATTTCATGCTCTGTTAAATGGTTTGACTTCTAGGTTGCATGGTTTACAAATGAAATTTTCTTAATAACTGACCAATTTTTGCCATATTTCTATTGCAGTACCGAAAGCAGTCAGCAGAGGGAGGAAGTGCACGTGCTAGCAGGTCACCAGAGGCAAGTATTAACCAATGCATAATTCACACTCCCAATTTGGAATCAGGACTAAACGTGTTGACAGAATGACCCATCTTTTTGGCTGCATTTCCTTTGAGGAAAAAATCCAACTTTTTGCCTCCCACTAATTAAGATATGATAATCCTTTATTGTCTCCCAGCAAAAAGCAACGCATTACAGTAATTCATTACTTTTATAACGCGTTACTCCCAGCACTGACAAGATATTAACTATAACCACTATGGAGCCACGCGCGTGGAGCAGCACGTCCTGTGCGTGTAGATTTCAGAAAATAGGATCCATCCTATTTTTTGACGCTCTACGCGAGCATAGGCGCGTATCCCCGTCAAAATACACAGAGAGCATGTATCTATTGTTGTATTTGTGCATTTACCATCAACACATTGTGCTCCCTGGGCAGCTGCCGGTGGAGTCGCTATTGCGTTGACGCGCGGCTGTGGTTTCGCGAGGTTAAGTGCGAGCAGATCGTCACTCGTCAGGTGAAAACAAATCCCGACGTTTAATTGAACCCCAACAGTGACGTACGTCGTTCATCTCACATAATTTGAACAAATTCACGTTCAAGTTCTTGATTTACAAAAGTGTTGCGTTCAGTTCAAAGTTCACTGAAAAATGAACGTGTTCAATGAACGCGTTCTTGCACAACACTGATTATAGCAACATAAGCCCATGCAAACAACATCCACCACTGAACATAAATAAATTAGAGATGTATAACCACGAGTAATACACCGTCAGGGGACCTTTAAGTCACATACAGTCAAGCACTTCACAGTTTATTTGTGTATTTCCCTCTCTTTGTAAATAATGATGTGACTGATGTGAAATTCCATCCATCCATCCATCCATTTTCGTCCGCTTATCTGGGGCTGGGTCGCGGGGGCAGCAGCCTAAGCAGGGACTCCCAGACTTCCCTCACCCCAGACACGTCCTCCAGCTCCTCCGGGGAAATCCCGAGGCGTTCCCAGGCCAGCCGAGAGACATAGTCCCTCCAGCGTGTCCTGGGTCTTCCCCGGGGCCTCCTCCCGGTGGGACATGCCCAGAACACCTCCCGAGGGAGGCGCCCAGGAGGCATCCGAAAACAGATGCCCGAGCCACCTCAACTGACTCCTCTCGACGTGGAGGAGCAGCGGCTCTACTCCGAGCTCCTCCCGTGTGACTGAGCTCCTCACCCTATCTCTAAGGGAGCGCCCAGCCACCCTGCGGAGGAAACTAATTTCGAGCGCTTGTATCCGCGATCTCGTCCTTTCGGTCACTACCCAGAGCTCATGACCATAGGTGAGAGTAGGAACGAAGACTGACCGGTAAATCGAGAGCTTCGCCTTTCGGCTCAGCTCCCGCTTCACCACAACGGTCCGATACAGCGACCGCATCACTGCCGAAGCTGCACCAATCCGCCTGTCAATCTCACGTTCCGTCCTCCCCTCACTCGTGAACAAGACCCCGAGATACTTGAACTCCTCCACTTGAGGCAGGGACTCTCCACCCACCCGGAGAGGGCAAGCCACCTTTTTCCGGTCGAGAACCATGGCCTCGGACTTGGAAGAGCTGATCTTCATCCCAGCCGCTTCACACTCGGCTGCAAACCGCCCCAGTACACATTGCAGGTCCTGGTTCGATGAAGCTAACAGGACAACATCGTCCGCAAACAGCAGAGATGAAATCCTGTGGTCCCCAAACCGGACCCACTCTGGCCCCTGACTGCGCCTAGAAATTCTGTCCATAAATACAATGAACAGAACCGGTGACAAAGGGCAGCCCTGGCGGAGTCCAACATGCACCGGGAACAGGTCTAACTTACTGCCGGCAATGCGAGCACAGCTCCTGCTCCAGTCATACAGGGACCAGACAGACAGCCCTTCTTGATACAGAGGGACAACCCCATGAACCACACCCGGTTTGCCAGTCCAGAGGTACTGTCCCCGACCGCCACCGCGATGTTGAAGAGGCGTGTCAGCCAAGACAGCCCCACAACATCCAGAGACTTAAGGTACTCAGGACGGATCTCATCCACCCCCGGAGCCTTGCCACCAAGGAGCTTGCCAACCACCTCAGTGACTTCAGCCAGGGTGATGGATGAGTCCGTCTCCAAGTCCCCAGCCTCGGCTTCCTCCTCGGAAGACGTGACGGTGGGATTGAGGAGATCCTCAATGTATTCCTTCCACCGCCGGACAACGTCCCCAGTCAAGGTCAACAGCTCTCCCCCCGCACTGTAAACAGTGTTGGTGAAGAACTGCTTCCCCCTCCTGAGGCGCCGGACGGTTTGCCAGAATCTCTTCGAGGCCGTCCGATAGTCCTCATCCATGGCCTCCCCGAACTCCTCCCAGCTCTGAGTTTTTGCCTCTGCAACCGCACGGGCTGCAGCACGCTTGGCGTCCCCCGAGCCAGCAAGGCCCGATAGGACTCCTTCTTCGGCTTGACGGCATCCCTTACTTCCGGTGTCCACCACCGGGTTCGGGGATTGCCGCCGCGACAGGCACCACAAACCTTACGCCCACAGCTCCGAGCAGCCGCATCAACAATAGAGGCCGAGAATGAAGCCCACTCGGACTCCATATCCCCAGCCTCCCCCGGAATCCGGGAGAAGTCCTCCCGGAGGTGCGAGTTGAAAGTCCCTCTGACAGAGGGCTCCGCCAGATGTTCCCAGCAAACCCTCACTACATGCCTGAGCCTGAACCTTCCTCCTCCACCAGCGAACCCAACTCACAACCAGGTGGTGATCAGTTGACAGCTCAGCCTCTCTCTTCACCCGAGTGTCCAAGACACACGGCCGGAGGTCAGATGACACAACTACAAAGTCGATCATCGACCTCCGGCCTAGGGTGTCCTGGTGCCACGTGCACTTATGGACACCATTGTGCTCGAACATGGTGTTCGTTATGGACAAACTGTGACTAGCACAGAAGTCCAATAACAAAACACCACTCGGGTTCAGATCGGGGAGGCCGTTCCTCCCAATCACCCCTCTCCAAATGTCACTGTCGTTGCCCACGTGGGCGTTGAAGTCCCCCAGGAGAACAACGGAGTCCCCGGTCGGTGCACTGTCTAGTACCCCTCCCAAAGACTCCAAGAAGGCCGGGTACTCAGCACTGCTGTTCAGCCCATAGGCCGACACCACAGTGAGAGACCTGTCCCCTACCCGAAGGCGCAGGGACGCGACCCTCTCGTTCACCGGGGTGAACTCCAACACACAGCGGCTCAGCTGTGGGGCAATGAGCAGGCCCACACCAGCCCGCCGCCGCTCCCCGTGGCCAACGCCAGAGAAATGGAGAGTCCAGCCCCTCTCAAGGAGTTGGGTTCCAGAGCCCAAACTGTGCGTGGAGGTGAGGCCGACTATATCTAGTCGGTAACGCTCAACCTCCCGCACAAGCTCAGGCTCCTTCCTCCCCAGCGAGCTGACATTCCATGTCCCCAGAGCTAGTCTCCATGTCCGGAGATCCGGTCGCTGAGGGCCCCACCGTCGACTGCTGCCCAGATCTCTCTGCACCAGCCCCATATGGATCCTCCCGCGGGTGGTGGGCCCACATGAGGACGGCCGGGCCCCATGAGGGAAGGCCCATCCACCAGGCACTCGCTGGCGAGCACCCACCCAAGGCCTGGCTCCAGGGTGGGGCCCCGGTGACGCCAATCCAGGCGACGTAACTGGCCTCGTTGGTACACTTGTCATACAGGGCTTCTGAACCGTTCTTCGTCTGACCCGTCCCCCCGGACCTGTTTGCCTTGGGTGACCTTACCAGGGGCATGAAGCCCCCGACAACATAGCTCCCGGGATCATTCGGGCACTCAAACCCCTCCACCACGATAAGGTGACGGTTCAAGGAGGGGTGATGTGAAATTACTCTGTACATTATAACCATGCCTTTGAAAGTGTAAAATAATAAAAGAAAGTCCAAAATAATGTACACAAAGCAATATAGGCATTATTGCACCAGAGCTACTATAAATACTTAACATGCCAATTTACCGAATATTATATTTTTAGTTGATTCAAGGAACCGTATGTAGCCTATGCTCTTACAGTTTTAAGAAAGGCACAACAATCACAATTTTTAGGTTTTAAACAACTGTATTTCCACGTTGAAGCTCATTCTGCTTTCTGATAACTGAATAATCAATTTGAAAACCAAAACACCAAACTATAACATAAACAACTTGATTACCGTGTCCAATGTAATATCTATAATGTGTGCAGTGCATGCAATATTTGAACATGTCTCATATCCAGTAGTGGAACATAACACAATTAGTCAGGTACTACAAATTTTAGGTATCTGTACTTAAGTAAATTTTAAAGTGGATAATTTAACTTTTACGACATTTGAGAACAGCTATCTGTACTCTCTACATTTTTTAACTGGACTGAAAAGTAAAAGTATTTTTATTATTGATTGAGATCTGCTGAAAAGGGTGAGGGTTTATTTTCTGCATGTTTGTAGTTTGAGCAAACAAAAATATACAAATAAAAGCAGAAAAAAAATATACTGATTCAGTTGTTTCTGTTGAACAAAATTCAGCACAAATCTTTTTAAAAATGACCACATTTGAAGCCTCATAAAACCTCAAAACATATGTAAAATCCTTTTTTTTTTTTGCTCCGGTATATTGTACTTTTACTTAAGTAACAAAATCTTCTACCACTGCTCATATCTGGGGGCACAGTTAGTCAAGTCATATTTATGGAATTTGAAATAAAATTCTTCATATAGTTCCTTTAATGTCAGTTGTAAAATGTGAGCAAATATTACCTGTGATGATTGTGTTTGTTTTACATGTAGTGTAACAAAGGGCTAGCCAGATAAATATTCTAGACACACTGGATTACATGGGCCATAAACGTTCCTTTTGGGGCTATGCTGAAGGTTTTGTACTGTGTGCTTCCAGAATCCAAATGAATTAAAATTTATCATTATAAAGTTTGATAAGTTGTTACAGTCATCATCAGTGTAGTAGTCACAAAACAATACAATACACCAGCAGCATGAACAGAACAGGATAAATTTACAATTTTAACCACTTTAATGATTTCTTTGTAAAAATAAGTCCTGAACTGTCAGAAAAAAATTACAGAAACAAGCTCCAGAATACAAGACGAAACATTTATCGAAAGATATCCGAACACAATTTTTCTTTTTCCTGCAACCAAACTTGAAATTATACTCATTGTAGATGAATTTAAAAATAAATTGTCAACTGATTTTTAATATTGATATGACTATAGTTAAAAATATAATTAACTGCATCATTAAACCCTTGGCATATATTTTAAATCCATCATTTCTAAAGGGATCATTCCCAGATAAGATGAAAATTGCCAAAGTAATTTCACTCTACAAAAATGGAGATGGACATGTGCACACTAAACATAGACCAGTGTCTTTACTCTCTCAAGTTGCAGAAATTCTTGAAAAATTTTACAATAATAGATTGGAATCATTTTTAGATAAACTTGAAATAATGAATGAGAGTCAGTATGGGTTCAGATGCAAAAGTTCAACAACAATGGCACTTATGTATGCTGTGGAAGCGATAACTAATGCACTAGATAATAAAAAGTATGTTGTGGGGGTTTTCATTGATCAAAAGAAAGCTTTTAACACTCTTAACCACTTAATACTACTCAACAAACTTAAACTGTATGGCATAAGGGGCAGTACACTAAACTGGATTGAAAGATATCTGACCAGAAGATACCAGTTTGTGAAAATGAATGGATACACTTCCAGATTTTGGAGTACTGCTTGTGGAGTGACATAAATTATTTAATTTGTACAAAAATTGCATATTTAAAACCTCTGATATATTAAAAAATAATTTAGTTTGCAGATGACACCAGTATATTTTATTCCAATGATAAATATAAACAACTTAATACAGAGTTAAGTAAAATCAATTTGGATGGATTCTAATAAGTTATACCTAATAAACAAGCTAAAGCTATATCTTTTGGTAATTATAAAATAAATTCAGAATTTTCTATCCATGTTGATGGTGTTAAAATCGAGTGGGTTTCTGATAATAAATTTTTAAATATAATGATAGATGAAAAACTGGAAAACACACATCAGATACATGCAATCTAAGGTCTCAAAAAGTACTGTGGTAATCAACAAAGTGAAATAAATTTTTAATCAAAAGGCTCTTTACATATTGTATTTGTGATAGAAATTTAGATTGTGGAAAGATTTCTTTCAATCTGTCTATGTGTAAATGAATGTGATTTATACCTGAAACCCAGACCAGTCATTAACATGTGTAAAGGTTCATTAGACACAACTGTCTCCTCCTCAGGAAGCCCTTTGTTATCTTACCTGTCCTCAGCTGTATGTTAATTTAGCACCAGCCTCTGAAACCAAAGTCACTCTGCTTTGATATGAATGTAAGTTGTATTTCTGTATAAATACTCAGATACTGGGGAGATACTTTGAAGATGGGGCAGGATGGGGTAGGGACATACTGCTGCTGGAGAGAGGCTGTTGGGCTCTGGCCAGCGCAGGCCAAGGCCCCGTCCATATCTGCTGTAACAAGAATAAACCTTGGTCTATATTCCAAAAACTCATTGGGCTTTGCAAATGGATTCATTATTTATCTTCAAGAGATATATCATTTTTTTTCCACAACAGTATTGTTCACTCATACTTCCATACTTGACATATTGTGTTGAAATTTGGGGCAAAGGTTACCAAACTTTACTTCTTCCCCTTTTCAAATCGTTTTTCAAATCAAACTTATTACATTTTTTGATTTAGTGATTTAGCAATTGCTTTGCTTTTGTATAAAGCAAAGAAAAATATACTGCCATTAAATATCCAAAAAGTGTTTAGTACACAAGAAGTACACTATGAATTTAGGAGAACTGGTAAATTTAAAAGCACAGTGAGAACCACAGATGTACTTGGTAATTGTTGGTATCACTGAATTAACTTGAAACTAAGAAAAGCAATAATAAATACAAATTTACTGAAAATTGTCCAACAGAAATCAACCATTGCTTTTCACCTGTGGTTCAACAGAATTATTAGAAAAAACTAAATAATGAAACTGACCTGAACAAAAATGATGGTACCCTTAACGTAATATTTTGTTTCACAACCTTTTGAGGCCTGAGACCCATTTCTCGTGAGCAAAATGCTCTAGTTGTCTCAGGTTTGAAGGGTTCCTTCTCCAGACAGCATGTTTCAGCTCAGTTCACAGATGTTCAAGAGAATTGAGATCTGGGCTCACAGAAGACCACTCCAGAACAGTCCAATGTTTTGTTCTTAGACATGTTTTTTGGGTCATTGTCCTGTTGGAAGTCCCATGACCTATGACTGAGACCAAGCTTTCTGACACTAGGCAACACATTTCATTCCAAAATACCTTGATAGTTTTGAGATTCCATTGTATTTTACACAGATTCAAGACACCCTGTGCCAGATGCAGCAAAACAACCCCAGAACATAACCAAGCTCTTCCAGGCTTCACAGTAGGGACAGTGCTCTTTTCGTGGTCTGCTTCATTTTTGCATCTGTGAACATAGAGCTGATGTGTCTTGCCAAAGAGCTCCAGTTTTGTCTCATCTGTCCAAAAGACATTCACCCAGAGGCTTTGTGGCTTGTCAATATGCACTGTGCCAAATTCAAGTCTGACTTTTTTATGATTTGCTCTCAGCAGTGGTGTCCTCAAAAGTTGACAGATGGTGTGATCTGACACTGATGTACCTCGCCCTTCAAGTTCATATTTTGTTTGGAGGTTGTTCTGGGCTCTTTGGTTCCATTCGTATCATCCATCTCTTCAATTTATCATCAATTTTCCTCTTGCGGCCGCGTCCAAGGAGGTTGGCTACAGTCCTGTGGACCTTAAACTTCTGAAGAACATACACATGTATGTTCCTGTAATCACAGGAACATCAAACTGCTTGGAGATGGTCTTATTGTCTTTATCTTTATCCTGCTTGTCTATCATTTTCTTTCTAGTCTCCTGACGCAGTTCTCTTCTTCTCTTTCTCTGATCCATGTTCAGTGTTGTCTCCATCATGTCTCCAAACAGCACAATGACACTTGTCCCCCTTTAAACAGGCAGACTGACTGAGGACAAGTTTGAAGACACCTGTGATGCCAATTAGAGGACACACCAAAGTTTAACATGCCTCTATTGTTCAAGTATTTACAATCTTTTCTAGGGGTGCCATCATTTTTGTCCAGGCCAGTTTCATTAGTTTGTTGTTTTTTAATTATTCTGTTGAACAACAATTCAAAAACAGTGTCTGATTTTTATTGGTTATTTTTCAGGAATTTTTTTATTTATTATTGCTTTTTTTAGTTTCAAGTTATATGTAAATATTTGGAAAGTTCCGTTATCAATGTTCATAAGCAACCACATAATTTTTGAAACTATGTAATGAACAGGGGTGGTTTAATATAAGTTTTACTTCTTCCCACTCCTTTTCGAGAAATGTGCTTTTCTGTTGTTTACAATGTATATGTAGTATACATGATTATTGCTTCTCTCTTGGCACAAACTTGAAATAAAAACAAATCAAATCAAAATATATTAATAAATGAATACAATTTATAATATTGCAATTTTGGAGACATGCAAACATATAGTACTGAGTAGTATCTATAAAAGTTAGTTTTTTAAAAGGCTGCAGAAGAGCAAATTAAACCAAAAATATGTAAAATAAACTTTCAGTGTAATTTTTCAAAGGAGGGTACTACCTGTAATGGTTTTGTAAATTTTCCAGTACATTCATTTTTTTGTGTAATACTTATTCTTAATATTTACTGGCAGTAGTAATTGATAGGTAATTATGCTCATCTGTTCCTGTTATGAGAAGCAGAGGTCCGATTCACAGCACTGGCTCAGGCCATACACATGACTGCGGTCAATAACCCAACAACTGTCTAGCCTGAATGTTTGATTTTTCTCTGAGCAAACAGTTGAGTAATATCAAGACAGATCAGTACATACATGCATACATACACTTTTATTGTTAAATATGATATCTTTCTTTCTGAAGCCTCGAGTACAGTATAAGGTTACTAATTAATTCAATTAATTATATCTTATTTTTATATAGATTTAAAGGGTTTTAATTTTTTTAAAGGTTCAATAAGTTTGATGTTTGTGTTTATCTGGACATGTTTTGGCCAGCTGTTGCCATCCTCCTATGACTTCTGTGGCATGTCAGTTTTATCAGCTGATTTCTACAGATTCAGCCTCAGTCAGCAGGTAGTTTAGTATATAACTTGGCAATTTGTTATAAATGTATGTTGTTTAAAAGTATCATGATAGGGCATCTTGTATACTCATATTGCCAAGAAATTCATCACGATATGTTGGTGTATCGATATTCGACTTTTTGAGTTCAGTCCAGCAGACTGGACAGGTGCTTCAGACTGGCCACATCCGGGGAGATGAGCTGATAAAAGTGACATGTCATAGCATTGAGGAAGGAAACAGCTGTTTGCCAAATCATGTCCAGATAAACATAAACATCACACTTATTTAATCTTTAAAAAAAAAAACTACAAGGTTACTCAAACATGATGAGGAAACAGTGTGTAACATAGTTCAAAGCTCAGAGAAGTCTGTATTATGTAATATGTCTCCTTTAAACTAATAGCTTCATGCATTTTTGGCGCAAGTCACTAGGAGGGTGTGTGTGGGAAAGTCCAAAGCATGTAAATTAGAATCTCTCTCCATTATATCATGGCATTTTGTCTCCTCTTAAAGAACATTTGTGCACCATTTGACAAGTGGAGAACATGTCCCTGACCAAACTGAATTACCCCGAACTTTCACCCCCTCTCTCTCCTCACGGGTTTTCCATGCGTCTCTCGCTCATGCTCTATCTGACACCTGTTTGAGTTGGATGCCAGAACCACGCACACATGCTGTAGATTTGTTCCAACACATAGCCCAAACATGTGGCAGTTTGACTCGGGCTTTAAGGGGAATAAAGTAGGACAAGCTGTGCAGCTCTCTCGCCACATAGTGTACTTCAATGACATGCTTTTAATCAACAAACAAACTTTGAATCATTAATTTCAGGTGGTGTAACTTTATGTGCAACATACCTCTATTTCTCTTTTGAAACTCATATCATAATTAACCTGGCAGTATCTATGTAATTAGATCATGCATGAAACTTCCATTCATGCATGCATTAAATAAAATACTTTTTATTACTTTTTATACTTTTTAAGATTCAGTCATTTCAAATCTATGATCGTCTTGGGTCTTTATTTAACAGAGAGGTCCACATCTTATCCTCTGTCAGTAAAAACATGTGATGTAGAGCAGAGTGAATTTGTATTTTTTTATTAGTTGAAAAAAAATGTGATTAATCTTTTTGTCATACAGCTCAGCCCTCGTTTGATGAGATGCTCTATACCTGGTAGTGTTTCATAGATATTTATGCAACATTAAATACGCAAACATACTATGCACTACATACATACATAACATACTATGCACTGTAACATTCCCAGTGTCCTTATTGTAACACTTGCGCGCACCCAAATAGATAGATAGATAGATAGATGGATAGATAGATAGATAGATAGATAAACAGACAGGCAGACATTATTGATTCTTAAGGAAATTCAAAGATGCACTATATATATAATGTCTTTACTGGCTTGTATGCATTCACATTTGATTCACATTTGTCATTTATCTCTACCAGGCGCATCAACATAAAAGATTTTGGATCAAGACTAGAAAAGCAGTGAATTGCAGTACACATTAAATTTTCAACCCCACCCTGAAAATTCTGTTCCTTCCCCCACTCTTTCTATTCTCTGTCTCAGCTGGAGCATCTTCCACTTTTCTCCTGCCCCCTCTTTGCATTTGTTCTCCATTCAGTGTGACTTCTTTTACAGCCTGTTGATCTTTCTAAAGTTTACATTCATGTTGTAAAGTGCCTTAACATATCACAAAGGACTGGCCTTTACAAAGTGTAGTGATGTAGAGCAAAAAACATTTGCTACAAACTACTGAAAACCAAAAAAGATAATGAGTACTTTAAGTAACTTCATACAACTAAGCAAAACAAGGGTAGGATTCAAAATGTGCATGTAAAGCCATAAATATAATAGACAGATTAATTACAGTGTGTCAAAACAGTGTACCAAAGGCATATGGCATAACATAAAATGGACTAATGAAAGATACAAAGACTATAATAAAGGCCATATCATGTGCTTATTTAACTATAATGTCTGCATAATCCAAAATGTTTTGGATGCATGAAATATGTGGACTGGATGATAGCAAAAACAGAAACTAATTGTAGTGTTTAACTGTAGCATAGTTGGGATTCTTGCAACAACAAGCAAACCATATGGTTCACATTGCATATCTGTCTTTGTCTGCATCTCCCCTTACTCCACCCTCCCCTGCTCTCTCTGCTCAGGCTGATGACATCACAAACAGCCGGTATAACTCCGCCAGTCAGAGCACAGCAGAGTCTCTGTGCTGACTCCTCCAAACTCCTCTGCCTCTGTCCCTCTGCGCTCACTGTCGCTCCTCTGCTTCTCTTTTACATTCACTCATCTCCTGTCTGCTGCAGAAATGGCCGAAGCTTTTGTTGGCACGTGGAACCTGAAGAGCAGCGAGAACTTTGATGAATACATGAAGGCGCTGGGTGAGTCCTCTGTTTCAATATGAGCATCTGGGTGAAAATAGATGGGGTTTTTTTCTGTTTCGGTTGGGTGCGCATGCGTGAGTCACCAAAAAGAGAGGATGTAGGGCTGCATATAGTGAGCACATGTAATTATTAGCTTGAGCACGAAACTGATCATCTAGTTTTCTACTAAGAAGGTCAGTCATAAGCAGCAAGAGAGAATAAATGAAGAGCAATGGATGAAAACTGTAGGGAGTGGAAAAAGGAAAGAGTGGTTGACCACATGGCCTGGTGGTGAACACGAGGGGAGGGGGGGGCGTCACTTCTTTCACAGCAGTGAGGAAAATCTCCCAGCCCCACTGGGAGCTGCTGTGATTGGTCAGAGCAGCACATTAACATACATACAAACCCTTGAGCAAATGTGGGTGACCTTAGCTGAAAGCTGTGTATTGTTAAAGGACTATGGGAGGAACTGAATATAAAGAATGACTCCCCATGCCAGGAAGCAGCCGCTGAGACTAATGGTGCTAAACAGTACTTAGAATTGTTAACTTTATTTAACTTTTAAACCACAACTTTACCAAACCATTTTAGAAATGACAAAATACTGCTTTATTAAAGTGCACTATAAACAAATTTTCCTAAACAACAATACAACATGTAGCAACGTTTAATGCAACTTTTGCATTGCAAGATAGGGCATGTGCTTTCACAGTGCATACAGAGGACATTCCTGCCTACTGACAACAAGGTTTATTGGCCATTGACTGTCACCATAGTAACACTGTGACCTCTCACCTCCATTACATTTGATCAATGAGCCCGTCTCGCAATGACAAGTGACTTCTTGTTCCAGTGTGGCGGTACACTTGGCTGGGGAGAAAAGTGAGCTTGTCAGGATATAAGATTTGGAAGGGGGTGTAGAATGTGGATCATCTTTACCAAATAGAAATTCATGCAAGCCTAATAGCTTTTATTTGTCAGGTCCAGACTGTAGGCAGGTGACTGTTAATGGGACAAAGAGTGTTTGAAGAATATGTTGCTAAGCTGGACAGAAGACAAATAGAGATTACAGAATGTCACATGAGACCTGGAGGGTATAAATACAGCAAGCTACTATTTTGTTTTTCCAAAACATGACACACTCCATTTAATAAACTAATTAAAGTACAAATTATCATTTTATTGTACTATGATTGCTACCTAGCAATAATGTTTTTTATTTCTTTAGGCGTGGGTTTTGCCACTCGTAAGATTGGCGGTATGACCAAACCCACCACCATCATTTCCCTGGATGGAGAACAAGTGACAGTGAAGACCCAAAGTTCTATCAAAAACACAGAACTCAGCTTCAAACTGGGCGAGGAGTTTGATGAGACCACTGCAGACGATAGGAAAGTTAAGGTAAAAAGCTGGAAGTGTCATGAATCATTATCTTGGTGGTAGAGTCATTGTGGCTTGGTCAGCTTTTTAGCCCATGGACAGACTTAAAACATATGGATTATTTAGGAGATGAGCATGACAGATGAAAGCAAACATCCAGGGATCATCTCATTTGCAGACTCTTAGTGTTTTTGTTGGGATCAGAGAGTTCAAGGGTTAGGGGACAAAGGTCAGTCCAAACTTACAAGCGGGAAAAAGACCCAAGGACTCAAGCTTATCAGTGCACTAACAAAGAGAGACTGCAGAGCTGTAGCCATTTTAACACTATGACTTTTAAATAATATAATATGACTTCTGTCTTCTGGATTTTCTCATTTTTCAATGAAAAAGATGATTTTTTTTTTTTTATCATGAAAGACCAGTTTCACATGGACATTATACTTGGACATTTCTGCTAACGCTAAAACATTTTCTGAGTTGTTTTATAGTGGTCTGCACATCTTGCAGAGTTGATAATGGCAACACTGCATGATGATGCATAGAGATATTAAGTAATGCAATTCTTCATTTGTATACACTCTGAATTTAATGTTGTTTTTAATGTTTTGCCACAGTCCGTAGTAAATATTGAAGATGGTAAGATGGTGCATATACAGAAATGGGACGAAAAAGAGACCAGCCTTGTCAGAGAGGTCAATGGAAATGCTCTCACACTGGTCAGTGCTATGGTTTTATTTTCCTGTATACCATAATTAGTGTTTGTATTTAGTTGTTTTTCTCCCTAAACTGACCACATTCTTCTTTCTTTTGCAGACACTGAAAATTGGAGATGTTGTTTCCCTACGTCATTATGAGAAAGCAGAGTGAAGTCCAATACTGAAGAGCCACAAAACACTCAACAAACTAACCCCTGCTTTCAGGACCACTTGGCTGAAATTAGGCCCTTGGTACATGTCATACAATCCCACCATTACACTGTCTCTTCAGTTACTGCTGCTGTGATTTCTCCCTATTTCCCTAGAACAGTTCATCTTTTACAAAACACTGCATAAATTCCAGTTCTTGTGTTGTTTTAAGCTTGAATGCTGTGTTCGCTTTTGTAATGGAATTGTGTTAAGCATGATGCCTGTATTAAACCTGGACAAATGTTCGTAATTTGATTATTGTGACAAGAAATAATCTGAATAAAAATGTCCACATGGTTGGATAATGTGTTACAAATGCTTTTTAAAATTATTTTAGAAAGATAAATTATCTCTGACTCAAATATGCAAGATAATGTATGCTTGAAGATTTTTCATCATTAAAGTAAAATGTACTGCTTGTAGTTCCACAATCCCTTTTAACACACTACACAATTAATGGCACATAATACATTATTTGCATCTTTTATCCCCATATTCAAAACACTGACAAATCAGAACTGTAGTGAATGTCTGTGTGTGGAGGCCTTCACCTTTGCCATGGATCAGTGAAGGGAAAGTGTCATCAGCTCCTCTCTTGGTACACCCTGGTGTTGTACTTGTACGAGTGTGTAACCTTCTATATTAGGCTCAGACCCTCCCACTGTGTGTACAGGTGTCATGTGTTGCTATCAGGCAGCCAAATGTAGAGCTCTTAAGGCCCAAAAAGAGGCTTTAAAAAGCAGGTCACACAAAGGACATCATTCATATGAATTTATTGAGAAAATGAAACAAACAACCAGTATGTAATTAAGACTGCAGATGCCAAAACCTTTTCTAAAGATTATATAGTTTCACTAAAATGTTACAGCACACCTTTAAGCTGCACTGTAAACACCAGGTTATGAACAAGAAGCAGAGAATACCAACCATCAACAGAAGTGCAGGTGGATTTGCTTCAGTACAAGGCCAGTTGTTTTATATACAAAGGCACTTGACACAAATGTCCTGAAACCTATTTCTTGGCATAAACTATCACAAGACCAAAGTCAAAAGGTGTGTGTGAAAAAAAAATTGTGTAGTGTAACATTTACAAGACTAGTAATAAGCTAAAGTCATCTTTGGTATGCTCTAGTCTGCAGCTGGAAACAATGTCACAATGCTTCATAAAAAAAACAAAAAACTAGGTCAAAGTAGCAGCAGAAACAAAAAAAATCAATCAGTGTTGGTGGTTAGGTTTTGTGTGAAAAAGGTTTTAGAAAAACTATTCTGTACTGCTAACATTTTCCTCACTGACCTGCCTAAAATCTGTTGTGTGTATCAGGTTTAATAGTTGTCCCCTGTGACACTGGAAAGAAACTGAATAAGACCCCCTCTAGAAGATAATAAATGTGTTTTTCACCTAACATTACAGAAATAACAAGTTTAGTCAGGGTAGAAATAGATCTTCAGTCTTTTTATCTATTACATAGTAAAAGCTTTCATTATTGGAATGCAACAAACATACAAGAACAAGATTACTCACTAAAGTTTAGCAAAAAATGAAAGATGTCTATCATTATCACAGGAGGTTCCTGTCAAACGTATTCATGTCACAATACATTTCCTGTAATTGCACTTAACTTCCTGTACGTAGGAGCATGCAAATTTACTAGTCACTGGAAGAATTCTTGATTATTGATTTCACTGAGCATATAATATGTGAGAGCCATAAACCATAACTGGTCTCCAAACGGGATAGCCACATGCTGCTATATTGCTTACCCCTCTCGAATTACAAATGATGATTGTACTCGACCCACTGGGAAAGGCAAAGGTTACTTCAGGAAAACAGGGAGCCACAGTTAGTAATTCTTTACAGTGCTGTTTTTTTTTTACCTGAAAGCCTTTGTGCTATAAATATACTAAGTCTAAAAAACAAAAACAAAAAAAAAAACTTTATGGTATTGGATGTTTAGTGACCATATTTTTTAAAATTGATGTGAAGTACCAGTTAACTATGAGTTAACTGTGTGTATCAGCTATGTCTGTGAGATTTGTGTTTCTTATGTTTTTTCTTCTTTCTGTCTTCTCTGTCGTGACACTGTCTCTTAGATTTGCATTCACTGCTGCTGTCACTGCCATTGTCACTCTCTAAGTCCTTTCGTTCCCTCTTCCTCTTCTTTTTCATTTTCTTTTCCTGAAAAAAAGTATACACGTGATGATTTTTCGAAGAATATGATAATACACAATTTATGATTGTATCATAATTCAAAAACGAATGGCTTCCGGTCATTGTCGTGATGCTTAAATTTGGCACACAGTAAAATTATTGACATGTTTAGGATAAATAAGTTATGACCACAAGTAATTTTATAATTACCTTCTTTTTCTTTCGTTTGTCAGTGTCATCCCTTGTTGCAGATGCAGAGGTCTGCTGTAATGGCTCTTCATCATCCTCTTCAGGCAGAAGTGCGTACTGCAAACCAGGTGCTGAGAAACAATCTTTTGTAAAGTGGCCTAAATCCAAGAATATTCTTTAATACCATGAGTATAAGATACATGAATTAAACGCACAATTAATATGTTATACCTTTACAACCACACTTTGAACAAGTTGTATTAAGTACAGCTTCCAGTGTGATTTTGTTTCTTGTACCATCTTTGAACTGTCTGCGTCTTCGTGCGTCCTGTCTACAAACACATATCATAATAAACCTGCTTTCTAACATTTGCTAAAAAAAAAACAAAAACATACTCAGCCATAACATTGTTGGGATCCAAGTCCCGGCCGGTGCCCTGATTGACAGCTTTCATGGAGAAAGATAACTTCACCTTTTCACCTTGAATCTGACAAAAAACAAACAACCGCAAGATGACTGTAAATATTTATTAATTATTGAGCGCAGTAAAAAGTTATGAATTAAATGTTTGTTACTTCTCTCCCAATGACTTTGATCCACACCTGCTCTCCCACATCCACAATCTCAGAAGCATTTTCAACTCGGGACGCTGACATTTCACTAATATGAACCAGTCCTGCACAACAAAGGGGACATTAATAAACATGTTTTATTTAATATTTTATGTAAATACTGTGTTATCATAATTATGCTCTGACGGTTGAAGATTGAGTCTATTTTATAGTTTAGTTGATTATGAAGCCCTGTTGGACACATACTGCCCTCCAGTGGTGAAGGAAATCACTTTTATATTGGATTCTCTGCACCTTGGTTTCTGGGTTGGTCTCTACTGCCTACTGATTGTGCTGAGTATTGTGATCATCTTTGCTGAAGTTTTAGAATAAAGTGTTCTATGATTACTATATATTTCAATGGTTGTGACTGATGATGATTGAGTTACAGATTGATTTTGACTTACATATAATGAAAAACCAAAATGCTGCTGAAAATTTGAATGTTGTAAAAAAGCTGAATACTGGGAAGTCATGGTGCCACAGCTTAATCAGCCAATTAACTGAAGACACCTGCAAATGTTTCCTGAGCTTTTAAATGGTCTCTCAGTCTGGGTCAGTGGGCTACACAATCACAGGAAGGCTGCTGACTGGAGAGATGTACAGAAAACACTGACACCCTCCATAAAGAGGGTAAGCCACAAAAGGTCAGTGCTAAAGAAGCTGGTTATTCAGTGTGCTGTAGTGAAGCATATTCATAAAAACTTGAAATAAAAAAATGTGGTAGGAAAAGGTGCACCAGTCACGCAGCCTTGAGAGGATTCTCAAGCAAAATCCATTCAAGAATTTGGGGGAACTTCACAAGGAGCGGACTAAGAACAGAGTTAAGAACCAATATGTACCTTTCACCTGGGCTGTGGAGAAAAAGAACTGGATTGTTACTCAGTGGTCCAAAGTCCTCTTTTCAGATGAAAGTAAATTTTGCATGTCAATTGGGAAGATGAGAGACACCAGACCCAGCAATGCAGATGAACTAAAGGCTACTATTAAAGCAACCTGGACTCCCATTACACCTGAGCAGTGCCACAGGGTGATCATCTCTATGCCATGGCACACTGATGCAGTAATTACTGCCAAAAAAGGTCCAACCAATTATTTAGTGCACGCATATATACATATATGTATATATATATATATATACACACACACACACATATATATATATATATACACACACACACATATATATATATATATATTACACAATTTTTTTATTATTTTTTTTTTAGACACAGCATTTTATTTTGGTTTTCATTATCTGTAAGCCACAATCATAAAAATTAAACTAATAAACTATATAAAATATATATATAAAATAAATATATAAATTAAAAGTTCACTCTCTGAAACGAGCCAAACCATTATTTCGGTTCCATTTAGTTAATGACGATATGTAACTAAGCTGTCACACAGCATAGTACTCTTCTCTATGCAGAAATGCCACTTACCCTGATTCTTGTACCCTGGAAGTCGAACAAATGCCCCATACGTTTGGACAGAGACCACTTCTCCTTTGGAAATGCTGAACATTGGAGGCAGACCATCGAGGCCAGAAGGCTCCGCTTTTGAGCCAACTCGATCCGACATTGTGACCCTAATTAAACTGTGGAGAACAGCGAATTAAAGATGATTATTGTGAATAAAAAGAAAGGTTGAGACAAGACAGGAATTTAGGCGAAAAATAATTAGAAATAATTGATTTTGATAGGTCCGCGGTTCACGGGCCAGTTAGTATTGAATTTGATCTAATGAATGTAAACAAATAATACAAACACACTTTACCCATCCGGCCTGTTACACCAAGACAACTAGCTTCCAGTCTAGTTTCACTAATGCGATTAACTTCACTTGTGGATCTATCAAAATTCTCAAATAACCTTTGCTTAAAAATTGGAATAACAGGGATTTAGAACGTTATTTTTACCTTAGCTAGCCACGGTGTTGCCTCAAAAACGCATCCGGTTCAACATAGAGTGAAAACATGAAAAGGAACCAATCAGAGCCCGAGTAGAGATCACTGACCAATCAGATGCCTCATATTACCGGAAGGGATTGCTTTCTGTTTTTTGTCTGTACGCTTCGCTCGCGTTCCTTGTCTTTCCTCAAAGAAACACGTCTAATATTTTAAACAAGAAGTAATTTTGGTCTGTAGAGTTTTCTGTCGGAGTACTAGTATGATTGATCCGAAGAAGAGAGCGGCGGACATGGCGATTGTCCCGACGGCAGTGAAACGGCCGAGGAACGAGCTTGTGGCTGCGGCTCAGTCTCAGCAGCTCATGGCCATGGTATGGTACTATTGCGCTACACATGAAAGCAGCAACTCGCAACCCACTGTGGGCATTTTTAGTGTAAAATGATCTTTTTATCACTTGCCTAGAGTAATTGACTTAAATGTACCCTGCAATGGCACACACAAAAAATGCAAGATTATTGGACCATGTTTGTCTGTGTATACAATGTACATTTCCAAACCAAAGCTGTTGCTTGTAGGTGAAAATTATGGCACTAGTTATACCTAACACATATCTGCGGACTCGTGGAAAATTTCACGTTGTCAAATCTGGCACATAATTTGTTTGTGACTTACAAAATATATAAAACCCCAAACAGCCCAGAGTTGTAAAATTATAATTTAGTATAGGTGTTTCTTTTTTTTAAACTAGTTTTTATTTAAGAATCGTCTCTTTAGGGGCCCCCTCGAACATCCAGTCTGCAGGCTCCCATCATGCTGATGTCTGGGCATGAGGGTGAAGTTTACTGCTGCAAGTTTCATCCAAATGGAGCTACCTTGGCTTCTTCAGGATTTGACAGGCTCATATGTAAGTTATGGTGCCAAGCTTAAATTGGGATTTACAAAGGAGGAACACTGATTTTAATAAACTTGTTGTTCTCTTGTTTTAGTAATGTGGAATGTTTATGGAGATTGTGAAAATTATGCCACTTTGAAAGGACACAGTGGGGCAGTGATGGAGCTGCACTACAACACAGATGGCAGGTATGGCTGAACGCACTTCTACGTAGTTCTACTAATCCCCCAGTAGCTCAGCACCAACTGTGGAGAGTGAATAAATAATTATGACTAGAATAAGGAACTTTGAGAAGCTTGAAGTGCCATATACAAAAGAGAAATTACTGTTTTATTCATTTGCTTGAGTTTACTTTTTACCAAATGTAACCTTATACCTTAAAAGTTTAAAAGAAATGATTGCTGTTGCTAATGGCTACTACCTACTAATTCTTTTGTAGCACAAAAAGAAAGCTGACAGAATTTTGTTTTCTCTGTAGCATGCTGTTTTCTGCCAGCACAGACAAGACTGTCGGTGTGTGGGACAGTGAAACTGGGGAGAGAATCAAACGCCTGAAGGGCCATACCTCTTTTGTAAACACATGCTACCCAGCCCGCCGTGGGCCTCAACTGGTCTGCACCGGCAGTGACGATGGTACAGTCAAGGTGAGATTGGCATTTCTGCACAGTGCATTTTATCTAAAAGAACTTTGTAATATTCACTTTTTTGGGTCAATTTACAGCTCTGGGATGTCCGTAAAAAAGGAGCGATCCACACTTTCCAGAATACCTACCAAGTATTGGCTGTCACGTTTAATGACACCAGTGATCAAATCATGTCTGGAGGCATTGACAATGAAATTAAGGTACAGCAGAACTAAGTACGAAACATGTTTGTCATAATATCCAGCCACAACTTTGGCTCCTTATTTAGGTAAGGTAATCACAATACAATGTATATTATCTTGACAGGTGTGGGACCTCAGACAGAATAAACTGATCTATACGATGCACGGTCATGGTGATTCAATCACAGGGCTCAGCTTGAGCTCAGAAGGCTCTTACCTCCTGTCCAACTCCATGGACAACACAGGTGTTTTACTTGAATCTTACAGATATCACCTAAATGCCTTTTTCTATGTTTAAATCTATTTTCTTTTATTGCAGTCCGTATTTGGGATGTGAGGCCATTTGCACCTAAAGAGAGATGTGTTAAAATTTTCCAGGGAAACCTTCACAACTTTGAAAAGGTATACTGCAGCCTTCACCACCTTGTGATATCATGTGGTAATACAGGAAGGCCTCTACTGTGTTTTTAAACTCTGTACACTTTCACTAGAATCAATTGCTACTATACTAAACTAAAGGTAAAAGGCAGCTGTTAAATTGAAAACTACCACTTCATGACATCACAAGGTGAAACACAGCATTTTGAGCTTGGGAGATGTAGACAGGCTTATAAACCAGGATTACTGAAATATATGTGAATGAAACAATACACAACTCTGGGTTTTTGAGGAGGTAACAACACAATAACATGGCTTAAAGTTTTCTATAGTTTTTTCAGTTTTCTATAATGTAGGACCTTTTTAAATACATGATGTGTGTTCACTGACTGATGAACAGTATACTTTGTAATCATTTCACTTTCTTATTGTGGATGGACATTTTTATTGCAATTTATTTCTTGCAAATTATTTTTAAAAAGATATATATAATGCATTAGCTTTTGTTTTGCTTTTGTTATACATTTCAGTGTAATCGAAAACTTTGCTTTTGCTTTTGCTTTGACAAAATGCTTTTGTCACTTTTTGAGTACATGCTCAATAGAAACATGCCATGTTCAGTATATTCAGTTTTGTTTTCCATCTTTTAATTTGATATTCACAAACTGTCCCTTATTTACCTGCAAGTCACAGTCCTCCTTTTGTACTTTGATTGTTTTGTCGTAAAGTGGACAGCTGTTTTGCTTCTGGCAGTATATATGCCTGTTGTCATCTAAGGTAGCATGACATTGCTTTTCACCCTCACTTGACTTTTCCGTCTCCCTCTGCTGTTTTTGTAATAGATATAGGCTCATGTTTCATCTCATTAAGGCACATACACTTTACTTGTGTCGTGTTGCTAACTCATTATCCAACATCTGTTCCTGTCTCAGAATTTGTTGAGATGCTCCTGGTCAAATGATGGCAGTAAGATAGCTGCAGGCTCGGCTGACCGGTAAGCAGAGAATGAGGAAAGGGTTCCTGGTAATTGTTTTTGTGTTAATGGAAAAAAAAAACTTTCTCATCACTATCAGATTTGTGTATATATGGGACACCACATCACGAAGAATCCTTTACAAACTGCCAGGGCATGCCGGTTCTGTTAATGAAGTGGTCTTTCACCCAGAGGAACCTATTGGTGAGTAAAACTAGGCTCCAGGCTCAAATTACCCCATAAAATAAAAGTGGTGACATTTGAATACTGGACAAACTGGTTGATTTATGAGCACTTTAAGAAACACAATGCAGGGCTGATTGTATTGTATTTGTAGGCGAAAGTGCACAGGAATGTTCTGTTATTTTGTTGTATAAGATATTGGTATTGGTTGATTTGCAGTGTAGTCATCTTCCTGTTTTGTCTTCCCACAGTGCTGTCTGGTGCCAGTGACAAGCGGCTGTACATGGGAGAGATCCAGTAAAGTGTGTGTTCAAGGTTGTGTGAGTGCGTGTATGTGTGTGCCCTAAAATGAGAGCATCCTGCCTTGAAGTCAACTGGGTGTTGTTCAGCTGCACAGCAAAAGCCTCTGTAATTTGTAAGCCCTAGTTTGTCATACAAGAACCTCAGGATATGTGTTTGATGTTTATTTAGCTCTGTCACAACAGCATCCAGATAACCTTTTTTTAAAAATGCTTTTGCTGACTTTTTAATAAAAATGATTATACAGTATTGTGTTTTGTGAGTGGTATTTTATTACTTGCACTAGATACACTTTTACACATATTTAGTTACACATTTCTTGTGTAACTAAATAGAATATTTTGATAATTCATTGCCAAAAACGAATACTTAGACTATTTTTTTATTTTTTCCCCACTAGGATTACTAACCTTTTCACCGTTTTAATTGTAGTTAAAAGCTCTTGAGGTATTAACCTCTCTTTAATACGCTATTGATTATCTTTGCCTTGGAGAATAGACAGCGGTCATTATTATCTACTTATTCAATCAGAGATAGCTGCTTTGGTGAGCCTGCTCTTCTGTACTATTGCTAAGGCCTATTAAAAGGACAGTTGTGGGCTTGTTAAACTTTGAGTAACCTCAGGCTGCCTGCTTGCTCCATTTCTGTGATGCCACATTTTGGCTACGTGCGCCGTTCTCTCTGACTGAGACCCAAACCCCACTTTCTTTGTGCTCCCTCCCTTGGCCTGGTACAGATCTATGGAGCTCCTCCTCGAGGGGGTCGCGGTGACTGAGAGAGCGAGCCCCCACCCCCTCGACTCTCTCTCCCCGCGGCTGCTCGTCTTCCGCCCGCCCCGGCCTCGCTTGTTGACAAAAGACGTGTGGAGACGGATTGAAGAAGCTCGTTCCCGGTACCGGTAAGCCTTTCTGGTCGTTTACTTGACCCCACTTTTCGTTAAGTCAGTTGGAGCAGAAGCGGAATGGGACGGCGGCTCTGGTGAGGCAGAGGAGGACTCCTGCGCTCCTGGAAGACCGTGAGTCACAACGGAGCGCTTTGTGTCCGTAGACTGCGCGTAGCAGAGTGGTGGTAGCACTGCGGGGTCGTCCCCTCCTCTCCACCGCCCCCGTGTGATCTGCTATCATATGATGCTCATTTCTGTCTGCTGCCCGGGGCACATTATGACAGCTTTCCGTCTCTCTTTGTGCCTTTGTGTGTCCCATCTCCGAAAGGTGTGGCCGAGGTGATCCGTTTGGTGTTGGACGTTTTGACCGCAGAAGGCCGGCGTGGACGCCCCCACCTCCTTTCCCCTCTCCTCCTTCCTGAAATCCTTCAGCCCCTGGTATTTACCCTGCCGACAAAAGCACAACCAAGATGGGCCACTTGGGCTAACGGCGTCCGCCTGTACGAGGGAAAAGGAAGTGGCGGTCTTGGGCAAGTTTTTTTTCAGTCGGGAATGGTGTGATCTGTAC